TTGTTGCATGTTTTTTTTGGGGTGGCTGTCATAAGCGTTTGAACATATTTATGCACTTTGGTGGCCGTAGAATTTCCAGCACCTGGAACCAACGACCAGCTGCATGCGAACAGTCGAAATCCATGACCCACCATAAATAAAACTTTCGCTTTTCCATTGTGTAAATGAGCGTGAAAATTGTCCATTAGCGCCTTATATTTTATAGGCTTACAACACAGCCCAGACTTAATTCCTGAATCGCCAACCTGTTCGCTTTATTTTCACACTTTGCGGCGCTTGCGCAAAGTTTCCCAAAAAGAAATTCGAAAACGAAAGCCCTAAAAACAATAGAAAATTTTCCAATTCAGCGGCTTTTGACACATTTGATGGGTTTTTCATAAGGTTCCAAGTGCACGGCTCCGTCATTGCCAGTTGAGTCTATTTAACCCGAAAGTCTGTGGGACTGTTCATAAATTCTCATCAATGGCAAACAGAGTTGGGGGAGTTCCCCAGTGTTTATTCCCCAAAATGTGACACTGCCCGCGTTTGCTGTCAGATGTCAACTAGCGCCACGCGGCGATCTCAATGAAGCCCAATCAAGAAAGTCACGGATAATCTCCCTTTTTTAAATGAGAAGAGGGCCTTTGAAAAGAATGGATATTAATATAAATATAACATTTCACTTTGAAGAGGGAAGACTACTTGTATGGCTTGAACTTTTATTTAAACAAATTTAAAATATAGTTTTATAACGCATTTTAAACAACAGAGACATCAAAATTCAGAGAAAAACCATTATAGGTACTTATACACAATTATACAATTCTTAAATTTACATAATACAGAATTACATAAATATATCTGTAAGGAATCATAGGTTACTAAATATGGTTCATCGATAAATACGTGATTGTTTCTTCTGTAAATATTATTATTATTACAAGCTACAATAAGTACCTTTTGTTTTCTTTAAAGCTGAAGAAGATAAATCTGGTGAGTTACAAAATTTAAGAAAACATCCCATTCACAGCTCAATCTCTATCCAAATAGAATCATCTAGTTTCAAACGAACTCTGTCTGTGGGGTCTTTGTGGTTTTGCGGTCGAATTTTGTCGTAGTGGTCATCATCAAAATGCAAAACCTACGCACTATTTTACTAATTTTTCGTCTGTTTTCTGGTCCGTGGGCTGCATTTTATTTATTTTCGTAGTCAAACGTTCTTTGTTGACCATACAAAACCGACGAACGAAATCATTAAAGTTATTTGCTTTGTTGTGGCTCTTGAATTTGGCTGCTGAACGCCCACGAATCTGAATCGGAATCTGAATCTCAGTCTGAAGTGGATGAGGTTGTCCAGTTGCCCAGTTGGCCAGCTGGTTTTTAGCAGCTGGAACAGTGATTACCTTACCTCAGCGGCTAATTGGCGAATTAAGTCAAGTGAGTGCAAATGAGGCGTACTCGGCCACGCCCTAATTGCTCAATTTGCGACGCCTTCGAGTTGTTGCGGCGACCTTCGTTGCATCTGCCACTTAAACTTGACATATAACCGAAAATGTGCAAGGCAGTATATCCTTTAAAATTATGGTACAGCTCACGAGTGCCTTGCACATTTTCGCTTCATGAATGAGTCGCATCGAATTGAAAATGGCAATTTATATATATATATATATATAAAGGCTATAAAATGTATCCCAATTTCAAGTACGCGGCTTCTCAGCTTGAGTTTCGTATTTTTAGCTCATATTGGAAACACATCGAAACTGCGAAGCCACATGGAGCTGTAAAGATGTTTTTACCGATTTTAGAAGTCATAAGGTCAATGCTGAGCGCCAAGATCGTGTTTTGATTGCAACTCGGAGCCGGAGACATCGTCGCTGTTGCTGCTGTGCTGCGATGTTGCTGCCGTGCTGCGATGTTGCTGCTGTGTTGTTGCTATTGCTGTTGCTGTTGCTGCTGCTGGCGTCGTCTGTTGTCAAGTGTTATGACTCGTTCTGTCTTTCCTCCAACTCCAAGTCTGTCTGTTTTCGTTTTTCATTTTGTTTTTCTCAAATCGAAAGCCGCAACAAAGCGTCTGCTCTGTTTTCAGCTTGGTTCCCAGACACATTCTCACAGTTTGTTGGGATTTGTTGATAAGAAGCTTATAAACAACTCAAATGAAGTTGCTCAAACATAGATTAAACTATATAAACCAAGAGATCAAGATGTTAGCTAGGGTGACAGGAATAAATTATACTATTAGCCTGATGATACTCTTAACAAGATTCCATTTTCATCGCACTTTTATCAGCAGCATTTATTATTAAGTGCAAAACACTTTTCTCAATGGCTGTTTATTTTATTTTTTATGTTTATTTATTTTGTGTGCTTTTGTGTACACATCAACATGCAAATTCAATGCGACGATGACGGCTGCCTGCAGCCATAAAAATTCAATAAAAATTTATGAAAACTTAGCAGTTCGAAGAGCAACAACAGTTGCTATGAGATTAGAGTTGTGCGGACACACCCGTCAACAAATGTTGATAGAAAAACCCAGAGACGACCACTTCATTTGCTACAATTTGTTACAGGTGTCGGAGGGACCAGAGAAATATCAGAAATATATATATATAAGTAGGTAAACGACCTTGCGCCTATTGCAACACAGATGTTGTAGATATTGTTAATGCCGCCGCTACGGTAGTTGATCTTCAACTGTTTACATTTGCAGCACTTCTCTTGATTTTTTTCTAGCCAAAGTTGGTCAAGTGTCCTAGCTGCTAGACACATTTTCCTGCTGATGAGCGGAACCTGCCCAACCCAGATTGTTTTTCCCAAAAAGCCCAGCCCAGAAACATGCACTTTGCACAACATTTAATCACATTTAGCCATTCGACATACGCCCCGCGGGCAACAACATAATTTATACAACAATATTATAATGTCGCGAGACATTGAAAACGATCGCGGAGACTTGGAAACTTTTGAAATTCATGAGTTATTACTTGCACTTTAACATGGCTGGAAGCGAGACGATGACGAGGGGAAATATCGCCACAATGGCAATTTGTGGGCATAAGCATTGGGTTGACATTTTATTGACGACGCCAGTGAGTCGGCACCTGTCCGCTGAAGGAGGCAACTCATTTGCGCATGTCAACGCCCAAAAAACGCTTTTGTCTCGGCTCCGTGGCAAGATAAATGGGCAACCGAGCCGGGGTTTCAGTCAAATTCTAATTAGGCTCAGCCCCTTAGTTATGGGCGGGTTCATTAACATTTCGTCTGGACCATTTCCATTTCCATTCCGAATCTGATTCCCTTTGGCAGTTTTTCAACAACTCAATTGGCTTTCACATAGCTGCTGCTGTTTTGCAATAAATAGCAACAATAATGCGATGGCTGGGCTAATGGAACCAGTTTGGAGATAAGCATTATTAATTTATCGTCCTATCACTCTCGGATGTTGCCGGTATGTGCGGGTGTTGTGCTAAATTATCAAGAGCCCATTCGCAGCACACTCGGACTATCCACACTACCTCACAAAAGTTTTATTTAAATAAAGGTAAAATATTATATAGAATATTTTGAAAAAAAAATAAAATCTGACATAAAGAAACCTGTTATAACATTAAATTCAGGTAACATTACTATATCACTTCAAATAACTTTTAAAACTATAAGACTTCTGTGCCACCAAAAGATTTTTAAACTGTGTATTTTCAAGTGAAACCACATTAAAAGTTATAAATATCAATTATTATTTCTTTTTTTATTGTTAGTTAAATAAAGTCATATATGACTAGCTAAACCATGTCGAATCTTTATCCTCCTTATGAAACCTACAAATATTTATCCATCGCAATAATCTGTTCCATTTCACAAGGGTCTGGCAAAATTCCCAGTTTTTATCGACTGGATCGAAAAAAAAAAAAACACTTAAAGCTTTAAAGAGGGAAATTTACATAAGTTAACTATGAGATTACTATCGTTCGCTAATTGGTAAAGCTCATAGCCCAGTTGTGTAGCACAGTGTAGATCTACATTCAAAGTAGAAGTTCCAATGAGAAAGCCAAGCTGTGAACAAGATACGAAGTGGCAAATGTATCTGTGTTTTGATTGAGAACTTGTTTTTTGTTTTTCTCCAGAGAATTCAGCATCCACTCGAGGGACGGGCACTTTGCGGGAATTATCGGAAATATCATGTTAAGTGACGAGCGACAATAAGGCATATCGCAAGGATGTCACTTTGTGATGTCTGTCCATTAATTTGAAGTCGTTGTATGTGATTTCATTAGCGGCAAATGCCACCAGCCTCCGTCGTCGATTTCACAGCCTATCTGACTGAATCTCAGCCTTTTCGAAAAGTCAACTCAATAAGCCAGGCAAAACAATAGCAACAATGGCAATAACATGAGCATTTAGCGCACACACAAATTATAATTTCAAATAACGCAAAGTGCCACTTGAGATCAGAGCTCTTAACAAAAATGTTAAGCATTTTATCGGCGTTTTTGTATTTATAATGAAAAATCGTATCTTAATATGCGGGAACCCAAATGACAGACTTTGTCGGCAGTTTAGACGGCGACTAATCGAAAGTTAAGACTGCGGCGAGTGTAAACAAATTAACGAGATCGTTTGCTGGTAATTGAGATGCCGATGTCGATCTAGAAGGCGGAACCCGTCGCCATTGCCAAAGGTTGCCTTTGATCGTGCCTCCCAATCCAAAAGTAATCCTACGATCTGAGAAAACGAAAACCGAATAAAATTCAAAATCTGTTACGCCCCTTTGGCAGTTTCGTTTGGGCCAAATTAATTTATGACAATTGCGACCCGAGGCCTAGAGAACCGATCGTAAATTAATTAAATCGGTTTTCGGGTTTTCGGGTGGAAGGGGTATTTGGTCTGCAAAGCCCACAAGATATGGAACAACGCGTGACAGGGCGACAATTGAAGGGCCCCGAAATGCAATCACAGCTTGAACCCGATTTCCACCCAGTTACTAACTGAATTTTCCCATTTTCCCCCCTTTTTTTTTGTAGATTCTGAGCACGAGGAGCGTTCGTTCGGCATGACGTGAACTACTGCTTAGATATTCCATGCGAGAACCCAAACCTTTGCAACTAACCGCCCCAATCGATCGTCTCGCCTCGATTCGATCCGATTGCCCCCGAAAAGTGTCCGCTTTGGGGACGTGATCAGACCGTGATCAGGAGAAGATTTGCCTGCTCCCCCTAGAAAAGTGGAAGCCCACAGAAACCACCGCCACGATGGACTCACGCATCGGCCTGGACTACATTGTCGAGAATCGTGACTACATTGCCAAACTGGGCGCTGCCCTGGACACGCAGAACGCCACCGTGAAGAAGCAGGTCTTCGAGCTGCTCTCGGCGCTGTGCGCCTACAGCCCCGATGGCTATGCGCGTGCCATCGAAACCCTAGAATTTTACAAGGTGAGAGGGGTATTAACAAGGGAGTTAACATACTCATTGGGGAAAAAACGAATGGATAAAATTAAAGAATTTTCTAAGAATTTAATCAATTTAGATGCAATACATATCCAAATGTTCATATTTAAAAGGTTGTATATACATATATAAACTATATATCATTATTCTCACTTTCTTATTAGTTATATTTTTTTTAAAACATCAATAAGGCCTTTGTCGACGTAGTGGATCAAAAGTTGAATTGCAAACAGCTTTAAGCATTTTGTATTTTTTTTTAAATTTTATTCTCAGATATAAATTAGCACATATTTATATTTTTTAATTTGATGTCTCAAATGCAGTCTTGGACTCAGATATCCAAAATCTCACATGGAAACTGGTATCATGCAAAAAGCTTGAGGCACTTTCAACTTTGGAATATTCTAAGTAATTTAAATGAAAACCTAGTAATACAACATTTTGCTAGTTAACTTAATAATTGAACTACTGATCGAAATAATATAGATAACCTTGAAAAGAAGATAGTTTTTTATTTAGATAAGGTCCTGAGGTACTAATGAATATTTCTCACATAAACATAAAGATTTTTTTTAATTTTTAGTCAAATTATGATCATGATAAGTAAATATTATATTTAGCTAGACTTGTTTTTGCCATTTTAGTTTCATTAAGAAATTGGATAATTTCAATTTAATGCAAATTCTTAACCAATAATAATAACAATCCATAAAATAAAAACATTAAGTCTAATAACACTTCTCCAAATCTCCACAGAATCTCAAGAAGCAGCGATACCGCTTCAAGATTGTCACCAACGAACTGGAGCTGTCGAGTGCCGCCCCTCAGCCGCCCCTGGAATATCAGGCCGCCCTGCTGGCCTTCATCAACTGCGTCATCATTTCGGCGGCCACGCTGCAGGAGCGCATTCGCATTCGCAACGAATTTATAGGTGAGATTCCATCTACCGATTCCCATAATCTAATATCCAGATGATAAAAAAAAAATGAAACACAACTCGCAACAAAGGAGATAAACCCACAAAAGTCAACGGGTTGTTCCCCTGCGATTGTTTTATGCCATTGGTGCTGTCTTCGATTCCATTGATTTGTGATTGATGTGCCCGCCGATCCAGTGCCAGTGCCCTTGACCGTATGTGCCCGGCTGTCTGTTTGGCCAAAATATATATGTATATATATGTATATCTATCTACCATATATACTGTTTGCATGTCGCAGAGACTCAAGTCCCCGCGTTTTTAGGCAGCCACACCAGCGACCCTCGGGGGCTGATCGTTGACTTGAGGTTGGATAGATGGATAATGATGGGTTCGTAGAGCCCCAAATGCCAAATCGCCTTTTGTCGAGTCGAGTAACCTTAGCACGTGCCGATTTAGAGGCGATTTAGAGGCGCGTCTTTAAGCCAGTAATTGCTTGGCCTGTCATTTGAACTGGATCTGGGGAAATCGGTCAAACGAACAATGTTTACTTATTGCTGATTTATTAATTGTGGCACAAAAAATTGTCGGGTCATTGAGGACGTTTTGATTCCAAACAAAGATTTCGAAAATTAAATCGTTTATTTGCTGGGTAACTGCAAGACTTTTGAATGCTTATTTACACCTTAATGACTTGTAAAACTGCGATTAAAGAGAGCTTTATTGCTTTTTGCACTTATCTATCTCGTTGATCTCTGTTGATCTACTTTTGTATGCAATTCATTTAATCCACTGATCTATTTAAAACAAGTAACCTACACATTGGTAATTTTTAAAGACAAAGTTAATTTTGATAGCCTATAATTATTCTTATATTTTTTAAAAATCCCTTGTAAAGATAATCACCAAAAAACCTTGAAGAGAAAATGGTTGTCTTGTCAAATTTAATGGCACTCTAACAGATTTTATTAACAAAGGGAAACGTGACAATTTTTTTTAATGCCTGGCATAGATTATGATTTGCTTATTTATTCCGCTAAAGTTAAACATGAAATCGTGTTTGTAGTTAGATTTTTAATATGCTTCGAACGTGCCACAAAACCGTTGCAGAACCCCTTTCAATTTATTTTTCATTCTACAGATGAGTAGCAAAAGGAGAATAAGCGCCCAATAAACAAAATGTACTTAATATGTAACAAGATGTCTGTTGACAAACAAGGGACTCGTTTACATCCTGTCAGTGGCAGATGCCACTCCCCCTTTCAGCGCCCCCTTGTCGGCGACTCTGGGCCCCTAGTTGTTCAAAGTTCATGAACTGCCCTCGAACTCCACCAACCCCCAACCCGACCTCCATCTCCTCTAGAGTTCTCTATCCAATACAGTCGAATTTCTATAGATCGAACTACTAGATTTTATTTATATTCTGAATTTAATATTACAACTTTTTCATTGTGGTTAAAATCTTAAACTATTTTTATGATATAGAATTAAATTATTGAAATTGTAAGCCATTAATTTTAGTTTTAAAAGATATTTGCAAAATCGTAAAAATAAATTTAATAAGTCTTAAAGTTTTACCTTATATAAAAGAGATTTTACAAAGAGCAAAATAAGTAAACACATAAAAAGTTTATTAGCTTGAATACTCTTAAATAAAAATAAAAAACATCACCAGGTTTTACCAACCCAAGTGCCATATTCAACACCATTATCCTATGTAAAACCCCCAATTTAAGAGCAGTTTTTTTACTGTAGGCAAGTTCCACTGTACTTGGCAGTCGACAACCCGACTTTCTGACTTTGATTGAGCGCGGTTGTGCGTGCGTGGTGGTTGTTGTGTTCGATGTTTTCTTCTGCGCAGACGCAGCACCACCGAAATGTGTTGCACTTGCCTGAAAATCGGGGGGGAAAACGGCTGGGCAACTTTACCGAGAAGCGGCGTTTTTATTGTTCTTAATTAAAATAAATTGAGCTGCGCTTTTTCAGCATTACAAGAACACAAGACAAGAATGACAAGGCAAAGAAGTAGCAAGACAAATTCGAAATCTCAACGGCTCGGCGACAAAATGTAAGTCACGCCGTCAGCGCCCCCGTAAAACTTCCACCAACTTCGATTCCGATCCCAAACCGATTCCTGGGGCATTCCTGAACGACACTTTTGACAAGCAACGGCCGCATTTTGTTTGGCAATGAAACAAAGTATTCAGTTTCAAGGCTGTTGGCCCGACTTTGACTTTGTCTTCGATCGATTCAGTTCTTTTCTCAGTTTTTCAGCTCCTCTCTTTTCACTCGGTCTGTTTGGATTTCCAGGAACATTGCCCCAGCAAATATTTGCATATTTTCCAATACAATTCAAAAACTCTGCGAGGCTCGCTAATGCCACTTAAGTGCCCAATTATCGGCTCGAACTCGGAATCATTCCCATTCCCCGGCCATATAGCCATCATATCTGCTGTATGTCATCTGTCAAGCTGGGAGGCATTTGCTGGTGCCTGATTTATGCCCCATGATTTTCCACTTTGGCACGCAACAGTTTTTCCCATAGTTGACCATAAATTTATTCGCTGGCAAAATTCAATTTCCATTGATTTATAAATCATCAACAGATTTACTGTATTGAGTGAAATATTTAAATCGTTTGCGAGAATTGATTTTCGAGCTGTTGAGTTTGTTGAGTTTCTTTGGCTGGCATGTTATTAAACAATTAATTGTGGACTTGGGCGTGTCCCCGATCTGAACCATTGTTCTACACATAAATTTGGCTGTAGGGCATAGATGATGGAGCTTGACCAATCGAACTATGCACAGAACAAAAAATAAAAAGATAATATATGTATATATATAGATTAACAAAAAATATGTATATAGTATGAGCATGAGTATACCGATCAGCGATCTCTCCTTCTAGTTAAGATCTCTCTACTTCCGAATAACCAAAAAAAACAAAGATCGGGACAAAGAAACTTTTACTACACGCTCACATACAGAATCGCACACGCATTTTAATTGTACGCCTTTTATGGATTTCAATTTCAAACAAATAAAATGACAGCGGAGCGAAGTCGTAAAACGAAATTATGAACGTCAAGGCACCAAATAAGGCGGATCGAGGGGATTCGAGGGACATAGCACAGAAGCGACAACGACTTTCACGAGTTTTTCGTAATTAATTTTTATACCCTTGCAGAGGGTATTATAATTTCAGTCAAAAGTTTGCAACGCAGTGAAGGAGACATTTCCGACCCTATAAAGTATATATATTCTTGATCAGGATCACCTCCTGAGTTGATATAGCCATGTCCGTCTGTCCGTCTGTCCGTCTGTCCGTCCGTCCGTTTCTACGCAAACTAGTCCCTCAGTTTTAAAGCTATCTGCTTGAAACTTTCCCAAAAGTTGTCTTTCTATTGCAGGTAGTATATAAGTCGGAACGAACCGGATCGGGCTACTATATCATATAGCTGCCATATAACTGAACGATCGGAAATGCCATAACTTTGGTGTTTTTCAAGTTAGCAAGTTAGGAAGTTCTATGGGTTTTATTTTTGGCTAATCAGTCTGACTTACCAAATTTCATAAGGATCGGACGACTAAATCCTATAGCTGCCATATAACTGATTGATCGGAAATGCCATAACTTTGGTGTTTGTAAAGTTAGGAAGTTGGGATTTTCTATGGGTTTTATTCTATGGTTATCGGACGACTATATCCTATAGCTGCCATATTATTGAACGATTGGAAATGCCATAACTTTGGTGTTTTTAAAGTTAGGAAGTTGGGACTTTTTATGAGTATTAAGAATACATCATATGAATAATTTTGAAGAATATTCTGCAAGGGTATATCAACTTCGGCTCCGTCCGATGTTAGCTCTTCTTTCTTGTTTTTTATTGGTATTATTATTATTATTTGTATTTACAACACACGGATAGAAGTGTGCCTCTGTGTACGAGTGCATAAATTGATTGGTGAGTGCGCGAATAAAATCAAAAAGGCGAAAAAACGAGCTTGACCGGAAGTCGGTCGGGATTCATGGGACATTGGGCGGGCCTTAGTTGTACTTACTGCCTATGGAAATACCGCTCGTCTGGGGGGCAACGAATCATCTCCATATTAGTCACAAGTAGGCAAGAAAATAACCCCATCAAATCGCAATGAAGTTCACTGAATATTCCACAGGTCATGGAACTAGAATTTATAATTATATACATTACAAGGATTAAGTTTGGGAATAAAGAGCAATTTAAAATGAATTTTATACACTAATAATAATATTTTGTTTAAAACAAGAAAGGAAAGCTAACTTCGGGCGGAGCCGAAGTTGATATACCCTTGCAGAATATTTTATAAATTATATTGTCCAAAATTATTCATATGATGTATTCTTAATACTCATAAAATGTCCCAACTTCCTAACTTTAAAAACACCAAAGTTATGGCATTTCCAATCGTTCAGTTATATGGCAGCTATAGGATATAGTCGGCCGATCCTTATGAAATTTGATAGGTCGGATTGATTGGCCAAAAATAAAGCCCATAGAAAATCCCAACTTCCTAACTTTAAAAACACCAAAGTTATGGCTTTTCCGATCAATCAGTTATATGGCGGCTATAGGATATAGTCGTCCGATCCTTATGAAATTTGGTAGGTCGGATTGATTAGCCAAAAATAAAACCCATAGAAAATCCCAACTTCCTAACTTTAAAAACACCAAAGTTATGGCTTTTCCGATCGTTCAGTTATATGGCAGCTATATGATATAGTGGCCCGATCCGGCTCGTTCCGACTTATATACTACCTGCAATAGAAATACAACTTTTGGGAAAGTTTCAAGCAGATAGCTTTAAAACTGAGGGACTAGTTTGCGTAGAAACGGACGGACAGACGGACAGACGGACAGACGGACAGACGGACGGACAGACGGACGGACAGACGGACAGACGGACATGGCTAGATCGACTCTCCTGGTGATGCTGATCAAGAATATATATACTTTATAGGGTCGGAAATGTCTCCTTCACTGCGTTGCAAACTTTTGACTGAAATTATAATACCCTCTGCAAGGGTATAAAAAGATTGAAAGAGTAAAGCATGTTCTTGTTTAATTATTTTTGTTGTATGTAAATGTAACTTTGTTGGATCCAAGAGCGAAACTAAAAAGTCCTTTTGTTTATATATGGTAATATTAATATTGGCACATTGTTATTATTAATAACAGCAATGTTTCAATTTGTAAGTTCATGGTCAAAATATTTGCTTTTGTCTGTGAGTATAAATTGGCTGGCTCAAAATACTGCAGTTTAATAGGCCATTTATTTAAAATAATAAAACTTATATATAAGCAGAGAGTTTTTTATGGGAAATGTCATTTTGTACAATTTCAGTTATGACACCCAGAGTATAATAAAATTCTTCCAATAAAAATTTGCCAGTAAATATAATTTATTTTCCCAGTTAAGTGTTCCTTCTCAACACCTCCCTCAATTAATGATTTTCTCCTTTGTCTTGCAGGTCTCAAAGTTTTGCCGCTGCTCAATAACCTAAGGTGAGTGTGGTGTTCAAGTGAAGCGATCGGGAGGCTCAATAAAAACCCAAAGACGAGACACATTTAAGCACCCAGATTTGCTGAGGGCGTCGTTTTTATTTCGATGCGAGCGTGTGAAGACCGTTTGGGTGAAAAAACCCTGAAACTCTCCCACAATCAAGCAAATGAGTATCGCAAACAGTTTAACGATTGCCGTTTGCTGTTTTTATGCTTTATTCGAATCGGACGCACATTTAATTTGCATGCGACTACATGACGAGACGACCAACAAGACAAGATCAAGGTATCCATTGATTGTCAGTGGTTTTATTTGGACTTTCTGGGCGAATCGCTAATGACCGCTCAAGACTTTTTGCTGGGATGCTTGTCAAACACTCGTCAAACTCGAGGAGATGTCCATTTGGATGCCCGATGATGATCGCGGTCTTATGCAAATAATTTGCGCCGCCTTCGAGTCAACCAATTAATTCAATATTTAATTAGTCAACAATAAATCAATTAGTCGGCTCCCCCAACGTTTTACCCTTTTTCAAAACGGGTTTATTTATGGCCCTCTGGTTGACAAATTTGTGGCTCTGTGTTGGCTGCCTCGAAAACGATGAAAACTAGCAAATTCAATTAATTTCCGAAATAGTTCAAGCCCAAAAGCGAACAATAACAAACAAGCTGTCCGCATTGGCAGATTCCTCAGCTTGTCAGTTTGGAGCAGAGTTGACTAATTGATTGTCCCGGCCCATTTGTCTTGTGGCATTTTTTTTTGTTTTGTTTTCATCTCGAGTGAGGACCCCCTTCAGTTCTATTGTTATTAAAATTTTAACGCGTAGTTTCTGGCGCTATTTAATTTATTTGGAATTTCGAATCGCTTTAAACGTTTTCATTCAGCCACGACGCGCTTTGATTTGAGACCGCCTTCGAGGGGCGAAAACCATTGAGATTCATTGGAGACTCGACTTCGCGTAGCTTGGAAGCTGTCCAGATGCTTTAAGCGGATTTTAATTGTTCCCCTCATAATGAGTTCTAATCGAATCGAAATCCGAATCTCAGTTGTTTATCAGGCCGAGAATGATGGATGTGTGCTAGTATCGAATTACCGTCAAACTCATAAATGTCTGCTAAAAATAAACTCTAAAGTATCGCATTTCATGGGGATTATTAGAACCGTGTCAAGAATAGACATTTTCGATTGCTATTTTTATGGGCAGTCTGAGGAGTCGGAAATTGAATTTGAAATGGGTATTGTTCTTAAGATGAAGGCACTTCAACTTTGGAACTTTACATGTCTGTTAATTCTATTCTATTAATTTTTGTATATCCAATGGAGGAACACGCTGAAGAACTAATAAAAAACCTTCTTTAGGCTGAGATGAAATTATCTTTTCATAATAATAATAATACTTTAATACAAATAATACTTTAATACAAAAAATGTAATAAAAAAATTCCACAACTTATTACTCATAAAACATTTATTAAAGTCTACCATTTTGTCTAAAACTTTATTTGATCTATCTTTTAAGGCAATAACAAACTCCCCAAATGCAAGCTTTAAGTATTGTAATAACAATATTGCCCCCAAATCGGCAGCTTTAACTTCTTCTTATTGGTTAGTCGTGGCTTCCGTTTCGAGTTTTGTAATTTGGCATTTTGGTTGCCCAATTTCCTTGGCCCTGCAAATAATTCCCCGCTGCTCCCCAAAACCGTAACGACTTCCGTGACGGACCGAAATAGAAACTGCTGGCCAGAAGGCAAAATAAAACAATGGAGAATCACGTGCCAGTGTCCGGGTGTCCAATGTGCCCGATGGATGTGGACGAAGTTGCTCGACGAAATGGGAAAGAGGCCGCCTGGGGAAAACTCCTGCGCGCGCAGCACGTGGCAGGCAAAAACAACAAGGAGATTCGGATGGCTCCGAAGCTCTCCGTGCCGCCAAATCGTGGCATATAGCTCAAATATGTGTCGTGCCAGGCTGTCTCGTCCTCGTTATTGCCATTCTCGCCGTTCTCTCGTTCGAACCGCATAGAAAGCGATTTTGGCAAGCAATTAAAAAGTGCCAGTTGTAGTCGATGTATGGATATCAATTGTCTGGCCAAAAGCGGAGCTGCTGAGCAAGGACATTGCGCAAGGCTAACGATTTTGCACGCCGCGAAAATGGTGTGCCACTAAAAGTGTTGATTTTTTTTTGTGATTTTGATTGCCAAGGCTGCTCAAAAGGCAGGCAACGTGGAGTCGTCAGCATCGCCCTCGCCGCCATTGTCCCTCTCATCGGAATCCGCCTCCGCCTCCGCTTCCTCGGCGACGTCATCCGTTTCCGCTTCCGCTTCCGTGACGCCATCGCCCGCGCCATCGCCGTTGCACCTGCAGCGGCGGGTAACATTTTGCGGCTCGCTGTCCCGTTACAGCTGCGCCGCCTTGCAACTGGTGCAGAATCTCAAGTGAGTCTCCTGTTTTGTGTTTCTTTTTTTCCGTGTGGCAGCCTCCGGAGGTTACTCAATGTCAACCGGGGAGTGGTGTATTTTGTTTTCTCTATCGATTCTGGCAACTACTTGTGGACCTTACCCCTCCTCTCATCTCGTGGGTCATAAATATATCTCTATTTATTTATTGCAATGTATTGTAAATACTTCTGCATAAATAAGAAATCAATTACAAGGCAGTGAGAATTGTCAACGACATGCAAAACAAAAACCTACTAACTACAAATTGCCAACTGCGATTGCTGTGAATAATTAGAGCGGACAGACGGACGGAATTGCGAGACTTTCCAGAGCTTAACCCACTAATGACCAATGGGTCGCAATTCTCTCATTGCAGGAAAGTCGCACAAAGTGTGGGGGATATCATCGTACAATTGGACGTATTTGTGGAGCAGCAGGAATGCGACGAGGCCCAGAGCCTTCAGGCGCCCGATGGCATCAATCTCAGCTCGCATCTTGATGTCTTCTACGCGATTCTGCGACAGGTGAGTGTTGCTGCAACAAAGTGCATCAGAGCGTATGCGTTATTTCGGCTGGCATTGGACAGAGAGTTACGTATACGCATGGTGGCCATTAGAAATTGACCAAGGCTATGGCCATGCAAACACTTCAAGGACTCAATTTAAATGCTAATGATGTCAACTAAGAAAAAAAATTAAATTGTACATTTTAATTCGGATGCCTAAAACTAAATCTATTTACACTTAGATAGTTCATTTTACAACTCGATGTCTCCTTAGTTTAAACTTATTTGGTGGCAAATGGTGAGGTTATGGAAGTCAGACTTTATATATTTTAATAAAATTAGGAAAATTTATTGTTCATTTTTACAAGTTTTGTGTATTTTAATTTCCAACTTTTTAATAGATTATATTCTTCCTATTTATAGGAAGTATTATACATATAATATTTTATAGAAGTAGAAGAATGGGTATAGTTCCTTTACATGTAAGCTCATCTTTTCAAATCTTTTAATACAAATTTTGGCTTTTGTACAGGTGGCTGATACGCCGCAGGAAGTGCCATTCCTCAACATCCTGCAGCACCTGCTGCGCATCGATCCCAAGGAGCCGGTCAGCGACATCATCTGGGACACCGCGGAGCGCCTGGTCCACCGTGCCACGCTCCTCGAGAGTCACGAGGACTCGGTGCGCCTGCTCCGCACGCCCAGCAGCCAGAAGTTCGCCTGCCAGAGTTGCCGCGGCAGCGATGCCAGCAGTCCCACCCGCAAGCCCGCCCAGCCGGTGGGCGTGGCAGCTAAGGCGACACCGCCACCGCCCCCACCACCGGCGCCCATGGGACACGCACCGCCCACTGCACCACCGCCCCCGCCTCCGCCGATAAATGGCCCAGCACCGCCCCCTCCGCCACCGCCCATGATCAATGGTGGCGCCCTGCCCCCTCCACCGCCTCCTCCGGCCATGCAATTGGCCTCTCGCCCCAGGACACCCGATCCTCTGGCCGCGGAGACGGTGGCTACTGCCATATTGCTACCGCAACAGGACACACCCGCTCCCAAGGCCAAGATGAAGACCATCAACTGGGGCAAGATTCCGCACAACAAGGTTTTGGGCAAGCAGAACATCTGGAGCATCGTGGCCAGCAATCACCAGGACAGCCCGATGCAGGACATCGACTGGAACGAGATGGAGGGACTCTTCTGCCTGCAGACGGCCAGTGCCCAGGGATCACCGAAACTGGGACGGGATGGCAGTCAATCCTCCGCCGCCACCAATGGATGCGATACCCTGGACCGAAAGTCCAAGAAGGAGAGCACGGAGATCACACTGCTCGATGGCAAAAGGAGTCTGAATGTGAACATCTTCCTCAAGCAATTCCGCACCAGCAACGACGACATCATCCAGTTGATCCGGCAGGGAGTCCACGAGGAGATCGGAGCAGAGCGGTTGAGGGGTCTGCTCAAGATTATGCCCGAGGTGGACGAGCTGGACATGCTGAAGGGCTTCAACGGGGACAAAGGACGACTGGGCAATGCCGAGAAGTTTCTGCTACAACTGCTGGAGGTTCCCAAGTGAGTGTCCTTAAGTGTTATTAATACAAAATCTAATTTGTAATATTTAATGATCCATTAGCTTGAAAGAAACTTTATCTTTCTAACTATTTTACAAATTATAAAATTAAAGAGCATTTTAAGTTATAGTTAAAAATGATTTCAAATTGTTGTTTGGTTTCTTAATTAGTTTTCTATTTGATTAATTGTATATCAAGAACACAAATACAATATAGCCGTAAAGTCCTTAAAAAAAGTTCGTTCACAAAAAATTCATTATGAAAATACGAAAGGGGTATATTTTAAAATATCATTATCTAAAGACGCCGAATCGTTACTAATATTTTGATTTAAAAAAATAATCTTTCTAAGACCAAGCTATAAAAGTTGTTAATTTGTTTATTAAGCTACTCTCAAAAGAATTATATTAAAAACGGTTATTAGTATGAATAATTTCCATTATATTTCTTGTTTTTTCGCAGCTACAAATTGCGCATTGAGAGCATGTTGCTGAAGGAGGAGTTTGCAGCGAATGTGGCCTATCTGGAGCCCTGCATAAATGCGATGCTCTATGCGGGCGACGATCTGCTGAACAACAAGACCCTGCAGGAGGTCCTCTACATGGTCGTTGTGGCCGGAAACTTCCTTAACTCCGGCGGATATGCGGGCAATGCTGCGGGTGTCAAGCTGTCCTCACTGCAAAAGCTCACCGACATCCGAGCGAATAAGCCGGGGATGAACCTCATCCACTTTGTGGCCCTTCAGGCGGAGAAACGCAATCCGGAGCTATTGCAGTTTACTGGACAACTGAGCACCCTCGAAAGTGCCAGCAAGTAAGTGGAAATGGAAAATCTCTTGTAATTTGAACACTTGTTAAACTCTTTGCCCATTTCTTTAAGGACAACTTCAGAGCAGATCAACAATGAAATCAACACACTGGACGGACGGATCCGGAGAATAGCCAGGCAGATCGAACAACCTGCCACGGATGCAGACATCAAGGAGCAAATGGCCGACTTCCTGCAGGCCGCCGAATCGGAATTGGCTGTGCTGCAGGCGGGCATGAAGCAGGTAGAGTCCATGCGTCTCAAAATGTCCGAGTTCTTCTGCGACGATGCGGCCACCTTCCGGCTGGAGGAATGCTTCAAGATCTTCCAGAATTTCTGTGATAAGTTCAAGCAGGCGGTCAAGGAGAATGAGCGGCGCCAGCAGCAGGAGCAGCAGGCCACTCTGAGGAGGAAGCAGCGGGAGGAGCAGATGGCCCGCAGAGCCAGGCAGAGTAAGTGCCTCCAAAGTTATAAAAAAAAGGGTATTCATACTCCTATTCATGGAATTAAATCAACAAAAATTTCAAAGAATTGGATATGTTCCTTCCAGTAACTCATTACTTAAAAGATTAAAAAAAACGGCTAGTATTTACTTAAACATGTTATTAAAAAATCAAAAAGTAATTATTTGGCCATATTTAAATGCCAATATATTCCAAAACAATAGATTTTCTTAAAGCAAGAACATGAGTACCCTTAAATCGAAAACATCGGGTCCCTTAAATTTAACAATATCTTAATCCTTATATTCAATTCTCAGTTGGTCAGGCTGGCACCCCCGTGTCCGATTCGGAGCACTCTTTCCTGGGCGACGGCATCTTCGATCCTCGGGCTAGTCCTGCGCTGAGTCGCAGGCACCTGGGATCCGGAGAGATCAGCAATGGTTTCATTCGTCTCGAACAGGACGGAGCCTCGCCGGACATCACACCCAACGGAAGTCTGAGGCGCCGGCGTAGTCGAGTTCTGGCCGAGGAGGATGACCTCATGGAGTTCTTGCGCAGCTCGACGGGTCCCCATGATGGACACAACAGCAGGGAGCGGAAGGCGGCCTACGGCAGCTTGGATCGCTCATGGGCCCGTCGCGCCCGCTCAGGAAGTTCCAGCCGGAAGCGTCCCGACTTGCTCAACATTGACTTTGGCCTGGACCGGGAGCGGGCCAGCTCTCCGGCTCCTCTTCTCCAGCAGCAGCAACAGCAGGCGCAGGAGCGCCTCCAATCCCCACTGGCCAGTGCAGCTGGAACACCCACAACGGCAGGGAATACGCCCACGGGCAGTGGATCAACAATTGCGCAGACGCAGTCCGTCAACGAGGATGCGAAACCGAGGTGAGTGATCATAATAAAATAAGTAAATGATAAAAAACGGGTTTAGTTGAATGTATGGTAATCAATAAGTAAGTTAAACATTCAAATATCTGATACCAGCATTAAAATTTTTTTTTAATTTCAAAATAATAATTATTGAGCTTTAAAAACTGCAGCTTAACCGAAGTGCCAAGGAATTGGACTGATGTTCGAACCAAAAAATCATTGTTTCGACCATAACAATGCAAATAATGGACTCTTTATGGAATGTCATACTTCGTTAATTAAATTGCCAATCAATTTGCATCCAAGGATAAAAAAAAATTTTTTTTTTTGATTTTTAAAAAGTTTACGATGTTACCCCTTATAAAAAAAGCAAAAATCGACAAACACAATTTATTTTTAAAATCAGCCAAAAAGATATAGGGAACTTTAGCTTAGGTCTTAGGTTGAACAAAACTGTCAATATTTTCGATGAGGCTCTTATTCTGGCCAAATTTCATCCAAAAAACATTAAAATAATAGTATTATTTTTAAAATTCATGATCTTTTTTTTCCACCCAATTGCGTTTTATATGTACTTGCATCTCTTTAACACCCATGTGATGCCTTTCCTTCCAGGATATCCCGTGAGTGGCGCCAGAAGATCGAGACGTGGCTGCAGTCCAACGAGAGCGACGAGAAGCAGAACGAGGAGTACAGGCGGAAGCGTCGTCTGGTCAACGCCAATCGGAGATCGCTCGAAAACGAAACTGGTAATAAAGGGTCAAGAATCCATGGTTGAATAGATCTGCGAGCTATAACCTCTTTCTTGTCCACAGAAAACGAACGAAAACTGGACCCCTTGCCGGAGGAGAAGATCCTGCCTTCGACGACGACAGCTACGCCAACGAACACGCCCACGACCACTAATCCCACTAATTCCACTAACAGGCCGGATCAGGATTCCGGGAAATACCAGCGCGTCTACGCCGACTGGAGGCCTTCGAAGACGCTGGAGCAAACAGATGTGGTGGCCAATCTGCAGGCCATAGCTGATGCCCAGCCCCAGGATGCACTGCGTCAGTATCGCCGCCAGCGATCGCAGGATCAGTCTAGTCCTATTACACTCCAATCGATAGCTGAAGAGGATCGGAGGAAGTCGCTGATCCAGAAACTGGGCGAAAGGGACATGAGCAACGAGCGGTTGCAGATCTTTATAAGAAGATCGTCTAGCAGGGAGCTGCAGTCGGCCATAACGGAGGAGCAGCTAATGCCACCCAAGTCACCAAAGCCACCGGTGTCCGATGACACATTCGCCAGCCTGCTGAGTCACCACAAGAGCCAGAACGAGATGCAGGCCTCCTCCAAAGACGTGGACGCGGATAACATTGAGACACCGCCCGTGAGCCGTCGGGTGATAGCCACGCCCACCACCACAGTGGTCACGGTGAGCATGACGGACAAGCCAAAGGCTGCGACGGAGGAGAAGATTGGATCAGCGGAGCAGGATGCCCCGGGCCACTTCGATCGCCATGCCTTGGGGCGTCGCACACGTCGCTACAAGAGACCCACGGACTACAGCAGCGGCAATGAGGAGCTCTTGACCACCAGCACACCAGAGCCGAAGGCCTCTCCCTCGAAACCAGAGCAACCTCCGCCCGAGAAATCCAAGCAGAAGGAGCGCACGATCAACAAGCTGGAGAAGGTGGGTCGCCACATTAGCTCCATCAACCAGGAGGATGTGAGGGAGGCCATCCGGAATCTCAAATCGCCCACAGGCACACCCGAGCGGCCTTGGAGTCCACCGCGGGAGATCACGCCCTCTAAGCTGAAGCTCACGGCCAGCGGTCACCACGAGCTCAATGACGAGGGCTTCGAGGAGACCCAGAGTCTGGTGTCGGACACTCCCTCCCATGGAAAGGGTGAGAGCACCAACTCCTCCTGCAACGAGGGAGTTAGCGAGACTCCAGCCCGCCAGCGTCCGCTGCAGAAACAAAAGCCCACGACCACCAGCATCACGCAGATGGGCAGTCGCCTGGCCGATCGCCTGCAGCAGGCCAGATTGAAGGGTTCCGGATCCCCGGGATCGACAGCCATGAAGTCCCAACACCAAATCCCTGCCACACAAACGGCTACGGTCAAGAGGAGTGTCTCCGCCAGCAGACCGCTGCGCATGCCCAATGGTCAGCCGTTGGTCAGTGCCGCGCCGCTGAGATCCGCATCCGCTGTGAGACGCTCGCCGCAGGAGCAACAGGTCCTCGCTGGAGTGGAAAGAAGCAGTTCGAGGAACAGCCTGCGCTCGTCGCGATCGTCCATCAACAGTGGAGCCTCCACGCAAACGGTGGTGAGGCGTCTGCCTGCCGTCCAACGAGCGGGAGCCACTGTATCCGTGGACTCGTCGCCCAGCAAGAGACCTCTGGCGGCCCAGAATCTGCGACCTACGCCAGGACGTGGAGTGCCGGCCAGCAGGAGCAGCAGCAGTGGCTCCAGCGTGGGACCCAGTGTGATCCTGGTGCGCAGCAAGATGAGCAGTACCGCACCGAGAACGAATATCAACGGCAGCACCAGCTTCAAAGAGAACCAGTCCCAGTCCCAGCCACAATCCCAGTCCCAATCTCGAATGAGCGCCGCTCGCAGTGTGGTCCTGGTGAAGAATGCCCTGAACCAGCAGCAGCAGGCCAGGATGAATGCTAATCCGAGTCCCCAGCAGAGGAGCACCAGCAGCAGTCGATCCGTGAGCAGCTTCATGCGACCCACGGCCAGCAGCGTGACGAAGCGCCAGAAGTGAGGTCCAGTTTAGTCCTCGTCCAAGTTAACGTCCCAGTTTACACATGTTACAAACGCGAATGCATCCAAATCCAAGCCGTCCAAGCGACAATTTCGAATTTCTAAGCAGGATCTAAAAGCACAAAAAAACATAATTGTTACAGTTGCAATATTTTGAGAAGTTATACAAATCTTAAGAATTCCCTGCACATTCCAACCGAAGGTCCGTAAACCCTTAATACAAAAGACAAAAACTTTCAAACTCTTAAATGTATTTGAGCACAAAAAACAGAAAACGAGACAAAAATACTAGCATGTACTACTCAACTAAAACTTAGGATAAGTGAAAAAAAAAATGTTAAACTCGTATTTCCATATTTAACATATAGCTGTAGGCATTATTCGATTATACGATCACGTTAGGAGACTTTTTTATAGAAGCGCGTTGTTTACAAAGTGTGTAGTTGAAGAAACCAAAACGACAATTACAAATCTTTAAAATAAAAGAACATAAGCTTTAATCTTCATAATAAATAAACTAGATAACTACGAATAACTAAAGCTAAGCAGCTATGCCATCCAGGGAGTCAAACAGCTCTCGTTGCAGCGCGTCCTGGGGCTGAGCGGTGGGATTTACATAGTTTTCCTTGTCAAACCACTCTCTGTGGTTTTCCAGGTAGCTGCAAATACAAATAATTAGATATTTGGAGTCTCAGAAAGGTCTTGACCTACTTGATAAAGGAGTCGAGGTGGGGTAGTAGATCTTCCAGCTTCCTATTGCTAATTGGCGAGGCGTTTAGAAACATGGGCATTTTAACTGAAAGAAGCACGGAATTTAATAATGCCAAAAACTAAAAAAAGGAAAAGACCTACTCATCAGTCTAGCCAGATGTGGAGCGCCAAAAACCATCGACTTTTCCGGCGAAGATTCTGCTGATAGAAGCCGCCAGTTGAATGTTTCATTGAGGAAGCCGCGCATCTCCATCGGCAGTTTGTAGGCGGCCGTGTATGGCGATGAGCGATCGTACGCCTGTGCCGTATTCTTCCCGCTGCTGTTGACGATGTAGAGCAGGCACTTTTGCAGCTGCTTCTCGTACTCCTTGCCGCCGAGAATGCCGCCTTCGATCTGTCCATTGGTCTTGCCGGGTCCGCCGCCCACGGGCGTGCCGTCCAGCGAGATCAGTTCCGTTTCGCCGCTGGGATTGATAAAGTCATACGATTTGTTCAGTATTAAACTGCAATTACGCATGTTGTCGTCGGTGAGGTAGTTGTGGATATACTCCTTCTCCTCCTTGTAAAGCAGATGATCGTCCAGGTGAAACTCGAAATAGATGCGAATTCCATCCACCACCTCCTTCAGCATGCAGACGCTGTAGAAAACGAAGTTAGTAGATTGCTAAGGGAGGGATTACATGGCTACCAACTTGGACATGACTCGATCGTATTCCCGCTCCATGCGGGCATTGCGACTTTGCGTGTTCCTGGCCCTCGAGCTGTCCTGCTTGATTCCAATGGCCAGCTCCACGGCCCGCTGCTTGACGAAGTTCTCCATGATCGAAACGATGGGCATGCGGGCGGGCAAAGCATGCTGCTTGCCCAGTTTCTTGACCATGTTCCGGTCGTACTCGATTATCTCGCGCAGCCGCTCGCTGACGCGCATTATAATGCGATCCTCCTGCTGCACAATGCGCTCGGCAGCGGGGTCCATTATGTCATTGTGCTGGCTGGCTTCTGTTGGGCGTCCACGGAGATTTCCCTTTGGCCTACCCTCGGCGGGTGCGGGCTTTTCCTTCTTGTTGCCACCGCTGTTGTCCCGCGAGCGGTTGCCACCAGTTGGGCGATGTGTGGGCGGCATTTCCTGTTCGGATGGGTGGTGCCCCGTGTCCAGAGGGTCTGCCAATGGGTCTTCTACGTGGGCTCCACGCCCCCCGCGCTTTTTCTTGGCCACCGGCTTATCGGGCGTCCCCTTGTAGGAGTAGTCCCCCCTGCTGTATGTTGAATAAAAGAATGTAAGTATATATGCATGTCAATATCTAGTTATACTTACATCTGGAGCTGAGCCGCTTCGGCCAATTCACGCTGCAACTGGCGATTTTCCTCGGTGTCTTTCAGCAGGACAGTGCCGCGAACCGAGCGATCGTACGAGGGCCGCCACCCCTGAAAGTGGATCTTGTAGTCGTAATACCTCAATCCATATTCGTCGCGGCGTTCAAAGACATTCAGAACCTGCGGGAAAAAGGAAAATTTGCTGTGAAAACTCAGATTTTGACATTCGTCTGACGTTTCAGCATGGGATTGTGTGTGTGCGTGTGTCTGTTTGTGTAGGTAAACGCGTTACCTTGCTGGTGTAAAGAACTCGGGCTTTCGATTTATCCGGCTCGTAGCAGAGGACTATCTCGCCCTTGCGGAAAAGGGGCGTCTCGTCCTTTAGCTCCGTCATCACTTGAGCAAAACAAAAGGTAAATATTTCACTTAAGACTAGTAAATATTAGAAAATCAACGACTAGCGTCTCTATTCCAGTGTGACCAGGTCGGGAGAGTGGAAATAAACCTTCCGGCTTACAGACTTTTTATACCAAGACTTTGATAAAACTGAAATTCCACATGGAACTAAAAATACTAATATTGCGGTTTTTTCAAATTGTAAACAATGATATTCAAAAATAAAACGAAATTGTGTCTAATAAAGATAATGAAATGAAATTAGGTTAAGATTTCGTTCTATTGGTTAAATTTCATTCTTATGTTCCGCGGCTAATCCAAGATTGAAACACAAAAACCATTTTACCTCAGTTATTTAGAATTCCTTTAGAACATAAGTGATTTAGGTATAATAAATTATGTGTAAATATCCTCCTTTTTTTCTTCTTATTATACATTTTACTTTAAATTAATTTGCCCTTGTCAAAGGCAGAGCTACCTACATACCACGAATAAACGGTCATCCTGGTTGCTAGGGAAAAAGAAAACCAAAACAAAGGCATGTCCTGAATCACCTGTTCGTTTTCACACTACGCTGCCAAGTATTCCGCAAGATCCTGCCATGGCCGGTGCCCCCAACTGGCTCCATGTGGACACGGAGGACGAGAGTCCTCGTCAGCAGCTGACCACCCTGTCCAGCTGCATGGCCCTGAGCGACGTGCAGTGCGACGGATATGTCCGGCTGCTGGCGGCGGACATTTCATTGGACGACGCCGCCGAGGAGCCCAGTGCCACCCTGAAGGTTTTCCGGGGACTCAAGCTGAAGCACGAGCAGCCGCTGCCGGGGATTCCCACGGCCATCGTGAGCCTCTACATCGACGAGTCGGAACCCAAGACGCCGGGTAGGTTTTTTTTCAGGGGACTTTGGGGGAAACTTCTCCCTGCTAAGAGAATATGTATATACAATTTAAGGCTCTTAATATTTTTCATAGTTTAATAAATATTTTATTTTATATATTTATTTTGGATTTAATAACATGTTTTTCATATCATTAAGTGGCTTATAAACCGAGAAGTTCTTTTGAATTTTGTAGTTCCGAATTTTAATCTTTTAGCTGCCGGAAAGTATTTAAAAAAATATACCTATATATTAAAGCTAAAGGCAATGTAATGGATAATATTATTTTGGATTTTCAAGATACCTAATTCTAATAAAAGGTAAACCATAAGTCTTGACCTTTGTTAACTTCAATTTTGTAGTAATTGCCGTGGCCATTGCCGAATCCGTATTATTTTACCGCCACCTGAAGCCGTACTTCAAGTACACAATTCCCGCCCAGGAATCCGAGGACCTGGAGTTGGAGGTGTGGCGCAAGCTGCCGGTGATGAAAACGGACACCCATCCCGGCCTGCTGGACTCCCTGCGAAAGATTGACCACTCCAAGCTGTCGCGGAAGTCGCAGCGCCTGCTGCAGATGGGCGAGGAGGAGCGGGAGGCCTTCATCAACACCCACAAGGACTCGCCGGTGGGTCGGGTGGGCAGCATAGTGGCTATGTGCTGCCTGAAGCGCATCTCCAGCGACTCGAATCCCCCCTCCCACTTGGTCCTGGCCACGGATATCGGCCATGTCCTGATCCTGGAGCCGCAGGGCTTTAATCTGGTTTTCAAGGGCAGGACCTGTGAGGATGAGACCGCCGTGCCGAGCCTGATCTCCGTGCAGGGAACCTTTGAGACGGACTTCTGCATCGTGGTGGCCACTCGGAATGGCGGTGTATACCTTCTGCGGAAGAGCCAATCCGAGGGACAGGAGATCTTCAAGCTGGGCATCCCACTCACCGGACTGCTACTCCTGCCCATCGATCAGACCATCATCGCCTCCACGATGGACAATCGCTATCTGTGCTACTCGAAGCGGGGCAAGCTGCTATATCAGGTGCAATTGGCCGAGCTGCCCGTCTGCCTCCTTCCGCTGCCCATGACCCATTTGGGACTCACCCTGGTGGCCATCGCCCTCAAAGGGGGCGTGGTCAAGTTCTATTTGCAGCGCTATCTGGTGGATGAGTTCGCTCTGGACGAGACAGTGGATGCAATGCTATACGGTCGGATGGGCATGGAGGATCACGTCCTGACCCTGGTTACCCAATCCGGCGGAATCGTGGTGAAGATATTGAGACGGGTATCCCGGTTCGAACCCAAAACCGGAGATCTGGGAAGCAAGCGATCGGGTGGTGATCAGAAATCCATCGTGGATGTTTCTATTCTGGACAAGCCCAAGAAGAGCTCCATTTTTGTGGAGCAGGCGGCGCGGGAGAAGCAGCAGGCCAAATGTAAGTGGAAAATTTATTAATCATGTTTATTGAATTATATTATTATTTATTGGCTATAGCAGCAATAACTTATTTTTAACAGACTAGTCACATTATTTCTGATTATTTTGATTACAAATATGAATTCCAATTTTCATAGTGTGTTATTTCATAAGTTTGTAGATTACTTCGTAAAGTTGATAGCGCTTGAAATACCCACGAATTTCGATTAAAAACTGAGTAAACTTACTATATTTAATACATTATGTGTTCTACTTTAAAAAATTTATTTAAATAATGAATCCAAAAGGAAGCTATATAAAACATCAATTGGATAAAATCTTTTTTATATCAGTTTGAAATAAACATATTTAATTCTCACTTTCAGCAACCTATGGAAGCTTTCAGGTGGAACTCTGGCGACTTCGCCACACGGCAGCCCGTGCCACGATCGATGCCATCAACTCCTCGGAGAGCACCATTTCCGGGGACCTCACCCACGCCCCCGTGAAGCTATCCGCCGAGGTCTGCGGCAGTGGACCCGCCTTTCGCCTCTACCTCACCGTCCAGAACCTGTCCACCTTCAAAATGGCCTCCAACCTGGTGGTTCTCCTCCACGCGGACCGACGACACTACACCATTCCGCAGTCAATGGCCAGGCTGCCCAGTGTTCTGCCGGGAGTTCCACTTCGAGTGGACTTCGAGGTGGTGGCCGTGCTGGATCCCATGGACAAACTACCCCCGTCCACTCTAAGCCCGGATAACTCCCTGATTCGGGTCATGCTGATGAAGGCCGGCCAGGCCAAGCCACTCATCGCAGCCGCTGTTTCAATGCCACAATCCGAGGCAGCCTTCTAAGTGAGCAAGAACTATTTAATGATTCGTCATAATAAGATTTCGAGTTTATTTGGCAGATGGAGAATAGTCCGAATGTCCGGATTTAGGCGTACTTGGGGGCGTACTTCTCGTACACCTTGATGTAGGCCTCCTTGGCCGCCTCCTTCGACAGACCCTTGTGGGCGTTCCAGGCTTCGTACATGGCCTTCTTCTTGAGATCCAGGATGCCGGGCTTGTCGATGTTCACATCGCCAACGGTGGACTGCTTGAACAGGCCGTAGAACTCCAGGAACTCGGAGTCGGTGGGCTTCTTGGAGAAGTTCTTGGCGAGTTCGGCGGCTTCCTCAAAACTGACCATTTTGCTGGATATACGAGTGATACTAAGTAACTTCTCCCCGCCAACAGCTGCCTTTTATAGACCCTCTTTCCTGTGGGTATTACGAAATTTAATTAATTTAAATATGGCCATGTGCATTGCCCAATTTATATCTACATTCGGAGAACCGAATGCCGTTCAAAAAGTTTAATTAATATTTTCTGTGGCTCTTTAAAGTTAGATACGACTATCTGCTCGGCAGAAGCACTATTCTTAGTAACCGAAAGATCGTGCGACTTCACCATGATAACATATCTTAGGAACTGACTCACGTGAGTTAGGTGTAAAAGAAGTACCAATGACAGTTCAAAATACGGGAAAGCCTTTAATTAAGTTATTGGTTTGTTGGTTATCCAGATTTCTTTATATAGTTGAAGGCCTGACCTAATCAATCAAGCAGATAGTGAGTACATAGCGTTTTGCATATGGCTGATTTCATTTTTGGCAAGTGCAAGAGCGCTGATTAGCTGTCGTCTGACTAATTATATATTTCAATGCCCCTAAGAGGAACTCTCACTTTTCATGATTAACCGAATATATACTTTTACGATAAGCCCAAGTGGGAACTACAATTGCAGTGGGGGCCTGATAAGATTAGCGAAAGGTGTGAGCCATGTTTGCCAATATATAAATGGTGTTCACGACGAAGTCTGCACAGATTGTTTTTGTTTACCGAAACCAACTAGCCACCAACATGCCCACCGTAAGTCTTACACCACCAAATGGCCTTTCGATTGTGTAACAATTTTCTTTTTGCATATCTTCAGTTTGAGGAGATCGTCGAGAAGGCCAAGAACTTCAAGAACCTGCCCTCCAAGGAGGAGTTCCTCGAGTTCTACGGCTACTACAAGCAGGCCACCGTCGGCGACTGCAACATCGAGGAGCCGGAGGACGAGGAGAAGAAGGCCCGCTACAATGCGTGGAAGAGCAAGGCCGGTCTGACCGCCGACGATGCCAAGGCCTACTACATCGAGGTCTACAAGAAGTACGCTCCCCAGTACGAATAGGCGTTGCATCTCCCATCTGGGAACCTTTTAGACTTAGACCTACTCTGTGACCCTTCTAATGATGCATGTTGTAACTCCCTGTATTTATTGTAAATTTATAATAAACCAAACACCTATGCATTTAACATAAATAAAAGCCTATCAGTTCCTAACTTTCCACTCAAGTTGCCGAGTGCGATCATGCGACCCACTACACACTTATCTTAATCTGATTAGGAGCTATCAGCTTTCCGTCAACGCCTAACCTGATATGTTTTGTAAGCTGGAAAAGTATAAATATAGAAAAAAGAAATTAATTGACTATGACGATATTTTATAAAAAAAGTTACAAACGTTATCGTACTTTGAAAAGACTTTAGAGTATTAAATATTTGTTTAGATTTACTAATATTAGTTTTTACATTTTTGGTATGACTGCAAGAGTAGTCAAACTTTGGCTTGCGGAAGCTAGCTTCCCTTATTGTATTAAATAGTATTGGTATACTACTTGTTCTGCATCATCAAGAAAGGTATATTCGGTCCACCCGGTTCCGAATAAATTCCATATGCTGATGTTTGGAGCAAATCCTTCCAAAAGCCCTGAACTTTTTTGCATGTGCTTGAGAATTAATTAGGAAAATAAATAAGTGTTGAAAATAAAAAACAATAAATATAATTTTTCTGCTATCCCATCTCTTACTTTATATTTTGAAAAGTTAGTCATGTCGAAGACTTTGTTCACAATAGTATGAATCAACGAATTTGATAAATATTATCAACATGGTGGGAAAAAAAGAATTTCCGGTCAAGTAAAAACCAACTAAGCGAATTAAATTTGAACCATAAACTTGAAGTTATAACTTATATATAATGTGTCTATAACAAATGAAAACAAATGAAACGAGCGAGTATTATTTGGTTTTAAAAAATTGAATATTGGTTTGTTATATTAACAATAATAGTTGAAGTAATTTTCTACATTGGACAAATATGAAAAGTTATTTACACGCTTTCTACAAAAATAGTACACGTATCTTCAATGAAATTAAAGCATACTTTTAGGAGATGTATTTTTAAAGGTTATTAATCAACGTTTATGCCTTTAGCTCTCAGTTAGGATAATTTATTTCTTAAGTTTAATTATAGCTTTATTTTAATATTTTCGATATAATGTGAAGCGTAATAATTAAACAAATTACAGTTTATCTAAAACATCTATGCATTATATCATATTCTTTTCTCCACATGATTAAGGCAGGGTATTATAAAAAGAATCGTTACGTATAAGAAAAATAAAAAACAAGACTATTTACTTACTTACTTATATCTAGTCATAATTATACACATCTATCTTTAAGATCCGTAACTTTTAGTTTATTAATAGGGATATTATAAAAAGAATGTTTTAATGACAAAAACTTTGTCTTTCTAATCCTCGGTTATAAGTTATCAATTTATATAACCATTCCAATATATAATTGGTTTTAAAAAGTGCCTATTGAAACAAAAAGAAGGCCAATCCTTCAATCTACTGTTGATGCTGATCAAGAAGCCACGTATGTGCGTAGATTAATAGATTTATTATTACGTCGTATATACGGGAATGAGCCAAGAAATTCGTCATTATTTATGGCTAATCGTAAAAGTTTTCCAGCCCAGAGACGAATTCGCTGGTGAATCCAACTGTGCCCTTGGATTCTAAAAAATGGTCATCGAATTGGCTAGTACAATAAACGATAAGTGTATCCGGGGGCTATCTCCAATATCGCTACCTTTGACAATGTCGACCGCTTGTAGTTGGGCTACGAAATTAGCGAAATAAAGATATCGATATCTGCTGATTATCAGCAAAATGGGAATACTTTACTTGGACCAATAAACCAACTGAAATATGAAAGGGTTTCAAAGCTATATAAACGCGGCCAAAAGGCCTAGAAGTATTCAATCGTCTTTGCCTTTTCCAGTGGTAAGCACATTAGCAAGGAATCCTTGTTGTTAAACTATATTTAATTCTGTACGTTTCTGTTTCTTACGTCAGCATTACCAACAAGAATCCAAATCTATCAACATGGTCTCCGTAAGTATTCTGCACATTGGATATAACTAATTACTGAAAGACAGTATTGAGTAGGAATCAAAACCTTGAACTCAAAGAACTATGACAGTTCTAAAGAAATAGCTATTGGATCCTTAAATAATCTTAAACTTTTCCTTGTCAAACAGTTCGAAGAAGCCTCTGAACTCGCCAAGAAGTTCACCAAGAAGCCCACCGATGCCGAGTTCCTGGAGTTCTACGGCCTCTTCAAGCAGGCCACCGTTGGCGATGTGAACATCGAGAAGCCCGGCGCTCTGAACCTGAAGGAGAAGGCCAAGTACGAGGCCTGGAACTCCAACAAGGGTCTGTCCAAGGAGGCCGCCAAGGAGGCCTACGTGAAGGTGTACGAGAAGTATGCCCCCAAGTACGCCTAAATTGGATCCCGTTTCCGGACCCCCCATTCACCTGCCATCACCTAGTTGAACAATAAAGATTATCCGATATATCAGCAATAATCTGGTGTTTGTCCGGCTGACCGGCATTTTATTGGAGCTTTCGTGCAATAAGGCCCATTCCCCCGACGGCCTGACCCTCGAATATCCCCAGTTTTTCGCGATTGGAGGGGACTGCTCGAACTTCGATCCGAACACGATTACGTGGCTCCGCTTCGGTTTGGTTTGTTGGTCTATCAGGGAATCGGTGCTGCTATCAGTTGGGGCTGCATTATCACCACCGCGATTGCCTAACCCACTCGAGCGAAAGCTCACCGAGATCCACCGAGAATTTCTCCCTCTCTCTCGATTTCTCGCCGGGTAGAAGCTTTCTCGTTGGGGCGATCGCGCGATATGGGACGACTTAAATTGAAAGTCACCGCCGGAATGGAATTCAGACAGTGTTTAGTTCTGTGACAGCCAACACAAAAGTAAGTGACCAATTTCCACTGCCCGCGGCTTGCATTCAATTGCCCCAACAGAACTCACCACCTATCAGTGCCCACTAGTTGTGGTTGTGACACAAAAAGTTCAACATTTAGATAGTGATAGGTGTTGGACACCTGCAATTATGGAAATTAACAAACCGACGAGGCACTGAGCAAAATAAGTGATTCAGTGCTTAAACAATGTAATCTTAAAAACAAATATTCTAGAACTTTGTTGAGTTCTAGTTTGAGTCACTTTGAATTTTTGGTATTTTTGTCTTGTCATTTTATAGGTCCATAAAATAAATGAGTATTTACAAATATCGAACTCATTCCCAGATTGCAAGCTTTTGTAACCATAAATTTGCCCGACCATATTTGGCAACTATTTTGCTCAGTGCTCGTCACGTACAAAGCCCACGCCCGAATCCATATTGGTAAAAATTTGCCGGCCAAAAGCGGCCGCTAACGGTTGCCCGCTCCCTTTCAAAAATCTCGGTTCAGAGACAAATATTTGCGCCTTCTGCTTCCGCAGCATAATTTCCAAGTTCTACTCAAATTATGTATTTCTGCCCGGTGAAAGTCGGACATTTGTGTGGCCCAACAAACACCCATTAGCAGAACATCCATTAGTTCTTCGAGATCACCAGTTGGGGGGCCAAAGTTCAGTTCAGTCCCACCTGGTTTTGTTTGGCACACGCCAGCCTCCTCATTCGGAACTGGTTTTAATTATTATGATAATAAACATAAAACTAAGCACTTTATATACAAGACTAATTTAACTTTTTTACACTTCCACTTCTTGCAGATTAAATCTAACCCAGAATGTCCCTCTCCGAGGTAAGTACTTCCCCCAAAAGATTGTGCACTGATCGCAACAGTCCACTAAATTTAGGGCGACACTGCGCGATAAGCCGGCTGCTAATCACCTGTTCGATTGCTCCACACTCAGAAAAAATACTTTACAAAATGAAGAGCATTTCATTCTCAAATTATACATCTTCAAATGAGATTAGATTAAAATTCAGTGAACTTCCACGTGTTCAAGGAGTGTAAATTTTGAATAAATTTAATTATGAATCCAATATTAAAGAGCATATTATTTGATATTAATATATTGCTAACAAATTTATCAACATATATATCATATATTTTAACAACTATTCTCGTTTTTAACAATAAGAATATTAGTTAATAAACATAGTTGCTTGAGCAAAAGATGTGCACTCAAAGATTGAAAATCCATATTTGAAACTGTTTGCTTACTAAAAGCAAAATAAGATATTATATGAGCACACTATAAAAACTAGGAATTTTGAATATGTCAATAATTGTGGATGCTTAAGGACCATTATAGTTTCGTGAAATACTAAAAGGAAATACCTTGTTTTAAATGATATACATTTTTTTTGCAGCCGTGCTTTCTTAGTGTCCTGATTTAAGAACCCTCTATTTTTGGTTGCCTAGTAATATACCCCTTTTTCCCCCAGCAATTCAACGCCGCCGCCGAGAAGGTGAAGAGCCTGACCAAGCGTCCCAGCGACGACGAGTTCCTGGAGCTGTACGCCCTGTTCAAGCAGGCCAGCGTGGGCGACAACGACACCGCCAAGCCGGGACTCCTGGACCTGAAGGGCAAGGCCAAGTGGGAGGCATGGAACAAGCAGAAGGGCAAGAGCAGCGAGGCCGCCCAGCAGGACTACGTCACCTTCGTGGAGGGCCTGGTGGCCAAGTACGCTTAAGGGCTTAGTGCCAAAGAAGTGAACCACCCAACCACCAATTAGCAATCTTAAACCAGCTAGAGACTATTCACCCATAATGTTACCTATAATGCGGAATAAACTTTGTATGTTAATTTTGTACTTAAAGATGTGTTGACCCCATGACTCAAGCGTTGCATTCGCTTAGTCTGTCGGCGGTATTTACCTGGTAAATAGAGGAAGTGGCTGGGACGCTGCACCGTTCTGTCTGTACTTTGGACCAAAATGTGGCGCTTGTTAGCGGCGCATCGTTAATGGATCTTCGAGTGTGTTTGCACATGTTCAGTTTCGAGCGGAAGATATCCGAAATCTACGACCTTGAGGCATCCATCCAAATCCGCTTAGGACGCCTTAAAAAATTAACGAAAAGCTCAAGATAATTAGCCACGATTTTCCGTGACTTAAGTGGCATTTACATTAAATGCTTCCGCAACATTAGTTGCAACATTTTAAGTGCCGCCCTAACAACAAAGCCGCCAGCAACATCTACTGACAACAGCAACATGTTGCTAGTTGCTCAGCCGCGCAACAGGTGAAGCAGAAGAAGAAGAAGCAGACACACAGAGAGTGAGAAAGAGGATAACAGAGCAACAACAATTCCGCCTGCGTTTTTTGTTTATGAATGAAAAGCGCAAAGGCAAAACGGCGATAAACTGGTGTGGGCAAAAAGAGCAGCAAACTAGGGTAACTGTGGTGGGTCGATAATTGGATACCCTAAAAAACGTATCTTAACCAAATTTTAGGATCCTAAACGGTCGTGGATAAAAGGATTTCATATATGATTCGTATTTTAAAAATTACAATATTAAAATTTTATTATTTGGTCAATTAATTTACATAAATGTATAACATTTCAACTCATTTATTGTAAAAGTACTTATTAAATTATGTACAAAAATTAAAATATTATGTGTCCAATAATATTTTTTAACGCAATATTTATGTATAAATATAGATAACAAAGAAACATTTGTTTTTCAAAAAATGCTTAAGGTTCTTGTAACTTGGTTAACATAAATGCTGCCTAAATGTATGCTTTAGTTTATATTTTGAACTGGAAGTGCGAAAGTTACTTACAGCTAGTGAATTTAAATAAAGTTCTGGTTAAAAATAGGAAAACGTTTTGGATGTAGAATCGATTAACCTGTTCCAAAACACAGTAGCAAAGGTGCTCCGCACAAGAAAGGTAGTCCAACAGAGAGCCTGGCCGCCAGAGCGAGAGCCAAGAGAGCACGAGAGAGAGCGAGCGTCCAGTGATCGTGCAAAACAAACAGGCAACAACAAGCAGCAACAACAACAACCAGTCGGTGTCAGCCAGTCTGACAATTGGGCCTTTGCCTTTGCTTTTGCCATTCCGCTCATTCAGTCTTCATTCGGGCCCAAACGCGTTCGCTTGGCCAGCGCGCTCGTAACTCCGCTTCTGCCCCCCAACCGCCTCCCGCTCTCTCTAGCCTTTACCGCCCGCTCTCCGCTCGCCTTTCGGTGTGTGCGTGCGCCCATACCTATAACGTGTGTGTGTGTTAACAAAATGTGATTAGCAAAAATACAAAGAAATCAGGCATAGTGGAACAAGGCATTGTGGCTGAAACAACAGTCAACGGCGCAGCGCACATAAATATAAAAAACAAAAAAATTAATATACACAACAAAGTATAAAAAACAAACCTTTAAACATATACACGAAATGCGAAAATCTGCATAAAAAGCAATGCGCTGGCGCGGCAACAAAGCGCGGCCGTAAAAAATAAATAAACGCCAACGACAATTCTGAATTTTGTGCTTTATCGGCAACGGCAGCAACAATTAAATTAATATTGAACTACACTACACCCAAAGTTAACAAAAGTAGCAGCCATAAAAAAACAAAAGCAAAAACTACGGTTGCGGCTGACTTGGCCAAAACAACAACAGCAACAAAAGCGGCAACAGCAACAACTATCAGCGTTGTCTACCTTTTTTTTTGTACCCTTTCCAAGTGTTTTTTGTTGCTGCTGCAAGAGAGATATACTGAGAGAGCAGGAACCGCAGACAAAGAGAGTGCCAGAGATCGGGGCTTAACTCCGACTTCGACCAGTTCCAGTTCCAGTTGTTGGTAGTGATACTGATATGACCAGCTGTCCGCCAGCAGCCACAGATGCAATCCGGTGAGTTTCGCCCATTCACTGTTGTTGGCTTGACGGATTCAAATTTCAGACTCAAAGATACAATTTTAAGCAATCTTGAACGACTTTCGATTTCCTTCTCGTTTTTAAACCATCATCATTTTATTTAATGCTTAATTTTTACAAAAGTGTAAATATTAAAATATGATGTTATTGAATTAGTGAACATTTATCATTAGTAATTATCTTTATTTTAACTCAAATTAATTTATTATGTTCAAAAGCTTTAACAAGTTTTAATTCATATACCTCTTCAAATTTCCAAGACGACAATCTTAAGCGTAAATATAAAGAATATTAATATGAGTGCGCGTTTAACCAATATATACATTTGGTGTCCTTTAAAACTTGTATAGATCGGAGTCATTTTATTTAAAGTTAAAATGTTTGGCAATAGAATTTCACCAATATGTATTTGTTCTTGTTGGGCAGGTAAAAATTTAGCCAGGTAGCAGCAGCCTTAGAGAATCGTCGATCGCAGGCTCCGCAAAACCCATTATAAAGTGCCAAAATATGTGCGCCAGTGTTAGTGGGGCTTTTTGTATATTTTCGTGTGAGCTTCTTGTTGTTGTGCTAATTCGCAGCAATTTCTTCGTTCGCGGCCTTTTCATTAATAAGTTTCACGCGCCGCTCATTTTTCAACATACTCGCACTCCTGTCCCCCTCAAACCACCTCGTCTGTGGATCGGATTACCGTGTTGATGTTGTCTTTACTTTTCGCAGTCCCCAAATGCCGGCAAAGGGGCTAGCGGGACAAATAAATTATAATTTTTGCTAATTCCTACATGTAGGTAGTTTTTGGGGTAGATAACATAAATTTAATGGTGATGCAATCAACTCAAAGACTTGGCTAAGAACTTCGATGATTGATTTTTAATATTATCCGAGCTACTGAATTTGTTAAGTAAAGAATATACTACCAATATCCAGAATAAAACTTGTCAAACATGATCGCTACCAGGTTTTATAAATTAGTGTTACTTAGGAGCAATTACAGCTGACTTGGCAATTTGTTATTTTAAATAATTTTTATTTCAACAGATTGCTTAGCGCCGTATATTCGCATTGTCTGTTATATTTGTGAATTAATTATTTGTTATTCTAAATTTACAATACTCTGCTTTCCTCTTGATTGCCTATCCCGGCAATTATAGGGATAAACATATTATGCTTTTGGATATGTATTTGTTATTAATATATATTTTTGGTTGGCCGACTACTTACTTTAGAACTCAAGTACCGTCCCCTCGCAATCATTATCACACTCGATAGCCAATAACTACCGATGACATCTGCAACCCAGATTTCAGAGTCCAGACAAATATATTATCAATCCGAGCCATCCCACCAAACGGTGGCGATGACTGTCTGCGCATGCGTAGGGTAGCCAGAAACGGATTGTTCGAGGTAGTGAGTGGAAAACGAGTTTTCCGAGAGCGACTAATACTAGTTATGTTTTGCGACTGCCCGCCGCCAAAATCTCCTTTCCCCTTTTCTGCCGCCGGACAGACTTTGAATCGACGACGACGTGTAATTGCAGTCGCAAGTTGCAAGTTGCAAGTCGCAGGTTGCAGGTTGGCCACTGGCAACCAAGTGGCAGACTGCCGAGACACTTGACGCTCCTCCGAGCACATTGGCCAGGTATGACAATGGAATGCACAAACAAGAACCAAACACTTGCCAAGCACGCAATGCGACTCGGTTTCGGAAAAGCGGAATGCTCGCTGGATCAGAATACGTATACGTCCAGTGTGACGGTTATGTGAGCCGGCGGCCCGTTTCGCGGAAACTCCCTACAAGGAGACACACGGAGGCCGTGCCACTTGGCCGGTTGGTCCAGCCCTGGCCAACAGGTAGGGTTACTCATAGCGGACCATCTCAGCTCTGTCTCCATCGGAAAATTGAGTCATTCGCTCGCTCTTATGAAATACAGACGAACTTCCATAAATCGAACAGCGATCTTGTCACGTTCAAGATCTAGAAATTGCGTGCACATCGTTTTCATTACGAATATTCATGAATTTTGCGTCATCAGGCATTAAAAAGGTTTTTCTTTAAAATGTATACCTTATTATATTTTAAAGCTCGTGCTTCTATAACGATCTTGTTTCATAAATTACTGTCTTGTGTGTGTTCCTTTTTTTTAATATTTGTAAATTTTTTTTTTAAATTACTTAGTAGTTTTAGTAAGGGATTTCAAATGGCGAATTATTTTACCTTTCAATGTTTATATATTTATTCTTTTGATTGCGATTTGTAAGAGCTTAGGGCTAGGCAATTAAAGTTAAATTGACTAAATTATAATTTTTAGCCGAAAATGTAGTTTAAGTCGGGAAATCATGAATTAGCAAGCCAATATTGTTCGATTGAAAGAAGCTGGACTGTAACAAAAAGGCTTAACGAAATAATATACTTGGTGACTGTTTTTACCATTTCTGAACTCTGCCATTTTGTGGAGCAATGCAAATAGAATCTTAGCGGAGAGTTATGGAGCCTCGAATTTTGGCACAGCCTTTGTTTCCACTCTGTCTCCGAAATCTGGAGACCACGGGGCCCCCATACCCTATACCCCCGCTTCCCTCCCCTCCTCACGTTTCTTGGGCCTGGGGCTTCGTGTGTATTAACCTGCCGCACCGGTTTCGGTTTATGTTTTAGCCAACGCCATCATCCATTACTTATACCCAAACCCGAACCCGTACCCCTGCCCGCACATATGTGTGTTTCTATTTCTCTTTTAATTTTCTCTCGGGCGCTCAAAGTTGCTGCTGTTGCTGTTGCTGTTGCTGCTGCTGCTGCGACTTGTTGCTGCTTCTTTATTTATTTTTTAACCAGTTTTTCTGTTTGTTGTTGGTGCTGCAACCTGAGCGCGAATGAGCCATAAATAACAACAACAACCACAGCAGCCCAGTTGCTGTCTTCTGTCCCGGTTTCCAGGAAGCAAATGTCTGTCCGTCCGCCAGTCCACCAGTCCGCCAGTCCGCTTGTCCGCCTGTCCGCCCGTCGAGAGACCCAAACCAAAACCGTCTGCAATTCGCGTGCAGAGCCGCTTTGCCTGCCTGACTGGCCTCTATGGATTATGCAACTCTTGGTTTTGGTTTTGGTTTTGGTTTTTATTTGAAAATTTAATAACCCGGGCGTTGGCGTTGGCGTCTGCTTCCTTGATGGCGCGACAGAGGCGAGAAATGACTTTTCTGCCAGCTTTTCAGCGCCCACTCATTTGGCCAGCCAGCAAATTCCCGGGTGATCCGCTAAGTCGCGGCTAATCCCATGCCGGAATTTTGCGCATCTAATCAAAAGACCGTGTTGCCTGCATTCCACGAAGGTCCAAAGAAGTCGACGGCAAGTTGGCCAAGAATTTACCGGGACAAACAAGCGGCCAAGTGCAAGTGGGCAAACACAAACACCTCTTGCGGGAAACCCCACGGAAAACAGAAACGAATCATTTGAGCAAATTGTTCGCGGAATTACTGCCAGGCCATACGGTGCAGATTATTGAGTAAACAAGCACTGCACTCTTTGCCAATAATTCGAAGGTCTATAAAAGATATTCGACCCATATTTGATGGTCATAAAGATAAGAGCTATGTCCAATCATAATTCGCTAGGATTTCTAGTATCACAAAGAATATTTGAAAGTACATATATCGTATTTACTCCTAGTCAAGTACTTTTATATAAATTCCATTAGAGGCTGTGCAAGGGCATCTCGGTGCGAGTATCTAAGATAAGCATCAAGGCAATGCAACAAGTATTTAGTGTCCGCGGAATATCTATATTTATACAACTATACATGCACTTTCGCGGAACGAGGGTATAGAATTGCTCTGGAACAGAAAGTATTTTGGGCGAACCTCTACTTTCGGACTAGTTCGCACTAGCAAATGCTGGCGATAAGATAAAAAAGTGGCTGCCAGAGGCGCCTGAACTTTGGCAATGGGCCAACTCCAAAACATGGCAGTGAAAAAATGCAGTGACTAAAATAAACAAATACACCCGACTAATTCTCATTTGATCTAGTCGCATTCCAATGGTGTGTGATTTCCTTTGCACTTGGGCTATCAACTTGATTTTAAAAGTTAAAAATAACCAATATAAAACGTAAATTGTTTTGAAACAAATATTAAAAGATCCCATATCACTCCTTTAGTATCTTATACTTGATGCAAATTGATCAATTTTTTTATAAATTTATCCAACATTTTATGACAAAATTTGACCATATAAAAATTTTACCATATATATTCAATTCTCATTTTTGCAACGAATACTTAAATGTAATTTTTTTTTAGTTGCTACAGATGAGGAAATTTGAACAACCTTAATAGGGAGAATTCTCCAGAATGCACGAACTCTTCAACAAAGTGCTCGCCAAGCGCGATCTCTCCCGAGCCGGAGATCTCTTCTCTGTGCCGGATGCGGATATTGTAGATGACATCACGGAGGTGGTAAGTAATTCCCAAATTTCCCCTGAAATCCAAACTAATTTTGTTACATTTTTAAGCTCTCCGAGATCAGTCCTATCATCTCGCATGCGGATTATGTGAAGAACAATAATGACCAGAGTGTGGTAGAGATCTGTGTGACGAGGGTGCTCTCATGCATTCGGGAAACGAAGACTGCGGAGCGGTATTGTGCTGCTCTGGTGGATCTTCTTAAGACCTGCCTGCTGTGGAACCTACAACCCTCTGGAACCACAAAAGAAGAGCCACCCCATGCCAAGATCGCAGCCGATATCATCTCTAGCATTTTCCTGGTAAGATTAACTAAAATTCTTAAATTAAAAAAAGCCAGTAGAACTGCCACTTATTAATTTATTTTTTATTTAACTACTTTCAGAACTACGATAAGAAAGAACTGATGAAAATAGCCCTTCCCGTCGCTGTGCAGTTCCTGCCAAAAGGAAACCGTGAGCTATCGAGAAACCTAGCCAGCTACTTGTCCCTGGCGGCCATCGATCACGCCTGCCTGCTGAGTCCTCACACGGAGTCCGTGATGGAATCCATCTTGTCAGGGAACTATGGGCTGCTCCGAGTGCTCTCGCAGGTGTACGAGGTGGCTCCCGAGGCGGTGACACCACATGCTCCTCTTTTGATGCCCCTGCTGCCGCAGTGTGATCCCCAGGAGCGGATGGCAGTGTTCCAGCTGTATCTACTGATCGTGCAGAAGTCACCCGAGGTCCTTGAATCGTGCGTTTCGCAGCTATGTGGCTTCCTGCTCGACAGTGACACCTCCAGCATCACCATGCAGATACTGCTGAAGCTGTCCCAGCACTCGCCGAACCTGCTCATCGATCACTTTGAGCAACTGCGACTGGCGGCCAAGACAAATCCAGGAACTATTCCGCTGTGCGCTCAGATCATGACTACCGCGGGAATCGGAAGCAAGGAGACGGCCCAGCAGGCTTTGGACTTTGTCCTGGAGCACCTGCCCACCCAGGCACTCCTGCAGCAGGAGGCCACTCGTCTCTGCTCCGCCTATCCCGTTTTATTCACCGACAAGGTCCTGGCCTGCGTCCGCCAGAAAAATGCAGCGCTCAGTTCGCAACAGGATGTGGGCAATGCTTTGGGCAACAAGACCTCCGGCGGCGTCACTATCGTCAGCTTGAACAGCTCCAGTCCCAGTCCGCCTCCAAAGCCAGGTGAGTTTAGTTTTATTTGCTTAATGTTATTTATTAAATGACTAATTTAAATACTTTTTAGTACCCATTGCCGCACCGTCCATCAACACCACGATCATCCAGCCGGCCAGTGGAGCCAGTGCCATGCCCGCAGCACCTCCTGCCACCGCGTCCTCCTCAGCACCCATTGCCACGTCCACGCCCGTATCCGCTGCCACGCCCACACCTCAGCATGCGGGCTATACGCGGCGGGTGAAACTGGGAGACTCCAGGAGCACGGGTCGCCTGCATCCCGCCAGCAACACGCACCGGAGTGTGACCCGGTTGAATGTGGCCAGCGGATCCGTTGGAGGACTTCACAAGAGCATGACGCGGCTGAGTAACTCGCAGATTAACCAACAGCCTGGAGGCAGCTCCAACGGGAATGTGGTGGTCCAGTCGGGAGCCACTCCGAAGACGCCAAGTGCCTTCAGCAATCCGCCCGTGACACCAGTTCCGCCCCTGAGTAACAACGTGGTCATCACTGGACACAACCGACATGGAATACCTGTGACCTCCGGAGGAGTGACTGTGACCACGTCGCCCTCGAAGGTGCGACCCCACTCCCAAGGACCCTCGACGCTGCTCAACTCGAGTACGGTGCTGATGAAATACAGCACGGATGCACTGAATCAGTCGGTGGGCTCGATCTCCATACCACAAACTTCAACGGCGGCCACTTTGCCGCCAGTACAGACACAGAATGCGGTATCCGTGCACCATGCCTCTCCAGCATTGCCCCAATCCTCCAGCAACGGCAACGCCAAGTCGGTGATGAAACTGCCAGTCAATGGGAATGTAAGTGCAATAGTTATATAACTGAATCAGTTAATAATTATTAATATATTTCCAGAGCGAAGTGATTGTCTCGGGACCCACCACCAATGTGGCACCTCGGCGCAGCGATAATACCAGTCGAACCTTGCTGAATGCCAATAGTGTGATGGACCAGCGGATGAGCACCTTCGAGCCATACCAGATAATGCGTGATCCTGTCCAGCAATTCTGCGAGAAGAACTTCAACTCGATTAAGTCCTATATGGATGAGGTTTCGCAGCATTTGCCACCGCCCACGCGCTGCAGCATCGAGGGTAAGTCCTTGCAGGTCCTTTTCCCTCAATCTCTAACTCCTTTCCCCAACCATCCCTCACATAAACACACACATCCCCGCACACACACACACAAACACATCACACAGTTTCCAATGAATTCGCAGAACGTCGGACCAAAAAGGTGGCCAAACTGCACTTCGCCTGCCAGATTCGTGGACCCCATTGCCTGTACTCCAAGACCTGCTTCACGATGCGAACGCGGAACCCCAAGACCTGGATACATATGATGTTTCTGGACTTCCAAGTGCGGCATTTCGTAAGTTCTGGTCATCTGGTAAATGGACGACATCCTTTTAATACCGATTTATTGCTTTAGGTCAAGGAAAAGTGCGTGCTGAGCACACGAGAGTCTGGCATTAGCAATCTCAAGAATATCTGGCAGATACTCAAGTGCGAGAATCGCAGCTTCACCGAACTGGTCACCAGCCAGTTTCCACAGGTCAAGGTGGGTACATAATTATTTCAAATCTTTTAACTGGAAAATCTAAATTGAGGTCCTAAAATAAATATGTTTATTTTATTATTATTTAGGACCGTGAGATTCTGGTGAACGAGCTGCGTCACTCGGGCTTTCTGGACGTATTCGAGGTCTCCAAGACTGACAAGTCCAATCCGAACTGCAACGAGTTGGAGTACCAGTGGGGCTGCTTCCTGTGCAATCATCCGGATAAGGCAGTGGGATTCTTGAATGGCAGCAATCAGCCCATGATCGAGGGTCAGCTAAAGGAGAAAAAGGGCAAGTGGCGACTTTTCAGGCGATGGCGCACGCGCTACTTTACTTTATCCGGAGCACATTTGTCCTGCAAGGGATCTGTTAGTATATTAGCTGATATTTAAGCTATTTTAAAAAATACTAAACTCCCAACTATTTTCAGAGCGGTGGAGAGAGCATCGATGTGAACCAGATACGATCGGTGAAGGTGTCTCGCGGTGCACGCAACATACCCAAGGCCTTCGAGATCTTCACCGCCGACCAGACATTAATACTCAAGCCCAAGGACGGCAAGAATGCCGAGGAGTGGGTGCAGTGCCTCAGCATCGTGGTGGCCCACTCGCAGGCCCGCGACAATCCCACGGCCAAGACGAATAGCTTGCCGGCCCGCAGCATGGGGAGCAGCAAGCCCTCCTTTTAGGATGGCATCCGTATCCCCATCCATATCCATCCCAACCCCATTGTGAGATTATTTGTAAATGTAAAGACAGAGCAACGGCAACACACAAAAGACAAACAGACAAAGGAGCGGCAAGCACAGGACTCTGCTGTCTATTATATATATACACACCATATATAATATATATCATTCTATATATATCGATATATACCTTAGGCCTACGCCCATAGACTTATCTAGCGTGTACTTACCATTTCAAGGGATTTCAAAAATTTTGCGAAATTGTTTTTATCATTTATAGTTGATTTTTATACATATGTATTTAGTTTATGCTTATTTATTGTACGTGTATTAAACAAACAGCTTGCTTTCGAAATCGAATGCATTAGTTATTTTCAGTACACGGAGTCTGGCCTAGACTAAACCCATTTTTCACCTTCCACTAATGACTGAATAGCAAATCGTAGCTGCAATTATAATTTTGGCAATCCGGCAAGGAATTCTGTTTGAGGCGTGCCATATCTCAAGGATATTTGTGGCGTTTTCTCATAAGCAAATGTTCGTTTCTTTAAACAAAGTTAATTTATTTCTAAGTCTGCTTTGTGATTGGCGCTATATTTTCAAAACTGATGTGGCATGATGGAGCGTTTTCTTTTTAAAGTGCTACCCAACAAAGTTTAACTTAACTTTAGGATAAGAATAATTCTAGGAATTTCCATAATACTTGGGACCGAATACTTGTTAACCCATTAATATTAAATAGGCCTACAGAAAAACAGTATCAGACGAAAAGTATGCAGCACAGAAATTTTAAAATGCTGCAGTGTATGCTATATAAGGTAAATGCAATAATTAACTGAAATTCATTTCTAAATCACTTGTGCAGTGGCTTCAAGAAGTCTAGTCGGATTGTGGAATGCCATGATTTCATTAAAATATTCTTTGTTTTGGACGTGGTTAAAACATCTACAACTGCAATCGATGCCAGTTTCGCTTTGAATTGGACGCAAACATTTGTAACTAACTACGTAAAAGTAAACAACGCTCAAGATCTAATAGTTAACTAGACAATTAACAACAGTTTTTGACACAATTCAAGGCGTGGTGGACACATCGCCATTGGCATTGTGATCCGTTTCGTTTGGTTCGAGCAGTTGAGTCCAGTTGGCATTCGTCCTGACGACCTCGATGTCCTGCCGCAACTGCCTGAGCGGGGCATGCAACTCCATTGGCAGTCCATCGTCCAGGACGCGGGATACATGCTCCAGTTGATTGGCATAAATCCTAAGGCGTTCCACATTGTTGTTATCCTGATGAGGAGTTTGGATCTAAATAGTATACATTTTTAAGGTGAAGAGTAAAACCAAATGTGATTAATCTCACCTGGTTGCCACCGACCATTTGAAGGTAGCCGCTGACTCGCGGGTCCTGCAGCTGCCCACCGGCTTGCCACATCTTGAGCAGATTAAGGATTCCCAGGACATCGCCCTGCTCCGAATCCTGGTTTGGAGAAAGCAGCCGCATGGGAGGAAACTCCGTGCTGGGCGACAGCTTCTTGTAGCTGCTGCAGAGTGTGCTCAGAGTGCAGATGTCCTCGTTCAGACGCTGGCCAGGATTAGCGAACAATAGTGGCGGTGGAGAAGCGGTAGCGTAGTGGTTACATGGCAATTAGTTTGGAGTCTCATTTTAAACGAAATAGTGCACTTTTAAACTTGATCTGCGACTGTCGTATCATCGAGATGTCGTTTGATGATGATTTGTTTGATGATTGGGTGATGGTGAAACAAGGTGAAACAAATTATATCGAAAGATCGTTCAACAGCTACGACTACAGCACAACTCAAGATGTAAATAAGCCAAGTAATTTATTCAAAATAAGGTCTACAACTAAACTAAATCAATCAAATAAAATAAGATCGCGATCGAGATTGGTATACAACATATGAGAATATATCTGACGTGGTAAAACGATAATGATATATAGAAATGTCTTCGAAGGATGCGCAACACAAAAGTCCACATAATGCTCAGCGGCGATCAAGTCTTAAAACCTTACGTCGATCTCGTTGCGATGGCGCTGCATTTCGGCCTTGGCGCCGCCAAGGTCGCTGCCCTTGATCATCAGCTCCTGGGTGGCGTCCATGAGTTCGTCCTGCAGCTTCAGATTGACGTCCTCCAAGTCTTTTAGTTTCTCCAGCATGTCCTCCTTGTGCTGCTGCAGTTTGTTTCTAAAAAAGAATATTTATTACTTCCAATTCAATTGTGCATCTAAGTTAATAAAACTTACTTATCAACTATCAATTGCTGTATGCAATTGTCGTTGTCCAGCTGAACCAGTCTCAGGACCTTGAGCAATTTGGTCACCAAGGTGTCCACTTCGATCACCTGATCCACCACAGCCTGAGCAGTACTATATTCCATCAGCGAGGGCAATTCCGCCAGCTCTGCCAGTGAATCATGGCAACTCAGCTCCTCTGTGTTGCATTGATCACGAGGGCTGTAAAAGAAACAATATAAGTAAGAGATCTTCTAGAGAACCTGCTATAGTGACTCACTTCATGGGCATGCCATTCATCTTGTGCATATGCAGCTCCATTTGCTGCCGATTGGTGATGGCCTGGGACAACTGCTGCAGGGAATCGTCGCCTCCTGCACCTCCATTTATATTGTTCTGATGGCTACATTGACTAATCAATTCCGTGGGCAGCTCTATCTGGGAGATCATTCCCGTGCAAGAGGAGACCATGTTGTGAGAATGCGAATCTGGATGAACCACATCCTCCAACACGTTGTCCATCATCAGCAGGCAGGGTTCCGTCTCAGAGTCCAGCATTTCCGTAGAATCTGAATCATCTGAAAGGGGTTTATGGAGAGAATATAAGTACAAAAGGTATTTAGGTAGGTTAAGATCCGTTTACCTCCGTTTCCCTGAGGCTCATGACCCGTGGTGCCAGTGGTCGTCACCTGAGTTGAACCTGCTGCCACTCCATTCCTCTTTCCCGCCTGGCGAAGGGATAATCGCTTGCCGGAATGGGTGGTGGCCTGGCGAATGGCACCGATGACTGCGGCTATGAAGGACTGATTGCGCTGGGGGGACAAGGAACCATCACTGGCCAGGACCAAAGTGTGAATGGTATCGCCAGTGGCTGCAGGACAAATGGGCAAGTCCAGGCCATTGGGCCTCTGGCCGTTCTGAACCTGCTCCGATTCCGCTTGGAAGCGAATGTCCTGCAATAATAAATATTTAAGTAAGTGCTAAACATTTTTTGTATATTTCACACTCACCTCCAAGTCCTGCTCGGAAATACTGTAGGAGTAAACCAGTTGCTCCACCAAACCATCCAATCGGGAGTGCAATCCCGACAGGGCAGTGGATGCCCCGGCCACCGAGGCATTCTGCTGGTGGATGAGCTCCCGGGATTTGGTCTCCAAAGCGGAAAATTTAGTTTGCAACAGGCGGTTCTCCTGGCGGCGCTGTTCATTGAGCCGCACGAGATGCCGACACTCATCGCGCAGGACCTTGGCCTCCTCCTCGCGATTGGCCAACTGCGATTTGACTGCTTGGTAGTCCGCTTCCAAATCCCGCAGAGCATCGCACTGAGCCGCCTTCTCGTGCTGGAGGAAGTCCTGCAGTTCACTGGACTCCTGTTCGATGGCGGCCTTCTCCTGCAGTAGCAACTGCTGAGTGGCCAGGGATCTTCGCATTTCCAACTGCAAGGCACGGCACATGGCCCTCAATTGGCCGATCTCCTGCTGGCGCTCGAAAAGCTCATGGCCACTGATTTGGATCTGGGACTCCAGCATCAGGAGACTATCATGGCCACTGCCATCGCCACTGTCCTCCGATGTGGGTGTTCCCGCACTGGCACTGACCACTCGCGCCAGTTCCAGCATCCCCATCACCCGCTCCGTGTTCAGGTGCAGTTCCTGCTGCATGGCCAGCTTCTCCTCCCGTTCCCTTTGCAGTTTTCCACTCAGCTGACGCACCTCCTGACGCAGTTGCTCCAGCTCGAAGTCCCGCTGGTCGGGTTCCGCTTGGGTGCTTTGATTGCGCTGCTCCACAGCATCGAGGGCACGGGTTTGCAACATACCACCGCCCAGGACTTGCTCCAAGTCCTCACTGGTCAGAGCTGTTTGCACGGCAGTCTCGTGATAGATTCGCGTTCTGGGAGTCGCAGTCTGAGGTCTCCTCAGGGAATTAACCTTGGCGGTGGCTGGAGCCAAGCTCCTGCGACTCGTGGGAATCACCATCACGGAGGAAGTCATGCGGGAATCCACGGCCGCTCGGCTGATGGAGTTGCTCCTGGACAGACGTCCCCCAGTGAGATCCTCCACGGACTGCTGTTTCCGGCGACGTGGAAGGGTTCCTCCTGGTGCAGGACTTCCCCGCATTCGATTGGCCGTCACTTCGGGGGTCACTGACATTCCGCGACGTGCTGCTCCTCGATTCGCCGGCCAACGACCATCGTCCGAGGGAGTTCCCGGTGTCCTGGCTCGACTCAGGGAGGGAGTCCTCTGCACCTGGGCGAGTCGCTGGACAGACTGCGCCCGATTCAGGGCATTGGGCAGCGTATCCGGTTTCTGGGGGCGTGCCAGGCGGGCCGAAGTGGGCGTGGCCGTGGAGCTGGGCACTCGAAAGGAGGAGGAGGTCGAAAGGCGCGACTTGTTGGAGGGCGTGACAGGTGTTCCCGGCGCCGCACTGTTCCTGGGCAGGCTCTCTGCTCTCTTTAAGTTAGCCACTCGACCACGTAATTGATCCTTGGCAGGAGTTCCTATTTGCTCCGGCTCAAACATGGCCACTTTCTTTTTCACCGAACCAGTTCTCCTTGGAGGCGAGGTCTTTTCACTGCCCGTTTCGCTGGGAGTCTGGGTCACCGAGGTCACTTTCAGTTCACAGCTATCGTAGATCTCCTCCAGACCATTGCTGCTAGTGTACCCGCCACTGGTGCTACTCAGTCCACGTTGTAGGGTGACCCGCGAAAGGCAACAACTGGCCACATCCAACCCACTGTCACTGCCATCGCAATTGCTCGGGGTGACCACAGATTCACTCAGCTCCAAGCTGGTCATTCCCACAATCAGCTGCTGCTCCTCCAGGCAGACTACTTGCTGCTGTTCCTCCGGTTGCGATGCCATCTCAAAGAGAGTGGCGGACATGGCCGAGCACTGGTCCTCTGGGAAGGTAATAAAAGATAAAAGGAGAGATTGTTAGTCATGGCACTGAAGAAAAAATATGGTTGAAAAATGTGTTCAGCAAATAAATTTAACCATATATTAAATATACCTAATTCACCAATAATTGCTTTGCATATCCCAAGTAATCAAAGTATTGCCTTAATGAACTTAAGATGACAAAACTCAGCTTTAAAATTGGTTTTTAATTTGCTATATCAAAAGCTAAATTTAGTTTTAATGACTTGACTCATTTTTCAATTGAGTTTCATATTGAAGAAACATAAACATAAAACTTATTATCTTCTTTAGACTCTGACATAATAATTAATAAAATCTTTATTTTTGCAATATCTTTTTTCCCGTGCAGTGATTCACTTGAGCGACCCACATTTCGGGATGCGTATTTTTGGGATGCTGGCATTTCGGACCGATCCCCATTTCCCGCTCCCATTCTCTCGGCATGCGACACAAACAAGTTGCATGCCACCGACCTTTTCCCGAATGCAAAAATAGGATTTGTCGAAAACAATTCATTTTTTCGGTCAAGTTGCCCGGCACGAAACCCGAACAGATGGACCATGGACGATGGACGATGGACGGCGGAGGACAGAGGACAGACGGGTGGAGGCATCGTGACCAGGACAAGTCGGTTGGATATGATTGACTTGAACTAGTTTACAGGGAACTGACACAACACGAAATGTTATGCACCTGCCGACATCCCAACGAACTGGGCCATCGCCTGGGTCTGTCGTAAATAAATTATGAGGAGCATTGTCTCGTGGGGTCGTCACCGTCGAAATACTTGAGGTTGCCAGCACACACATTTATCTGGTTGTGGCTGTGGCACGTTGACCCACCTCGCATTCAGCTGTGGCCCATCATCATGACGGAACTTTCCAAATTCGCATCCAATTTGGTATGCCACATTGTTGTGCCAGAAATTCGCTTTGCAATTCGCACTCTATCACAGCCATCATCATTCTAGTTGACTCACATTAAGATTTATATAGGACCAGGTCATTCGCGGTTATTGAAAAGTGATTTTGTATTTTTAATGGGGGTAAATAAGTCGAAAAGGTGTTAATATAAGCTAATATCTCGTACGTTAATCAATATGTAAAGGTTTCTTACTTCAACAAAGTATTGACTTAAATGAATAAGATAAAGTACATGCAATTTAAACGCTTTTACATTATATTGAAAGTAGATATTCTCAAAACTATATAAAATTGTTCAAATTCTTCGAAAGTAGTAACGATTTAATAAATATAATTCACATATATTTTATTGGCGAGTAAGAGTATCAAGTGTTCACTACTGAAACATTATACTCTGGTTTAAATTTCCTGCTTGTTTGGCTTTACATTACAGTCCCAGTTAGACACACGTCATTAGCGTCATGTTTGTTATCCGATCTCCCAGAGATTTGGGCAAATTTTGATAATTTCATCACGTCAGAGGTTGTGTTTGAGTGCGAAGGGAGATCTTAATGAAGTTGCTCTAGTTTTCAGCAAATTGGAAGTTTATTTGAAGCGAATTACCGTACATTGCGAGTGGCCAGACGACCAGACTTGGCCAACAGCCAACCGGTTTGGAAAGGAATGCCCTACCCCTCTTTCTCTATCCGGTTTTCCTTTTTTTCAATTTTCTCCAGCCAGAATGGAAGATCCTGCAAACGACCTTGTTTACGATATGTTAAAGGCTGTCTCAAGTCGTGCCCTCCACTCGTTCCATGCTCGAGTTGACTTTAAAGAGACGTTGCAGCCGGCTTGGCTCGTTGTCGTTTTCCCATCTCGACATCCAGACAAGACAGCCCTCTAATGAAGACCACTCGAAAGCGCTGATGGGGAAGACTCGCAGAAGAGCCTCCTCCAGCCCAACTGGCCCCCCAGTAGGGTGCTAAGAGCGGCAAAGCGAAGCCATAAACAGTCACATGTCCACACAAAGATGCAATGCCATCCACACACACACACAGTATCTACTGGATACTGGATACTGGATACACATTGAGCCATTCAGTCGCCGGCGGCGAAGGGAAAAGGAAGAAAAGTCGGGATTGGCAACGGGAACGGGAATGAAGTTGTCGCCGCTAATCCACGAATCGATCGGAGTGCCGTGGCCCTGGCAGTGAAAGATGCAAGTCTGCCGAGATGCCACTAAAAACTCGTTTCACAACTGAGGCTGCAGTCGATTCTGTCACTATGTCGGTGCCAAGGCGCTTGGCGGAATTGTGTGAATAAACCGGAACTGACGTCGCATTTTTGCACTCAGAAAAAAACTGGAAACTACTTAATTCAGGCAATATATTGCTATATATTTAAAGCTTCCTGCTAGTATTTGTGTTTAAAATATCATACATTTCTTGTTTAAAGTCATTTAAAATGTTAGTTTGTAAATATTTTTTTAAACGTGTTCTTCAACATTAGCTATTGAATCACAAAGTAAGGTGCAGGTACAAGTTTTTGTTCCAAAACATTAAAAATATTAATTTTATTTTTAGAAAAGTTTGTTTTTGTTACGTTTATACATTTTTTTATTGCTCCACGAACAAATTGATGACCATATCATCTTAGCTATTCAGTTGTGAATGTTTTTTCTATGTGTTCATACAATGTTGCAAGATGCAAAAATGTTTTAGCGAGTAATAGTTCAAGGCGAAAGCTATATAAGTGAATACATAGGAGTCCACACTCACTGCGCCTGGAGAATAGAAACCCTTGAGGGCGATTTCGTCACGGCACATTAACTTCGATCAATGGGTAAACTTTTCCCCGCCGAGGGGCCGCTAATTCGATTAAGGCGCTCGGCAGAGCAAGAATATATAGACTATATAGCCAGGGCACCGGCGACGCGGCGATGTCGCCGACTTTGCCAAGTTAATTGCACTTAGCCGCGCTGTGTGGATGGGAAATGGAAAATGGGAAATGTTGGAGGGGATTGCCAGTGCCACAAGTGTTGCGCTTAACGCTTCGCTCGGCATTAATTGCGGCGTTTGATGTCTCTGATGCGTCTGGCGGTGACTGTCAACGGTCACACTCCAATCCCACCATCTCGCAGACATCTTCCATTCATCGCGGATTAGCATCCATTCATTGAACAGATTTCACAGACTTTACAACCCACTCCTGGGTGAGAGTTTTGGATCGTTAGGATAATCTGGATTTGGAAAACTCACAGCAGGTAGAGCACACCTTCTCTCCTTATCGGCATACTATAGTATCTAAATATAGTTCTTTCCTATCTAAACATATCTGCTGATCAGCAGATTTCAATTGGTTATCGCATCTCAGACCATGGTCAAACGTGTTTCTGGGAACCGCTCAGCAATTTGTTCCTCAATTATGCATTTCCATACAAGCAGATATATGAGTATATGTACTCCAAATCGCATGACAATTCAGACCTGTATCTGCATAAACAGTGCGGTATATGACTGTATGACTTTATGGTATTTTAAAACAATTTTGTCAAAGTAAAAAGGCTTTTTTGTTTACATGTTTAAAGTAAGGAATTGTTTGTTTTAAATTTCAATATGTCAAATATTATTTTTGATAATCCATTATGTTGTCTTACACTCACGGTAGGCACTGCCTACATATGCATACGATTATTTATGCGATTGCAGTTCCTTGGCCAGTGATTCTGTACCATATGCTCTGAACTTTTTTTCCAAACTGAAAAGGGGAAATACAAACGTTCGCTTGCATAAATTTCTCCTCCCGTTTTATTCAGTCTGTTATGGCAGTTGCATTGAAAACAATTTATTTCCACATACAGTCAGTATTTACAGCAATTTATTCTGTGTCGCAGTTTGGGGCAGGGGATTAGCGGAACCCCTTTTCCAATGCCCACTTGCTGCAATTGCTATCCCAGATACTTGCAGCTCGGGGAACTCAATTGATAGGGCTTCTTTTTGGGAGGGAGTAAGTTCTGGCGACGGTTAATTGATATGGAAACGAGTGTTATTGGAGACCCACGTTCTAACTGCTGAACAGGTGGTCGTGCGTGGGCGATTGCCACGCCCCCGGATTGGAACTCCACTCCCCGAAAAACGTTTTGTTGTTTGTCAAAGCACTTCCTGTAGTGTCAGCGATCCACGAAACTCAAATGAAGTGAAACATTTGTGCTGCGAATTACAATCGAGTTGCCCCCGGCCGATGTCCCCTGCCCCAACCACACCCCTTTTTTTTTAGTTGCAGCCCGCATCTGTTGAGCAGCCCAGCCCCTCTCCCCCCGCCACCGCCTCACCCCTCAGGCAAACACCCCCCATCCCGTTGCAGTTATAATGAGTTGCAGTTGCAAGTTGTGCGCACAGTTTTCGTCTGGGGACGAACGTCAATTGAAAACTGCGCACACGGAGAATAAAATATTCTAAAACTAACACGGTTACCCAAAATCCAAACAAAACATTTAAATGTCAACCAAGAATTAAAGTTTGATGTAGTTAAGATTTCCTGTGATTTATTTAAATTTAAAATTTATTTTTATGGTTTAAAAATAGATAAGTTCTCAAAACAGAACATTTCGTTATTAGGCTGAACTCATGATTTCAAAAATAATTGAGCGACATTTCAAGGCAATAAACAAGAATATATTTTGAAGGTAAGCTCATTAATCAAAATGGATGGCCTATTAAGATAATCGTCAAGAAATATTTGGTTTTAAGTCTACAAATTTAATCTTTAATAACAGAAAACTTATCTTGTTTGTTGAATGATATTTTATTATATAAAATTGGCTTAATGAACTAATATAATATATGTGATAAATACAAATCTTAGAATGGTACAGAATTAACTGGTATTTGGATATAGAAATATAAGATTGATTTTAATTAAGATAGACAAATGATAGAACGAAAATAGCCTGTAATGAAATAATGAAGACTACATTATTGATCTTAACCCAAGATTTTTGCCTCAGTGCACTGAGTTTATTATTCGGAGAAGGGGCAGGAGTCATGGCAGTGGGCAGTGGGGGAAGTCGAAGAACTTTCCGACTCTTCCGGGTTCTTTCCCTCTTTCTGGCTTCGCCCATATTTTTCGGTGTTTTCGTTCTGAATTGCACCTGCCGACTTATCGCGCATTATGCACACAGAGCGGACCAGAAAATTGTAAGCATGATTTTCTAATTTTTAGCCGATTGCCTTGTCTCTACTTCGCGGCTTTGCTGTTCTTCATTTTTGTTATTTTTTTTTTACAAACAGTTTCAATTTGTTTTGGGGCTAGCACCCCCAAGACTGTTTGTGTGTGTGTGTGTGTGTTTGGGGTATCAAAGAAAGAAGAACTAAAACCGAAAAGAGGCGGGGTATTAAAAGCGGGGAACTTAGGGGCGTGCCGGTGCCAGCTGGCTATCACGAACATGGATTTTGGGTCTCTTGGGGATCGGGAATATTGGGTAACGGGGATAGGCATATCGGGAATCGGGCAGTGGGCATTGGGTATTGGGCATTAGGTATTAGGCATTCGATATTGGGCAACAATAATACGAGTAGTCCACGGAGCAGGAAGAAGCGGCCAACTGAATCGCTCAACGCTTTTGAAGTTTTGAAGTTTGCCTCTGGTGTGTTGTTGTTGATTTAGACGAACATGTTGCTGTTGTTTTATTTCTTTAGTGCCGCAGACTATAAACAATTTTTGGCGGCTTCTCAGTCAACGGCAACGGCACGCAAAAGTTTCGCTTTGCATTTACTGGAAAGTTTTTCGAACAGCAGATTGGGCAACAGTGAAAAGTAGGCAACTCCAAGAGCTTAAGAAATACTTCAAATTCTGAGGAGTACACTGGCCTACACAACTGTTTAAAAAAGTTTGGAATGCAAAAAACATTCTTTTGCACAAATTTCAACAATTTCCTAATCAATTTCCATTCAAACCTGTAAATTTATATATTTTTTTTAAATTTGCAAAATGAAAAAAGTGTAAAAAAACGTATTTTAAAATCAGTTAAAAAAAAGATGACGATCATTGGCTTTGGTCTTAAGTTGAACAATGTAGACAATCTTTTACAACCAAAAAAGGTTAAGAACTGATTGTTTTTGATCCTCACTTTTCACCCATAAATTATTGTCCATGACTTTTAATTTGAATTCCCTTACAATTAAGTTTAATTCTTAACCGAATTAATTTATGTAATTTAGATTGTGATATTGAAATATTCTTTATGCTAAAAATAATCTTCAAATTTTTTGCAGGAAATAGGAAAGAGTCATTTGATTTACCAAAACATTCTTCATATCTTGAAACTCTTTTTGCATTTGAGAGAGTGCGTATTAATCATTGTTCCCGCATTGTCTATAAATAGTTTTTTATGGGCAGCCAGCGATTGAAATGTACCCTGCCAATGGAGTTTTTGTGACAAATGTGCCGCACTTGATTTGTTTTAGATGTGCGGAACCGCTGAGGGCGGAATATCGTTCGTTGGCCTGGTCCAAAAGCGAACCGGAATAGACCGGCGTAGACCGGAATGGAATGGTGACTAGCACTTCTCTTTCCCACTCGCTGCACTGGTCTCTTTGTGAAACTCTGCGGCTTAATTAACAACTCATTGCGTTGGCAATTACGCCAACTACTAAAATTATTTGTCATATGGCGGAGAAAGTCGGGATCGCGGCTGCGGCTTGATCTCCATCGCGACGTTTGGATACTTGGCCTATGGCAACCTGGTCTTTTAACAGTTTGGATATCAAGAAAATGGCTCTTTACGGCATGCCATAATACACATAGTTTTCATACCAATGCGAGTAAAAACAATGAGCGGTGTACTTCACGCTCCGCGGAGTTTTTCAGCGGCATGCGCCACACGACACTCTCCACCGCCCAAAGTGGGGGAAAGTGGCGGAAAAGCGGGGGGCGGCGGTCTTGACCATTGACCAGCACCGCTCAAAGTTGAGCTTGACTGGAGGCATCTATAAAACCAAGGCAAAGCCAAAAGACCACACAGCGAATAAAATCATAAACATAACATAGCAACACCGAAAAAAAAACATTTAGAAGGTCTATTTATACATTTTAAAAATGGAAATAATTGTTCTTAAAATCTGAATAACAAAACATATTTTAGATGTAAATATAATTTAATTATCGAGATTGCTAAATATTAAGTTAACCCAAAAGAACTTTTTTAATTTTATTTATAGATTCTCCACTTTAATTTTTTAGGCATTTCAGAGAAACATCCGATAATATTATTGACTTGCTATCAATAAGATACATTTTGTGATATGATAACAATATATTTTTGGAACCAGAAATGTCTAGTAGATAAGCCACAATTAGGCACCTTTCCGATATAAAAAAATACCGCCATTAATCAAATTGTTGTGATATCTTTTCTCTATAGGACAAAGATAAGTTCAATGGAAAGTTCAATTCTAAATAATATAAATAATAATATTATGATTACTTTAAGTAGATATCAGTATTAATGCACCATCACCTTTTTTGAACAAGACACAAATACTAATAATATTAAAGGGTAATGTATCATAAATATACTTTGAATATATCCCTCAAATTTTCTCTTAGTGCACAAGTAGCCAAAAGCGGCACAGACAAAGCGAATGGGAAAGCATCTGGAGACGCCTGGCAGTCTCGCCTGAGAGCCTCGCTCATTGTCAACGCGTGTCTCTAAAGCTTTGGCAAGGTTCCAGGCGGGATTTCAGAACCGTTCTCCAAGGCACAAACCCCTGAAACGCAATAACTAAATGCCTTTTGTCTGGCGAAAGACGAGATGAGGCTGCAGCCGCCTCAATTCTGCTCTGTTTGCCCTCGTTTATCGTGTTTCAAGGGTTAGCAAATCGAAAACGAAGCAAATCTGGCCATTCAACTGACCTTGAAAACCACCCAGACCGTTACTGATTATAAACAATGCGAAATTTGGACAAGTTTTGGGGGGGAGAGAGGGAGTGTCGCCAAAAAAACAGGCTCGCTGATTCGAGCTGCTAAATTTCGCACACTTAAAAAACTTGTTTATCATAAATTATTGCCATTGTTATTGAAAGACTCGCTAATCGGACATTTATATGCCGGTCGGTTGTTGGTTATCAAAGGAAATACATAGAAAATGCAGTGCTTATCTTGTACATTCGGGGAAGCCAAAGTGGTAAGAAGTGCTAAAACTGGAAAGTGCTGATACGTCGTATCGGCGAAAGGCGTGTGGGAAAGCGAAATGTGTCACACGAATTGTAAAAATGTGGAAATCGCCAGAACGGAGGCTTGTTTCTTACGACTCTCAGCGGAAACTGCATTAATTGGTGCTTAATTAGCGTTTTCCTGAGCTCACTCTCCATTATGCCATCCCCTCCCCCAATCTAAGCCGCAAATTGTCGCATTATGGAGTAACGGTTGCAATGTCCGCTGCCCCATCAATCGGGGCTTATGAATATGGTAAACGCCACTTAAGTCAGCCGGCTTACATGGGAAAAAAATCAAATCAATAATGAAACAAAATCAAACTCTTTCTACTACTTTTGCAGTTGCACAAAATGAGATCAAATACATTTATATTATGGCCTTATAAACGATCATTCAGAGGAATAATTGAGGGGAATTTCTTATAAAGATAGGATTATAACTCTAAATGTAACATATTCTTATAAGCCTAAGCAAAAAGTGTACTTAATCGATTTTTGCTGATTTTTTTTCTAACAAAATCGCAAACATGTCACGTTGACCCCCATTTGCCGGCATAACTTTTTTTCAGTGTGTCAAGTTGTGACTGTTTGACTGAGTGACTGACTGGCGGACTGACATTAAATTGCACTCTTCCTGATTGCTTCGTCGCTTCAAAATCGATTATCGCCGAAGTCATGCAACTGAAATTTTATTCATCGCTTGCCACATGCATATATTTATGTATGTGTATATATGTACAAAGTTAACGCTGCATAATGAATCGGAGGACGTGGCTAGGATACAAAATCCGGAAGCACCAAGTCGAGCTGTAGTGACCTTTTTAATTTCAGCTAAAAACCAAAGCCACACGACGCCAAGACATGAGGCTTGCCACCTCTGACCCACCACAACCACCCCCTCACCCACACTCAGATGCGGCTTCAACCCAAGTCGCAGCTCATATTCGATAACCACTTTCTACCCGCCAATGAGTTACAGTGGAGACTAAGTAAATTGAACTTATCATCTAGTACATTATTATTACATTATTCTTCACATCTCGAATAGTATATGAAATCGTATCGATCAGAATTAATTCAGAATCTTGTAAAATTTGTAAGATGGGCTTTAAACAACTGAAAACAAGTTGTAAAAAAAATGCCTTCAAGCTTGACTTTTAATTGGTAATATAAAAGAGTAGAATACATAATGCTAAAGGGGATAATTTATAGATCTAAGTTCGAGCTTTCAAAATTTCGTGTTAGTGTAGTCGTACTGTAGTTACTCACCCACGGAGTTGGAGTTGAAGGAGGAAAACTGTGCCAGCGGTTTTGAGGCTGCTGGAGTTTCGTTCGTTGATTCGCTCGTTTTTGCTGTTTTGTTTGTTTGTTTGTCGGGCTGCCGCTGTTGTTTTTCTTCAGTTCAGTTGCTGTTCCTTTGGTGGGCGACGATGGAAATGTCAGAGGGTCGCGGCATTACGGCCTCCCAGGGCATTCTCTTTTCGTATTTGTTATTTCTTTTAGCGCTGCCTGATAATTCTATTATTGCTCTCGCTCTCTTGGGGGGAGTGCAAAAAAAATGGATGGCAATTCGCGGACGGAAATTTGGCGAATTTGGCGAATTTGGCGAGCCGCTTGAATTTTGTGCAATTTGAATGCACAAACACAGGGGAGTGGAGTGAAATTATCACCCGGTGTTCTCTCTTTCTCCCACACACACACACAAACACACGCGCGAATTTTCGTGACAGCTGCAGTTGGAGAAAAGGATACAATGAGTGATCACTCAAGGATTCGTTCTGTCGTTCTCTTTCTCTCCCTCTCTCTCTCTCTGCCTCTATTTCGTTCACTTCCTTTTGTTGTTTCGTTTACCTAACCCAACTGCTTATTTGTATTGCCAGGACTCGCACACACACGCACACACACAGACACCAACACTGTGCTCGAAGGAAAAATCGATGATGAATCTGCGAATTAAAAGTCTACACCGCACATCGATTAATTTGCCGCAAAAGCCTGTCGCTTTAATTTAGTTTTTCAGCCTTGTTTTTGCTGCACGAGAGCAAAATGACCGCAAGGCTATGCTGGAAAACCCGTTCCGCGCGCAGGAAAAGCGGAAAAAGGAAAATCGAAAAGCGGCTAGGTAACAAAACGCGCCCACTCGCGGAAAACAACAAGTTTAATTATTAATTAAATCGATATATATTTACTAAATCATAATACACATCGTTATACTTGTTTTAAGTATCCATATTTATGATTTTTGTTTTTAAAGGCAAACAAAAACACACAATCGCGACGGTTTTCCTTTCGGTTCCTCTGCAAATCCCTTCGAATGCCGCAACTTCGCAGGCTTTAAAGGAATATCGATGTTTCTTTAATAATATTTTTTAATGGGAACCGAAAACAGCGCGCGCTGCAGCGCTCTCTCGAAAAATTACAGAGAGAATAAAGGTTTGGCTTGCTTATATAGATTTTTGAATTGTTAAAGAAACCAAATGAATATAACGCATAAATACCAAAGTTTAATTTCTCTCTCTCTCTTGGTCTGTTAGCCGGCTGTTTTGTGTCACTGTTAAGTTTCTCCCGCTGTTAAATGTATCTATTGGATGCACAAAAAGTATTTTAAAGTTTTAATACCTAATTTTAGTTATAGAAAAGATCAAATATTACGATTTTTAAATAATTAATCTCTTATTTAAACATTAAGAAGAAACAAAACAAAAAACCTGTTTTTGGTATGACAGCATTCTCTTGGCGGGTAGTTTCAAAAGGCGATTCTGTAAATACCAGAAAAGATACTAATCTGATGCGGTACAGTCTTATACGCTATCTTATACGCTAAAGAAACTGTTAAATTTAAATTAATTAGTTTTGAGATAAGTCGAATTTAAAGGCATAAGCTTACAAGTATGGTGTCCTTAAAATTATATTTTATTTTACATTTTAATGTCATATATTAAATAATAATATTAAAAAACGGCGCTGATCGGGTTTCCAACTTTTGAAACATTTCTTAGGGGGTTTTTGTTCTAACTAAGCCAAAATATGAAGCACAGTCAAAAGAATGACTGTTTTGTGCAGCTGGTGACCTACACAATCGATTCCAGGAGGATTTGGTAAATTTTATTTTTTGACCGATTTTCGCATTTTTTATAAGGGGGTAACACTTGATTTTTTTCCGAAATTGGCCGAAAATAAAATTTTTGAGCTGAGTATACCGATCGACTGGAAATTTTATAACGAATTCAGCGAGGTATGACATTCCAAGATCTGACCATTATTTCCAAGGGTTTTGATTAAAAAACTGAAAAAACGAGCTGTTTTTTTCTGGATTTTCGCCATTAAAAACATATATTTAAAACACATTTGTTAGGGGTTTTTTTGTTGTATCTTTGCCGAAATAAGACGCACAGCCAAAATAATGACTGTTTTGTGCAGCTGAGGACCCAAACTATCGATTTCATTATTATTATTATTATTTTTTGACCGATTTTCGCATTTTTCATAAGGGGTAACACTTGATTTTTTTCCAAAATTGGCCCAAAATAAAATTTTTGACCTGAGAATACCAATCGATTGGAAATTTTGTAACGAATTCAACGAGGTATGACATTCCAAATTTTGACCATTATTTCCAAGGGTTTTGATTAAAAAACCGAAATTCGATTTACGTTTTTCGGACTTCAAGGTTTTTTTTTTAACTTATCCAAAATGCGAATACCATCCGATTATCTTTGATTTCGATTAAAAAAAAATTCTTGTTTAAAGATTTAGTATTTAATTGCAAACATGCATAGGTTTTTAAAAGAAATTCAAATTGCTTTATAAATTAAAAAAATATTTAAATTATTTTTAAAACAATTTCATAAAAGGTTGAAATATTTGAGGTTACATTTGTCTATGATGTAACCGTGAAAACACGTGATCAGAAGGAACATTTTCACAATTCCATGAAACCGATTAGGCTAAAAATAGCTAAGATGACGTCACCTTTATTGTACATTTGCATGTGTATGTGACTGATACACAAAAGCAAATGTTTACAGTGCGAAAGCCGTGATAAGCATGCCGCCAAAGTTGCCTATAAAAGCTGAGCAACTAAACAGCAGAGAAGCCAGTCAAATTTGAGTGTTCAAGTGAAGCAGCAGCAATAAAAACAACAGTACCAGCAGCAACATCAACAGTTTCCGCAGCAACATCAACAGTTCCCGCAGCAACATCAACAGTTCCCGCAGCAACACCAGTAGTGTCCGCTGCAACTTCAGTAGTTACAGCAGTTAAATCCAGTTTAGCAGCAGCAGTAAATCGAAAAGCAAGGTGTTAAGTGAACTTCTTATCGAGTCAGGTGTACACTAGTGCGAAAATGTCGCAATCTGATAACGCGGCACGTGAGCAAACTGCGGCAAACCCGGTGCCCGAGGCTTGTCAAGGTTGCCGCGGCCAATTGCCACGTGCCACGCCAGTGGAAGTGGAGGACATGGCCACCCCGTCGCTGGAGAAGCTCATCCGTAAGGCTAACATGGCCCAGAAAATGCTTAACGATGTGATGAAGCAAATCCAGAAGCAGCAGCAAAAGGAATCTCAGGTATCCGCCAAGGAGACCAAGTCCAAACACCGATCTTCCGATGGAGGTAAAAGCCGACACAGGGGACGCAAACATGGTCATCACTCTAGCTCATCTTCCAGTTCCAGTTCCGGCCATAGTGACTGCGAGCTGATTCTGGCCGAGAGGGAGGAGATCCTGCCCAGGAGGAGGCACATTCGGGAGGATCGCAAGCGGGATCGCTCCAGGTCCCGCGGTCGTTCCCGTGGCCACTCGCGTGGTCGTTCCCATGGGCGTTCTCGTTCCAGGTCCTACACCGATTCCCGACGATCCCGAGCACTGCCCCTGGCTCTGCCCGTTCGGATTTCAGTGTGAGTATCTGGCTTCATTCAGTATTATCCATTATCAAATATCCATATTATCCATTAAGTGTATAAGCGCATAAACAAAAATCCAAAAAAAAAATACAAAATAAAAAATGATTATAAATAAATTTCAAGGTGAGTTTTATTATTGGTTTTAATGGGATTTAAAATTGTATAAACAATGTTTTTAACCTTTATTTAAAATATTTTTAAGGCTTAAATGAAATTCAACCTTTGAAAAAGGTTTCAACAAAGGTATTTCGGGTATTGATGAAATTCAATGTATTTTATATATTGCCAGCGTTCAAATAGGCAATTATAAGTTAGAGTTGTAATAAACCGATATATGCTTTGTTATTTAATTGATGTTTAGTTAATACAAACAAAAAAAACTTTATAGAGCTAAGTGAACAGTTTTTTAATGAGTAACTTAGAATGTTCAATAAAATAGTAGTCTTACCTTTTGGTAAACAATTGAAGAAAAGAAACACGTTTGTTATTTTTAAATATTTCTTATATTTTTTAAATGCCGTTTGTTTTTACATTAATAGTTTTTATTTTGTAGTTGTTGTGCTAATTATATGTTAAACATAAAAATTGTTTCTCCTCTCGTATAAGTACTTGGTTTTCTTCTCGTTTTGATTGTGATCTATTAAGTTAATTTCATCTTTTGATTTGTAGACTTTGCTGTGAGGTTGCCCCTTTGCAGTCGCAACTTGCTGTTGTTGTTTTTAATAAATTCGTAAAATTCGATGTTGAATGTAATAAACCATTTCATTGCTTCGTACAAATAAATTCATATAAAAACCGACTAAAACCGCTGCGGCGTTAATGCCGCAATCGCTATATAAACAAAGAGTGCTGTTGGCTCGTGAATTTGCGTTTAATTTGAAATGAGACACAAATTAATTATTCTGGGGCTTGGGCCCAATAAATTCCCCCAAGTGAACACCTTAATCTGCGACTTTATTTTGTGGATTCTGTTTCTCTAATTTGTATGTTCATATTTCATTGCTGCTATTTACTCGCTTTTCATGGCTTGCATTATTTATTGTATACTCGTAATTTAAGAGAGCTTTGTCTAAAAACAAATTTTGGCACATGGTTTCCGAAATGGGTTCGATCCGTCCCTCTGATCCTTCTCGCTTTTATTTGACTGTTTAATGGGTTTCCTTATGCTTTCGTAGGCTAGTTAAAATACAGCTATGTACTCGTATTATTTGGATTATTCGATACGAACTAAGAGTTATATTAATTTGTAGTTTGTTTGTCTGCTCCTAACTTGGCTTTCGTTTCTTGTTGCTGCTTGATTGAGTGTTTGTAATAATTCGAAATTTGATTACGACTTGTATTTGATTCTCCTACAGGCTCATTCTCATTCTCATACTCCTTCCTTCCTTTAATTCGTTTTTAAAAACATTTATCTACAACTCGACGAATGACAGTTTATTGTAATGGAAACACTAATGCGTGGTTACTGCGATATCATGTCATATTATCTATGAATACTGCTTTGAATTCAAATTCAGCTGGCGACATATTCGAGTGTGTGTGTACATCGGCTATATCGAATACATTTAGTTAACATTTTCATTGTGGCTTTAATTGGTTTTGTTTCTGTGTGTCAGTTTTCTCAGCGGAGTCATGATGCATCATTGTCAGTCCTTTGAGGGTTTTACTTTTGATTATTTACAAAATATTCTCAATACTCTACATGTATATGGATTTGGATTTGAATTTGGATTCGCTAACAACTAGATGAGTATTCTGCGATTGTATATTATCTCGGTATATATCCTATATACATGAGCACACGACTGCCTCATAACGTAGACACGCACACGGACACATATAAATATACATTCATATAAATTTGTACACAGCATATATCTGAGTTTTTGGTTTAGTTCAAATTTCAAGATTAAATTCCTCGTTACATCGTCCTGGTGCACTACAAAACAGAAACTTATAGAACTACTTTAGGAGTAGCTATAGGCCAAACACTCATTACTAATTCGAGATACCCACACATAGAAGATCATCCTTTTCCTACATACGATGAAAAACAGTTTCAAGTTTCGAGTTCGAGTTCGATTTCGATTTCGATTCGATACGATACGATAGTTTGCGATAGTTTTGCAGTTAGTAGTTTGAGTTACAGTTTCGAGTGATATACGCATTAGTCGTTATGGATACTTAAGAGACTACGTTAGTATATATACATACAACATTTCTGGAAGTTCGACAACTGACCTGGGTTCTGTCTGGACACATGCCATATTCATTCACATACATATGTGTATACGTGGGTATATAGCATGCACAATCGTTAATACTTAGATATAGTATGACCTCTATAAATACGGGCAGGAGTTTATAATGGGAAGTGTTTTGATTCGGTATGCTTGGTTTTTGGATGGTTGGTGCAAAATTTTGATACTGATTGTCCGAAAGTTTACTGAGTGTTATTAATTTTGTTATGGGGGGGCAGGAATGTATTACTGGGTACAGGGGCTCTTCCGAAAGTTTTGGAGTTGAGGTTTTTGTGGGGTGTAAGAACTTGGGGTTGGTAAGGTAACAAATGCATTACAAAAATGTACAAAAACGGGCCCAAATCCTCATCCTTCTAAATTTCTGGCTATCGGGGGGCCTGGCCTCATCCTATCTGCTGATCTTGCGATCAGATCTTACCAATGTCTCAGACGGATATCGAATAATCCGATTTCTCGCTAAGCAATTTCTGGCCAGGAGCGGGTGAATGTTGTTGTTGGCGTTGCTGTTGCAGTGGCTGTTGTTGTTGTGGCTGCGGTGACTTTGAATGCGCTCGTTTGTGTGGTTGCTGTGGTGCCTGCTGCTGCTGTTGCTGTTGCTGTTGCTGCTGTGGGTGGTGTTGCTGCTGCTGCCGCTGTTGCTGGTGGTGCTGATCCTGCTGCAGCTGGGAGGTGGTGGAGGAGGGTCGGGACCAGAGCGATGACCTCTGACCCAGCTTCAGCTTCTTAATCGTGTCCACATCGACCTCCACCTCGGCCAGCTCGATCCGTTCGCCCAGTCCACCGTCCTCGGTGCGATGGAAGGCGCCCGTGGTGCACTCGGCCTGCAGCTGGAGCGGATGCAGCGTGCGCAGGATGCCGGCCCTGGATGCGTGTTTCATTTTTTTTTTTTTTGGGGGTTGGGAGGTTGGTAGGTGACGTTCGTTGGGGGGTGAGAGGGGGTGCAAGTACAAGAAAGGGTCCAGAGTTGGTTTTCGGATTGCAACCACAGCATTCAAGCATTCATTCGGTTAAAGACCTAGTGGTGTAGTTCTAGTCTGGTTGTGTGGTTGGGTGTGCGTGGGTGGGCTCGGTTCTCACGACTTGATCCATCAGCTGAGTTTGTTCGGGGAATGTTAAATCTTTTAAATTACTTAAGATTGTCTCAATAAATTTGTATTTACTCTGAGAAGCCACAGCAATCTATAGGAACTCAAAAAACTTATAAAGGGGCATACAAGTATGCCAATTCATTTTCTGAAGCCAGAGTTCGATGTATAAACGCCAAATAAAATTTTGACACCTTCTTTGGAAGAGGTTTATAACCTCTGGATATTTTTTTTGGCAGCTCCTTTATATACAAGGCTCTAAAGAATTCTCTTTTGTTTTAAAATAACTTACGAAGTATGCAGTGAAAAATATATCTTCGTCTTTTGGAATGCAGACATCGGACTTTCGAAATCAAAATATATTCTTGCATAGTTTTAGAGACCTTTATAAAGCTTTTAAAAGCCTAGTGATCTCACTGGCACCGTCATCATGTTAATTTATTCAAGGACAATCAGATTTAATCTTCAAAATATTTAAATATAATTTATATTAAAAGTTACCTTAAATCGGCAATCAAATACACTCTTTAGAGAAATATATGTTACTATTATTAGAGCCCCAGCTGAGCAATCAGGTTGTGAAAAGCGGCCTTAACGGGCCCCCTCGGGGGGACCACACACCTCACCGTAGGCCAGGTCTCATGTCTGATCTATCGGGTCCATGTAGGTGCAGGAGATCTCGCCGCTGTCGTAGCCGAAACCGTCCATGGCCTCCATGGCACCACCAACGTATTCACTCCCCCCATTGGCCGTATCCTATTTGGGCAGCGTGGGCGCTGTGAAGAACTTGGAGGAGAGCATGGCCGTCGAGGGATTGAGCAGTGTGCCAGGATGCTGCTGCTGCTGCTGCGACTGCTGCTGCTGCTGCTGGTGGGGATGTGGTTGCTGGTGGTTGAGGTTCTGGTGGTGGTGGTGCGGTGGCTCATGCGCGGGCATTATGGTCTTGTGGGGTATCGGGCGGAACTGTGAGGAGGGCGGCATGCAGGCTACCAACGGGCTATTGCCAATCCCGTCCAGCCCCATCAGCTCCTGGTGGCCACCGCCGTTCCCATTGGTGGCCTCCAGCTGATGGAGCTTGGGCGTGATCAGGAGGGGCTGCTGTTGCTTCAAACTACTACTGTTGTTCGGATTGGAGCTACTATGCTGGGAATTGCTACTACTCTGCTGCAACTGCTGTTTGTGGAACTGTTTCTGCTGCTGTGTACTGATCGATGGCGATTTGACCAATGTGGGTATGTGGCACTGTATGGAGTCTTGCGATTTGAATGTGCTCGATATGGATTTCAGATTTCCGCCGCGTGGCGATAGAATTTTGTTCGAATTGTTCGATGTCGATGGTGTCTGTGCTGTTGTATTGGTGGCTGTGGTGTTCGTGTTGCTGGTGGTGTTGTTGTTCATTTTGTTGCTGTTGTGGTGGCGCGGTGTGGTATTGGTGGAAAACTGATATTGCTGATGATGATACCTGGAGCGACCGCGGCGGGGCAATGATTTCTGTTCGGACATTGGTGACAGATCGGAGGAGGTGCTCGACTGTGCTCCATGGTAGATGATGCCTGCGATGTAATCGCAGATTGCAGTTCGCAACATCGGATCAACGGATCAATGGTGGATCGCAGCGCAGGCGAAGATGTTAGTGGGGAAGAAAAGAACAGAAAAACAAAGAGCGGGCTGATAGAGAGTTCTTTTTTGGCAGTGGGGGAACGTACAAAACGTTGAAACAAAACTTATGTCTAACTTAACACTAAGTATTACAAAAGTGGGTGGCTTAGTCTTATTTGTTGGCCTGATCAAAGTAGTTGGTGTTGAGTTTTTGGTGCTGTGTCAGTTTGGCCTACTACAGATATGTTATCGAGATATTGTGGTTTGGAAAGTGTTGTATTAGTCTAGAGTCTGCAAAAACAAAGCAACACAAAAAGAGAGTTCAGCTGGCAGGTTACTTAAGCATAATGCCTGGGAACTGAGAACAAATAATGGGTGCAGTGAAAGCTTTTCTAAGATCTTATAGAATTAAATACATTTATACTATGTCTAGGTTTTTCAGAAATATTTAAATTATAAGTTAAGCACTGCTGAGAAAGTAAAGATATTGATATGCTAGCGATAAATGAATACCCTTTGTATTTAATTAAAGTAAATTTAAATAAATTAATTTAATAAATATATTTTGTTTCTCAATTAAAGGGTTTATTTAAGGTTTTTATGGTTAATCAACTTTAAATAACTATTTAAGCTGCAGTTAAATATTTACAGGAATCAGAATTAAACTTCTGTTTATCGAAATAAAATCAAAATATTGTTTTTTTAAAGCTTTCACTGCGAAAGGAAATCAAAAAAGCTAAAACTTTATATGATGATCTGAGAGAAGGGACTTTTCCACCTTCTTTCAAATACATATAATGAAATACAGACGTCCCCAAAACTCGGACTTACTGTGCTTGATCTTGCCCTCGTGCTGGTTGGAGGACTCGGTGCGACTGGAGGTTAGCTGGTCCTGGTCCGACTCCGACTCCTCGCTCTCCGGCTCCGTCTTCCGCGAGTGGCGCCTCCGGTTCTTGGACTGCACATGGAACAGAGCGGGAAATTAGTCTGGATCTGCATCTCGCAGCGGGAATGTGGCAGCTAGCGACTACAAAAGCGCCTGGGGAATGGAACGCTTCTCGAACAAAAGAAAGGGTAACTCAAGATTGGCAGGTGACATGAATCCGGGCGGAGGGGTCAACCACCCCCCCTCCCTTCGCATGGCTTACGGCATTGCAATTAATGTGAACTGAAGGGCAAACAAATACACGAGCAGAGGAACAACAAAAAAAGCACGTAGTACACTTAGGAAAACACTAATTGTGGCAGGACCACACAGATCAATTGAAGTAGAGAGTAGATGGAGAGAGAGAGCTAAATCAAAGAAATGAATAAACAAACGCACGATATTATGGAACGGTGAGGTCTGATAATAATTATGAATTGTCTTTAGTGGACGTTGGTGGTGGTGGTGGTGATGGGTGGTGGTGGTTGTTGGTGGGTTCAGTACCGCGGCTGGTGGTGGCGACGAGCAGCCCTCGGCCAAGGCCCGCTCGTGGTACATGAACGAGTGGAGCAGCGTGTTGGCCGGACCGCCGTGGTGCGGCTGCGACATGTTGCCCCCAGCCTCCGACAGCTGGAAGGTGGCGTACGGCGAGATGTCCTCGGAGGTTTCTGTGGAAAGTCCTTGGGCGGTGAGCGGAGCTGATCGAGTGGATAATAAGGGATAGCAGGGGGTGTCACAGAAATCTCAAGGACTCACACATTGGGCTATTGTCAAAGCTTTCAAGGAATTGTTGGAAATCCCTTGGATTCAAGGGGTTTAATTCCTGGAATTGCTGTTCAAGACCTGAGTTCCTTATGTGATTAATTATATTTACATACTTTAGATTAATGGTTTAAGCTTTATTTCAAATTTTACGTTTATTTTCTGGATTACTTAAGACCTCCTATTTACTATTTAAAATCGTCTTATATTCTTATATATTAATAAGTATTCTATTCTTCAGTTCCTAATGTTCATTAAATATATTTACATACTCAAGATTAATGTTTTAAGCTTTGTTTCTAATTTTACGGTGAACTTCTGGATTACTTAAGATCTCCCATTAAAAATCGTCTAATATTCGTATATATTAATAAGTATTCTATTCTTCAGTTCCTAATGTTCACTAATTATATTTACATATTAAATGGTTTAAGCTTTGTTTCTAATTTTACGTTTAATTTCTGGAATACTTAAGATCTCCTATTTACTATTTAAAATCTTCAAATATTTCTATATATTAATAAATATTTGAATCGTAACTATAATGTCGTATAAATTTAGTTAGTACTTTTTTAAGATATCTGAATTCGAAATTAAGCCTTTAAATGTCTGAAATTTCTGTGACACCCCTAAAAGACAGTAACTTACCTGGAATCTTATCGTTATTTTGCATGGACACCTTGTGAATGGTGGCATAGTATCGCTCCCGCTGAGCAGCCTCTGAATTAGCCCGATTCTCCAGCGATTCCTTTTGAATGTGGTTGCTTTGCTCTGCGAGCGGTTGTGCATTTTTGAGCACTGAGTCAATTACTGGATCACTGAATTTAATCAATAATGTATAGCTATACTTACTGTGTCTGTAGCAGACGATGACCATGATAATGGTGCAGATCAATCCCAAAACTGAGGCAATGGTTGGAATTAGAAGATTGATATTCCCAAGCACCACGGTGGTGTGACGATGGCCACGATGCATGATTCCCGGTGGTGGTGGATCTCCATCCTTGGTCAGGGTCACGAAGGAGAAGTCTGCCTGCGAGATTCCAGCCACATTGTGCGCCTCCATGCGAAGTTGGTAGAGTGTTGAAGGTCGCAGATTGTTTACCACAACGCGTCGCTGGGGCTTCAAGGCATTCGATACTGTAGAGGGAAGTTAAATAAAATATATAAAATTAAATGACATGCCTTTAATATCATTGATGAGTTGTGGGTATTCAAAGTTTTAAATATTGGCTATAAACTCTGAGAAAAAAAGTACTGTACTATTATTTTATGAGAGATATAATAGGTTTACTTGTTATAGTAAACATATTAAATAGTAAAAGTTCTAAAAGTAGCTTATAAGACTCCTATTAATTAAAATGTTATCTTTATACTTTGACTTGAAACAGAAAATATATTAAAATATCTTCTTTGGACGTAAGTATTTTGAGGTTTGGCAGATTTTTAGTTTACCATATATAAAGGTAAGATAATAGGGAAAGTGGGGCCTAAAGTTGTCTTAAAATAAAACTTTAGGAAGAACAAAACTGATAGTAATAAATCCATACTAAATAATTTTAAATTTATACTTTTTAGTTTAGTTGGTTTCGTTCTGAGGTGTTACTTTATCGAAAGCTTCGTTGGAATACTGTCGAATACATTTTCCAAGTTCAATAATTTATAATTCATGTAAAAATAAATGTTTCCAAGAAAATTTTTGGTTCGGTGATGCATGTAAGGAATACTGGTAATCGTTGCACTCACCCAGGACCCATTCCGCATCCGGCTCTTCGGTCACCGCCCGGTACTGCAGCACGAAGTAGAGCAGCGGACAGCCATTGTCCGGCCAGGAGTGTAGGCGAACCAGGAGCGAGGTGGAGTTGGGGGCCAGCAGGGCGGTGGAGGCGGGATGGCCGGGTGACTGACCCTGGGTGCGCACGTGCAGCATGGTGCTAGGGGGCGAGGTGCCCACCTTGTTCTGGGCACTCAGGTTGATCTGGTACGTGCTGCCGCACACCAGACCCTTCAGTTCGTGACTCGAGGCGTGTCGGGACAACTGCATCTCGTCCGTGTTTCCATTGGCTCGCCGGTAGAACAGCGTGTAACCGGTGATGGGTGCATTGCCCGTGAAGCCGCACTTCCAGTGCATCAGGATGCTGCTCGAGGTGGCACTGGTCACATACAAGGTGGGCGATGTGGGTGGCACTTGCACCAAGAGTGTGTGGGTCAGTCGGTCGGTGCCGATGCCATTGTCCACCTGGCAGCTGTAGTTGCCCCCATCCGCCAGTTGCAAACTGGAGATGATCAGATCTCCGCTGTCCAGCATTTGGGAGTTGTGCATGCCACCTTGCCGCAGGGCCACATCCGACTTGAACCACTCCCTCTTGGGTTTGCCCACCGCAGTGCAGGGCAGGGTCACGGTGGATCGCCAGGGTCTGACCACTGGACCGCCGAAGGATATGATCCTGGCCGGCACTCGATTCGTGGTGATCTGTGAGGAGACCCGCGAACTCTTGCCCTCACCCACTCGCGTGCTGGCCGTCACCCAAAACTGGTACTCCATGTGCGGATGCAGACCCTTCGCCTCGTAGTAGGCCTGCTGCGATGGCAGACTACGCTTCTCATTGTTCAGCTCCTCGCGACCGTTCACCACACGCGTGTACAGACTGTACTTGGTGATCACGCCGTTGGGTTCAGTGGGCGCCAGCCACGAGATATACAGGGACTGCGATGAACTGGAAACCACTTTAATATCCGCCGGGGCCTCGGGCACATCCTCTTCACTGTGGCAGAACAATGGCTTTGATACAGCACCATCACCCATTCGCGTGTGGGCCAGGACCTGGATGCTGTAATTGGTATACTTTCGAAGACCCGTCAACACCATTGTAAGTGCCGTGGTTTTACGGGACTCCACCTCATCCTTGCTCGGCTGGATGTCGTCGATAATGGGCTCAAATATCAGCTTGTATCCCTGCAGCAGGCCATTAGTGTGATAGATTGGCGGTGGTTGCCAGGACACCTGAAGCGATTGCGAGGACAAGGCGGCACAGCGCACATCCTCTGGGGGACGACTTGGAACTGGGGAGGAGAAAATATTACACGCATTAGTCTTTGAAAATAAATAATTAAATAAAATCCATATCAATAAACACATAAAAATCCATATGTAATGAGGGTCAATTTCATCTTATTTAATGAAAGTATTATACACTGTTCCTTTGGAATATTTTAAATTGATCTCTTTATCAAACTGACATTTAAAGACCTATATGATTTTGTTTAATAGATTAATAAGAGATGATCAAAATTATCTTTTTAAGATTATCTTATTTATATTTAAAATGATATGAAAAATTGTATCTTTAATCAAATTGATTATTTCTCCAATTTTGTTGTTTGTCCTATGATTTTTTGAACCATCCGTCGGTGCTAAGGAATTTGAAGAAGTTTAGCTTGTATTAAAATTTCTTAAAGCAAATGTTTATAAATTAAACAAAATCTTTTTATCTTTTTATATAAGTTTTTTATAAGTTTATGTGCCAACTATATTTAATTCTCGCTTAAAATTGACTTTAAAGCTATGAAGATTTCTGAAAACCCTTTACATTTTATAAACATTCCACCTACCATCTTCCATTGTCTGGGCTGCGGTGGGTTCCGAAAGAGGTCCTGGTCCCACTTGATTAAAAGCCTGCACCACGACAGTGTATCGGGCGAACTTTGCCAATCCGCTGAGGAGTAGCTCTCCATTACCACCATCGCCATCGCCGGAAATGGAGGTGAAGTTGTAGACAGTGTTGCCCGAGCTGGACAACTTGTAGCCCACATTGTAGCCCTGGATGTCACCATGTCGGAGCTCCGGCAATGGAGCCACCCAACTGATGAGCAGCTCGGTGGAGGACAATGGCCTGGCGGACAGACTCAGCGGAGGTCCTGCGGGTCGCTGTGGCTCCGTGCGAACGATCAGCTCCTGGCTGGGTGCACTGCGTCCGGCTGAACCCTCCGCAATCACCCGGAAAGCGTATCGCGTAGCCGGCTTGAGGTTCTCGATCAGGGCATTGAAATGGGGCGGATCCTTGACCTCGATCTGCTGCCACTGCTCCACGAACAAAGCTGGTGGGAGAGAACCTTATTCAAGTGGAGGCTATATCATCTATTCCACTAAACTTTGACCCTATACGTACGATCTGCCTCGCGGAACTCCACCAGATACTTGGTCACATCGCCGGTGCCCAAGGATTTGGGCTGCCACTTGAGGTTCACCGACCGGCTGCTGATCATGGCCGCCTCCAGGACACTGGGTGGCAGTGGTGGCTCCTGGACCTGCAGCTGCACCAGTTGCTGATCGTTTCCATACAGATTGCTAGCCCGGCAGAAGTACGGACCACTATCGGTGGCATCCACGGTGCGGATTTGCAACTCGGCGGATACTCCGTCCGGTGTGGCCTCCTGTTTCACCGAGATCCTGAAAGTGAATGTGATGGGATTACTTTCGTTTTGCCAACCCCGAATTTGGGCAAAAGCACTCACTTGTAATTGGTTGATGGATTCAGAGTGTTCTTGCCCGAGCGCATCCAAACAATGTTAATCGGCTTGTCCCCACTAACGGCGCACTGCAGCAACGCCGTGTCGCCCTTTTTCACCATCACCGAGCGGGAAGTCGAGGAGAAGTACGGCGAGGCTGAAAATGGCAAACATTTTGCCCATTTTAATTACGACGGGGATTCCCTCGGGGGCACCTTTTGGCACTGCAATTAACCAAATTGCCAGGGCAGCCTTCGCCCCATCCAAGATACTCACAGTTCACTTTCAGCTGGATGACCTTTCCGATGCCGGTGCCGATGCCATTGTTGGCCTGGCACAGATAGAAGCCCTCGCGGTCCTCCTTAACGTGTTGCAGCAGTAAAGAGCCATTGCCCAGCAGTTTGGTGAAGGGACGCTCCCGAACCTCCTCGTACTCGCCCGATTTGCTGCCTATAAATGGGACACATAAGATGTAGGTTAAACAAATAAAGACGTTTGCACTGGCACTTTAAATTCTTAAATTTTAGTCAAACTTTACAATACACTATATTATTTCTTAAAATAATATAATTATAATGTGTATATCTTATCTTCAAATTATTAAAATAATTTAAAAAACATTAAAATTACAATATTGATAGTAATAGAAAACATCTTTTAAGCTTGAAGGTTTATTTCTTTAATAGTATTTTCTTCTTTTTTTATTAAAACACAACATATGAAATATTAAAAAAAATATATTATTCCTTATAAGCACTTTTAGCTATCTTTAATATTACTATGGAATTCTGGTTTTTTATAGTATCTTAAAATTATTCAAAAAACCTTACAATTGTAAACGAAAACATTTTCAAAGCTTTAAGGTTTATTTCTATAATACCATTTATTTAATAATAAACACAACATTTGATATATACAAAAAAATATCATTCCTTATAAGCAAATACTATATTTAATATTACCATAGAATTCAGGTTTTGTATAGTAGGCAAAATAACACAAATTTACTGCTGGTATTATTATTATTAAAATTTGACCAGCTTTCATATACAACTTTTAAGATGAAGACCTAGTTGTCCCACTGTTCGGCTTACTGAGTCTTACCTGTAGCCTTCTTCCACACTATACTGGGTGTGGGAACACCCTGAGCCTGGCAATGCAGCATGATGTGGCGATTGCGCTCCACATTCGCGTCCACGGGCTCCACAATCCAGCGTGGCGGCACTACGGGGCGTATGGGTGATGGGAAGAGTTGGTTAGCAATCTCAGAAAATAACTAGGAACGCAGAACGAATGATTCAAATTATAACTGCTAAGACATACAGTAAGAGTAATGGTTCTTAGAGAGAGAGAGATATAGAGAGAGACAGAGACAGAGAGGAAAAGTGAAGATTTCTGGCAAAGTAAAAAACGGCATAAAGAATTTTGCTGCTTACGATCTTAGAATTTTTCATTGTGCCTAGCACAATGGTAAAAACTGGTTGAATAGTGGTAGCAATATAGTAGGAACTTTTCAACTAATATACAAAAGGATATTTTGCTTTTGGGTGGTTTGCTTCAAAATCAAATACAAAAAGAATTTCATATGCAACTCAGTCAAAAATGGAACAAAAATTAATGTTGATTCTTTCATGTTTTTTTTTTTTTTTTTTTTGGTTTTTGTTTAAGGAAAATCGTTTAGGAATGACCGTGGGGAAAATAAATTATTGTGATTTGTTGGTGTGCAAGGATTTTAATTTTATTTCTCTTTCTTGTATTCAAATTGATCGCTTTCTCTTTTGTGTGTTTTCTTTGATTCGCCCACGCTCTGTGCCTCGCTGTTCGTTGTTGGTTGTTCGAAAAATCGCAAAAAAGGCTTAATATGTTCTGGTATATTCGGCGCATAAATTAAATAACAAAGGCATGCCAGAAGCGAAATGGAAAATATATTTGCATAGAAATTATAGAATGCGCAACATAAATGTGAACGTAGTGTGAGTTTTATAGTTGGACACGCAGCTAACGAAACACGAAAAAAGCGAAACAATAAAAATGGATTTTAATGAATAAATCTCCCAACCCACCATTTCGCCCATTGGCGTTTTCAATAAATTATAAACTGTTTACTTTGCAGCTGCATTTAATTGCCAGCCTTTGTTTGTGCAGCAATAACGAAATAAAAAATATTAATTAAAAATTAAACCCGAACAAGGAGCAAATTAAAGAGCTCCAAATGAAATTAACATCTGGCCCAGGGCCTAGTATTAATTAAAATGATTTCTGGTTATTATGTTCTTTTTTTTTCTCATGGATTATTTTGCATAGTAAAAAAGCGGTTCGGTTGGGGGAGGAGTTGATGTCAGCATGTCTAATTCGAATAGGGAAAAAAATCTTTGCACACAACAACAGCAGCGTCAGCCTGGGAAATGGAGCATTGGCAAAATAAATAAATGAAATTTTGAAAACTGTGTACGTCCAAGCACTTCGCTCGGAAAAACGAAAATAAATATAATTGCCCACCCCCGAGACTGGCTGAGTGGTGGGAAATCGGGTGGAAAAAGCTTAACGGAGCAATCTGTGTGTGAAAGGAGGGAAAATCCAAAAACGAATTAAAACCAGAGCTTAAGAACCGAGGAAAACGAAACGGAGAGCAAATCATAAATAAATGGAAATTAAAATTCATTTGTCACAGCACTACGCGCATGCAGATGGCACAGAGCAAACGAAAAATTGCATTTCTACTATATAGTTTGTATGTACAGTCCGCATGCAGAAACAAAAAGTGCAGCCGGGCAAAAGTGCCGATGGCCGCTCTCTAGAAAAAACATTCATTCTCAACTACATTAGCAAATACTGCGAAGCTTTAAGTTTCTTATCCATTTAGTTTCGGTTGGTTTCTCCGTAATTTATGTTCTTTATTTTTGTGGTTTAATACACTTTGCTCAGCAATAAGATTATTTTTAAGCGTTGTGTCACACGCACACACAGGCAATCAGGCACTCACACAAGCGAAAGGGGTTTATTGTACACCGAAAAAAAATCAAAGATCTGAGCAATTGGTTTAGAGGAATATTTAATTTTTAAAAAAATAGCATCTACAACATTTGTTGATATTTTTTTTACATTTTTATTATATAAAGCCATTAATAAGTTTTAAAAAGTCAAAAAACTGATATTAACTTTGTTTTGTCTTTTATCGCAATAAAAGTATGAATATCAAAAACCAGACTACTTAAAATATCATTATTTCTTTTAAAATCAAATTTTTCAAAAAAATAGTCATATGCTAACAAATTATGCAAAGTTGAAAGAAGATGGTTTATTTTTCAAAAAAAAACTTAGATCCTTTGATGTAATTTTTTTTCGGTGTGGAAATATAGTAAGCGGTTAGAGAGGCCAAAACCAAATTGAAGCATAAGCGTGAGCTTTATAGCATCTCCGAAGGATTTTGGGCGGATTCGTTGCTTTTTTAATGCGAACTCATTCTCTTGCAGCGTTCGCCTTGGTTATTCGTTCGTTAATTAAGCACAGCACATTGAGCATAGTAGATGAAGTGGAGTTTTCGGAAGCTGCAAGTCAAAAATGAAGAGAGGAGCCGAGGGTAACAAAGGAGTTTCTGCATTTCGTCCTGCAGACCGAGCTGACGGCAACCAAAAAGAGTATATAGCGAATAAGGCAAATGAATCTTAAAGCAGCTTATCTTTCCATGTTTATGCAAGAGTATTTGTATAAATTATAAATTACAGCTAATCACGAACGCTGTGCGCTCTCCAAGTTAGCCAAAATAATGAAAATTAACCGCCAATTGAATTTCACCCGGAGAGCGCACTTAATTTATGCATCTAAAAACCCGACTTGTCGTGTAAGAAGCGGTTTAAATAATATGCAGCAAATCAAAATGGATATTCATAAGCTTGATACTTAGTTTTGTTAGATTTTTGGTTACGAAGCGCATAAGAAGCAGTGCAGTTAAAACGGTTTACCTGGTGAGACGGTTGTCAAAAAAACCCACAGCGTGCCAAAGCGACTTAAGGGTGGCGGGGAACTCTTAATTGTAGATTAGTAGGGTTTTTTCGGGGGGTTTTTAAGCAGTACGTATTTATGAGATGGGGTTATATATTTTTATTTTTATTTTTTTCGGGGTGGGGGGTTAGTTTTCTTAGTGAGAGTCAAAAAATCAAAGCACCTTTTTTTGGGCTAGGCAACGTTCAGTTACACCGGAGCTAACAGAGAGCTCCAAAAAAGCTGGGTTAGCCTAGTTTTCTTTGTTGTTAAAAATCAACCAAAAATATCATCAACAACTGAAAATACCATTAAGAAGCTGTTCTTGAATACATCAGCGGAAAAGCAAAAAGTTATTGAGGGGCAAGTGAAGTTCGCTTAGTTTGTATGCGTGTGTTTTTGGTGGTTGTGTGTGTGTGTAGAGAAATAATATCGCCATTGTTCGTAATTTCAATTTGTTGTATAAAAGGGAACTTTTTTTGGAAATTTCCCAAATAATGTTTTATTTATTATTTCATTTTTTTAAATTTATTTCTTTACATTCTATACTGGATTGTACTTTTAACTTTTCTGTGCACTACAAAACAATTCTGCGCGCCTAAAAGTATGCAATACCTTTTTATTAAGTCATACTTAATTCCATGGGTTATAAAATATTTCAGAGTGGTCAATGAATTTTAAATTAAATTATTTTTTATAAGGTCAGCTTAACTATCCTTCGACTTTTGTATAGAAAAACTGCATTGCATATTTATAGACGGCTTAATAATTGTTTTTTTAGCTTTGAGAGATTTCTAAAACTTTATTGTTAATGGCCTGATATTTTTCTATTTTTTTTCTCTTCGTGTGTGGTGTATATCTGTGTTGATGGGTACGCTAGTACGCTACCTTTGACCTGCAACAGGGCCGTATACTTGATCTCGGCGGCCGGGTTCTTGGCCACGCAGGTATACTCGCCGGAATGCGTGGCGGACAGTGATGGAATGCTCAGCAGCGAGCTGTACTGGTCTAGCATGGTGACATTGGCCCCCAAAGGTCGGGCAGCGGGTCACCGTCCTTCAGCCAGATGAGCTTAAGCGGCGGATCGCCCCTGGAGACCCCGCAGACGGTCCTGGTCCGCATGCCCTCGGCCAGGCCCTCCTGGAAGGCGAACGGTTCTATGCTCGGCGGCACTGCAAGAGGAAAGATCAGGCGAAAAGGGTTAAGATTGGCAACCGGAACCGGAACCGGATGCGTAAACCATCGAACGAAGGACACCTGCTACTCCCACGTTGCCTTAATTGTTGATTGTCAATTTGTTCGCTCTGTAAACCTTCGCAGTTTTGTTAACACATTCGAATGAAAACGCTACTTAATGTTGTACAAACATTCCGAAAGTGGAAACATCATTTACAAAGGATAGCAAGGATGTAAATATATGTATATATATATATATAATGATTTCTGCATTTGTGTTACATGGTACATGAATCAAAGTGCATACGAAAGAAAACTCAACTACTTGCAACTAAACGGGAATACGGATACTGGGATGGATTACTGGACTCGTGGAGTCGCTCAACTCGTTATTTTTACCATTGACCAGCAGGGCCTGCGAGTTCTCCACCTCGGCGGCGGAATTGCGCACCACACAGGAGTAGTTGCCGGTGTGGTCGCTGCCCAGGTTCTCGATCACCAGGATGCTGTTGTACTGGTCCACCTGCTTCACGGACATGTGCTGAGTGGGATCGATGGGGCGCCCATCCTTGCGCCAGTTGATGGTCAGCGGGAGGTCGCCCTTCACCACCGAGCAGGTGAGCGAGGCGCGATCGCCCATGTTCAGCTGCAGGATGTTCGTTTGGAAGGGACTGAGCTTCGGCGGCACTGCAAGGGATCAGCCAAGGATTGATGAGCCAAAAAGGGAAGCCAAAGGAGCAGCAATCACGGCGCCCGGCAAAAAAAAGGTCCGCGATTTATGAAAATTTAATCAGCACCGGCGCTTCATTAGGGCGCGATTTCATTAACATTAACACTAATGAAAAAAAAAAAGGGTACCGCTGCTCTCCTTCGGCTTCCTTTTTTAATTTACCAACTTTTAAGCTTAGATTATTGCGCATATTTAATTAGAGCAGAAGCAAAAAGTACACACACCGAAACGGCTGAGAGCCAAAACAAAACAAAATTAAGCAGAATCAAAAAAGAAGGGCAAAAGAAATGCAAAAAGGTTGGCGAAAAAGAGGAACAACTTGAAGCGCCATAGGAAACTACTTAGTTTGCTGTTAATAATTAAAATGCAATTTTCACTTCGTTTCGTAGCCCGCTGCTTGATGTCATCGTTGGGGAAAAAGCTGTGAAAGAAACCAACCTCGACCTCCTCTTGTCCATCTATTTTTTGTTTGTTTTTCCTGGGTTTTCTTTGGGTTTTTAGTTTTTTCATTTTTTTTTGTTTTTTGTTTTTTTCGGGCAAAGGCAAAGGCCTCACATACTAACCTATGACCGTCACCTCGCCACTCCGCCGGGCACTGTGACCCTGTTTGTTCCTCGCCCAGCACGTGTACACTCCGGAATCGGAGTTCTTCTGCACGGGACTGATGGTCAGTGAGCCATCCGGCTGGACACGCTGCCGTATATCATCTGGAAGCTCCCGGCCACCCCGCTCCCAGTGGATCTCCTCGATGGGATAGCCCGCCACCGGGCACTTCAGATTCAATGTCTCGCCGGAGACGGCGGTTACCTTCGGAATCAGTCGAATGTACGGAAGACCTGTCATGGAAGGCACAACGAGGGAATGGTATAGGAAAATTCAGATGGCAAGAGAGCTATGGGGGAATGCAAATGCTTAACAGATTTGCGCGCACGTTGCTTTTTTAATAATGCAGTAAACAACTGCACATACAACAGAGCAAAACGGGCACCGCAAGAAGCAGTTACACGGAGAAAAAATATATCACCTAAATTAAATACGATCAAAATGATTTCTGCAAATTTAATAACAATATTTGTAATATCTAAAACTGTGACTTTCTTGCCTTTTAAAATGATTACAAGTAATTACTCTAAGTGTCTATGGATTTGTGGATATGATAAGGATAAATATACAAACAACTCATTGGAATTAGACTTCTAGACAAATGACTTAAATTTGATAACATAAAAGGTCAAAATTACATTACTTTTCTGTTGACTTAAAAATATTATGATTTTGGTATTTGGGTCCTAGTTTTACACAGGAGCAATTGTTGAAAATAACAACCCCTAGAACCCTAAATTTTTCTCCCTGTGCAGACAACAGGAAGCGAAGCACAATGTAATATGCATATCCTGGCTCGTTTCGTCCTGTCTTCCGGTGGCCTCCGCCAAAACACTTTTCGGGAACGTGGAAGGAAATAATGCAGCAACTGTCGACTCCGGCAGCAGCTGAAGGAGCGGCTGCCTTGTGGGGCTGAGCTTTTTCTGCGGAATATGCATAATTTTCGAGCATGTCATACGTGGTCCCTGTGTGTCCGTGCTTTCGGCGGAGTGGAGATGGAGATTTTTGTAATCACCGCCATTACCAAGTCGCGCAATCAGCGACATCGCCGAGCTTTAAACTAAATGATGATGGTGGCAGCGGGATTCATTTCCTCCTTTTTGTTTTTTTGTTTTTTGTGTTCCAATGGCAAACAATGTTTGCAGGGTATGCGGAAATTATCAAAGGACTTGAAAGGAAGGCACAAGTACGAGCAGTACTTCTGACACACTTTTTGTTTTTATTTGATTATCAAACCAAATCACTTGGGTCCTTAACTTTATCCCTTATTTGATTTCAGTGATAAATGTCGAACAGGGACAACGAAAGCTGGGATTTGCCCCGCACCACTTTCAATAGCAGAGCATCGTTTAGTCGAGAAAGGCTTTTTTTTTTGGTGAATTTACTTGACTTTATTTTTCAACTTTTTCACTGCAAAACTTTGTAAACATGGCGCAGTTTTTGCCGCCGCTGTCGTTTTGTGTTTGCACTCCTGCTCCCGCCTTTCTTGCTCGCTGGCAACGCCATTTTGTTTGCCTGGCGACACAAAAATATTTGATTTCTTGCAAAAACAAGGCAGATGGTGCGCGTGCTGCTGGGGAACTGAGAACTGAGAACTGAAATATGGGTGGCTTTTCGGGTGGATTTTTCGACTGGCAAGGACCCTTTGTAGGGGGAAAAGCACTGCAGCCAGCCGAGAGCCATGTTCAACAAAAGTGTGCGCCTCGAACAACACTTCACTGCTGCAAAGGCACAAAAGTAAACTTGTGTGTGTGTGTGTGTGTGGGGGGAGGGGGGTCTTTACTACCCAAAGGATCTGGGCAAACTTGGCATGTTGGGGGAACGGCGAAGAACATGGCAAACGTGTTGTAAAACAAAATCAAGCGAAAGTAGGCAAATGCCAAAAAGAAAGAGGAGCCCAGCCTCGAGCATGGTGAACGTTTAAGTGCATATGTAAGTAGCTGCCCATATTTGTATCTGCACAGAGGGAAAATAATTAAATTCCATTTTAAATGATCGACTGCATTTTTGGATTTTCACTAAAAACTGGTAAAACACATATAAAATTAAAGCTTTCAGTAATCGTACTTCTTCACGACAAATTCTATACTTAAAGTTAACTCAAGTTCTCTATTTGTTGATAAATAATAAAGGCTTTAATTGAGTTGGTAATAAAATGTAAAATCTGTCAAAATACTACATTTGCAATTGTAGCAAGAAAGAGACTATCTCTAAAATCTTTAATTTAATTTTACGTTACTAAAAACTCAAGAATTTCGTGAGCTTAGAACAAACTACCTATTTCATATTTAACCCCTAGTTTTGGTGATATTTTTTCTTTCTGTAACTCTTATGTCTGAGGGCACACTTTAAGTGTGAATACAACATACCATAAATATTCAAGCGGGCCGCATGCTGCACTCGTCCCGCCCGATTCTCCGCGTTGCAGGCATATTCGCCGCCATCCTCGACCATGACGTGGCTTATGTTAACATGACTAATTACATCGCCATGCACGGTGATGTATTGTCCGATCATAAATCTGCAATGGCAAAAGACAAAAAAAAAATAGATGGTTTTGGATGAGAGCGCAAAAAACACATTAATATTGGGTTGGTTGCGATTTGAGCGGGTGCACGCGGCGTATGCGCAATGTGCGGGTGTTCTACAATTGTTTTCTTGTTTTCGAGCTGTCGCTGCATATTTAAGCAAGCAGCACACACACACCACTGCATTCGCACACTCATCAGCTAGGCACACTTCAAAAATACAGCCTGACCCAAATCCCTTTTGGCTGTAGGCTTCATTTTGTTTTTTTTTTTTCTGTCGTATTTTTGCACTAGTTTTTCGTATTTTTTTCATATTTTTTCCGTTGGCATATTTAGTCGTAATGAAGGCTGTCAGTCGAGCTGGCGGAGCTTAGCATAGTTTCCATATTGCTGTCAATGTCATGTGCCACGCCCACGAATCCTCATACTCCCACACACTCACACACACAGTCGACTTCCACTTAATGCGGCCGTTACGCCTCAGCTCGAATAATGAGAGGAAAAAAGGATTTCACGAAGCGCTCAAGTTGGCATTAAGTTCTGCGTTTGTTCCTTTGTTTGCCTCGCCTTCTTCTCCTATTGGCACAGACATTAATTACAGGCAACATTGTTACGCATACGCCATGTGGCACTCACACAATCGGCTTTTGCGGCATCTTATATGGCCGGGATTGCGATCTAAGCCCAGCACCACACACCCGCCGGCTCATTAGTTTGTGGCCCCGGCTCGGTGGCAACTTTTCAATTGGCACTACGGCCGCAGTTGAATGTTGGAGTTGGAGCCGGAACAATAATGGCGGAGGCAAAGTAATTACAATTTTAATTAACTTTTGCAGCAGCCGCATCCTGTGGCTGAGGGGAAAGGAGAGAAACGGAAACGTAGAGCTTATGAATGCATTAAGCCCGGCCAGCGAACGCTGATTTCCCCAGAAAGAGTGGCCAAGCAAGTCAAGCCGAAAAATCTTTATAGAGTGTGCCCAGGCTTGTAAAAGTAGCAACTGTAGTTAAATGAAAATGAAGCTGGCAGAAATACAGAGTCGCATGGGGACGACACTCGTTCGTGGACTGCAGCACTTGAGCGCATTGAAACAATGCGAGGACAAAATTGCAACAAAGTCGTACACATCCGCATTCGCATCACCATCCCTTATCCGCATCCACATCCGCATCCGCACAACGCCGGCTTAAACGGCATTGCTGAAGTTTAACTGTGTGTGTTTGGCAGTGTGTGGAGCGTAAAACGCTTTTGGCTGCAACAATATAAACCTAATAGCTTGGCGCGGCTTTTGTGTGCTGTTTTAGCTGATTGCAGAGTGAGTGCCCGACTCTGTGGGTGGCTTAATTCCAGTCAGCCAGCTAGCTAGCCAAAAAAAGGGGAGGCGAGAATAAGACTTTCCGTAGGTGCCACCACTTGTAGTTTGGCCCTCTCTCAGGAGGCAGAAGTTTGGTGACTAAAGTTTACGAAAAAATTATGAATTTCAATTTACGCGAATCGAGTTTGCACTTGGATCCCAATCAGGTTAGTTTGCAAGCACGGATTATGCGCTCCCATATGAACAAAAGGGTGGACCATCATACGGAAATATTAGAAAAATCAACACTTAAAAAACTTGTATTAAAAAATATTAAATTTCATTATCTTCCATATGTTTTAATTATTATTTATTGTTTCACGACTGATTTCAATTTTTAAAAAAGTAATTAGTAATACGAAACATATGACAAAGTTTTAAAAGAAATCTGTATTCTGGTACAAAGTTTCCTTATAATACTTGTAACATTTGTTCTTAAATACAAATTAAATGAATATACCTATAGGTATCACCCTAGGTATATCATTGGTATACCCGAAATAACTCTCTTATTTGTTGCTACCTCTCAAAATTGATTATTACAGTAAACTACAAATCTACACCAAAATCAGGATAACTTACTGAAGTCAACAGACTGCGAAAATACGACCCGAAATTGTAATTACAAACGGGGTTCACTCTAATTCACATGGCATTATGTTGCTTAAAAAGCGCTCCTCCTGCAGCTTAAGCGTTTTCTCATTTAGGCCAAAATTACACACATTTCCATAACGCCTGCAGTTGTAGACAAACGCATCACGCACACACGCCTCCGTCGGCGTCTTAACAGCTCCACAGGAAAAGCGGAGGAAAAGCGGAGGAAAGCTGGGGGAAATGGCTGAGGAAACGGGAGGAGGAAGACGTCTCCTCGACGAACTGAGCCTGAGTTTCTGGCACCGCCGCAGACAAACTTTTGAAAATGGCGTAAAATGAGCGTTTGAGTGTTGCGTTACCTCGTGCGCGCAATCATTTAATTTCCGCCCCAAGGCTTCTGCCACGCCCCTGCTTAACCCCCCGCCTCCTGCTTTTCCACCCATTTCCACCGAGTTGCCTGTTTGCCTGTCTGTCTGCCACTTTGACTTGTGTGTGCATGTCTGTGTATTAAATAAATACACTTACCAAGTTGATATACCTTTAAACCGAATAATGTAAACCACTTAAAACTCAGCAATAACAACGCAAACAGCAGGAGAATTTGTGCAGCATTGCGAAGGATGTTGGCTGCCTGGCAAATTAGGTTGCCGGCGACGCCAGGATATTGCCTGCGGGTCTTATGTGTCAAAATTGTGTTGCTCAGATAACTTTTAAATTAAAGCCATCGGCGTCTGCATGTCCGCACAAGTTTTCAGAAAGCAAATTTTCACACCGACCACATAACACACAAATTTTTGTAATCAATTTTGCCTTGTGGTCAGGCCATCTTCCTGGAAACCATCCCAATTCCCCCCATCTCCGAGTGGAATGGTCAGGACCAAAGGACCCAGGAAACGTTGACCACTTGAGCGAAGCAAATTCATGGCGATGTCGTCGAGAGCCTTAAGTTGCACTTTCAAGTGCTTTACATGCATAAAATCCAGTCATATTTTAGTGAACTCTTAAATGGCTTAGGACTAATGGAGGTTGCTCTTATAGTTCATATTAAGTATATGGGCTAAAAGTCTTTTATTCTGGACTATCTAAATGTAAAGATTTTTAAATGAACATAATCTATTTTTAAAGAAATTAACTTATTTCTATTCCATATTATTATTATTCAATAAAAGTCAAATTTATTAACTGTATTAAAATAGGCAAAGGAAAAATGCCATTATATTTACATTAAATAAAATAAATCATATTTCAAATATATCCAAGCTTAAAAATTAAAAGATACCCTGAAGTCTAATCCATTTTCTATAAAATCCACATCCTATCGAGTTGATTGGATCTTGTCTCCTGCTCCTGACATATCGCATAAGTTTTAATTAAAATATTGCACAGCTGGTCGACGCAGGACAACAATCAGGACACGGTTGCCTTAGTCTTTATTTTACATTTTTATTTCCCTGCGACGGTCTGCATCACTAAGCAAGAGCAAAAGCCAAAAAGCGATGGCAAATAAAAAGCGTTTGATTTCCATGATGGTGCTGGTATTTTTAATCAACAACAGAAGTCAACAGTGGGCGGGGCGAAAACTTTGACTTGCAAATCATTACAGACGTAACTCAAACAATTAGTGGAAGCTGCCAACGAACTGCAAATGAAGCAGGACCGCCGCACAAAAAAAAAAAGAGTTTGCCAGCAGGTGAAGGGAGTACGATAAAAATCAAATGAATGCCGCACTGACAATGTCGCAGACCGAATTGCCAATCAATCGATTCGCTGTTGCATTTTATTTGCCAGCACTCCCATTTGCCATTTGCGAAGTCTGAACCCGATGTGATTCGATCTCTTCGATTTTATTCGGCCAATGCAAATGTCAATGTCATTAAAGACCGGCATGCCATTTAATTTTAGTTGGCAACGGGCCAGCTAAAAATGCAATTAAATGCGTAAGGCAACTACGGCCGACCAGGCTTAATTAACAAATAGAAAGGCAAAGTCGAAACCTTGGGCCAGACGCAGACACAGATGCAGATCCAGATACATATACGGATGCGGATACTCAGATACATTTACAGTCGCAGAAACAGAAGCAGAAACAGGAGTGAATGAACGCTGGAGCAGACGAGGCCGACCCAAACCACCCACCTTTGTAGGCGCGGCAGTCGGCAGCCACTTGCTATATATGTATATGTTTTTCTATATATTCGTGGGGCAATGTTTTTGAAAGGAAAGCGCAAAAAAAATATAAAATAGGGGGAAAAAAGGCAGAAAGCACACACATACAACGAGTGCAATAAATGCAACCGCAGCCACTGTCGGTAGCCGCAGTTGAGATAAATTTTTGCAGGGCACCCGCAGCGTTGCCATTGCCAAGCCCCCCACGAAACCCCGCCCATTTGCACCCTCTTTCAACAAGTTCAATTACCTTCCGTTTGATGGCAGCGGAAATCCGTCCAGTGTCCATGAAATCTGCGGCGTGGGATTGCCGGCAGCGGAGCACTTGAGGCTCACAGCTGGTCCTGGCTGCAGGGTCTGCTCGATGAAGCTGTACAGCAGGACGGGCGGCGCATCTGGGGGCAGAGTGTGGTGGCAAGAGGTCACATAAATACTTTAACCAAAAGCTAGTCGCATTCACGGGAGGGGACTATGGGCTCTACAAAAATCAAGGACCTCCAAATCGGAACCAAAACGGTTTATAATCAGTACAAAAAAAGGAAATCTTGAAACTAAAAATTAGTATTTATTTTCTATAATATGTTCTGCAATAAACATTGGAATATTTATTAATTTCCAAATAAAAAATTAAGGAGAAGTTTTGGTAATTTGTTGGAATAAATTAATTGGTTTGGTCGCGTTTAAGGTTTTGTCCTAAATTTATCTGTTAGAAGTTCTTTATCGTAACAAATATATTAAGAACAAAACCTTAATCGCAACTTTTTGCTTTGACCAAACTAATAACTAAAGTTCTTAAAATACAAAAATTCTATATTTTTCTTTATTTAATGTACTTCAAATCATTGAGCTGGTTATATAACTTTCACAAATGTATAGAGTTAAAAGTTGATAAAGAAGCTTTTTTTATATACACAGCAAATAAATACGGAGCCTTAAGTTATCTTATTTTATTCTAACTATCATCATATAGCTAATCCCTTCCCAAAATGTATATTTTCATTGACTTTATGAACTCACCTCCCAGCTGGAGCTCGGCGGTGGCCTGGAACGTGTCGCCCTCGGGCCGTCGCACCACGCACTGGTACATGCCGCGGTTCTCCCGACTCACTCGTGGCACCACCAGCGTGTCCTCCACGCGTCCCGAGGAGGGAAGCTGACGCCCGTCCTTGTACCACAGAATGTTCTGCATGCCCACCGGACTGCCGTTGCTGGTGACCAGGCAGCGGAACTCCGCGGTGCCGCCCATGTGAACGCTAAGGACATTCGGCGAGATTTCCACTTGGATAGGCGTGGCCACCGTCAGCCGGAGTTCGGCACTGGCCTCGCCACCCACATTGCCGGCCGTGCACTTGTAGACGCCGGAATCCTCGCCGGTCACGGCCTCGATTGCCAGGATGGGGCCGAGCAGTCGGACACGGGGACCACTCAGCACGGGCAGAGGTCCTGCTCCATTGTGGGTGTACCAGCTGCGTGGAGAGGGGAGGTGGAAATGGAAGATTTATGTGGATCAGACTATTGTAAATCGACTCCATTAATCGCGATTTTCAATTGGAAAATTTAAAAAAAATATAAGGTAAGAGAAAATGTGGTTACTGTAATCTTTTCCATTATTCATTGACGACTTAAAACATATATTCTGCAAAAGAAATGTAGAATTTAAAACTACACACCTACACTCAGAAATTCTTGACTTCTTGACCCTAACTTTACAAAATTTAATCTGATTTTACCTTTAGTACTTGTAGCTTGATTTTCTAAAAATCTGCATCCAAATTTTAAAGGTGATTCTTTTTTTTACCCATCATTTCATGTCTCATTTTGTTTCCAAGTGTATAACATTTATAATTAAAAGCTTTGCTTTGCAATTTGAGCATATCTTGCGAGCTGACTTAAATTAATGGCGTTCAGCTTTTGGGCAACTGTAGCCCATTTATCACGGACCATCTGGTTTCCCAGAAACGAAATCTAGCAGCCGATAGCTGTCAAAGTTTTGCACATTATTGAGAGGGTAGTTTCATTGGAACTATCAGCCAACCAGGCGAAGTTCAAGGCCTGATGCACTACCTTTGGGATTCTTTATCCGTATGGCCTCATCCCATCCTGTCTGCGTTGGTGGTGCCTTTGTTTAATGTTGCATTAATCCTTTGCCTCGCTCATTATCCCTTTTTCTCGTAGGACCTCGTCCCACTCTGTTGTATTAATTATGAAATGGCTAAAAGTTTTTTTTCCCTAGCACAGCAATCTATCTATATGTGTACCCCTCACCATCCCACTGCTTATAGATTCTTTTGTTTTGTGTCATCAGTCTGACATTGTTGTTCGTCCTCCGCCGCAAAATCCCTCGGATCTTGCATTACTTGTCTGCTTATCAAAGCGTAATTATGGGCTCATATATGCTGTCAGTGTGTTCGATGTGGCAGCAGACTTTCTATCCTAGGGTACGGATAGAAACACACCATTACGTAGGCCATTGTTGCCGTGCAAGGGTGTACGTTACGCTGCATAACGCATACGACCCGTTGGCTGTCGAGAAAGTTAACTAACGCTTTTAGTTCACATTTCAATTAAGGCAACACATTGCCAACTCTTTAGACACATTTTACAAAATAATGTGCACGTCAGCTCACAGTTAACCCCCCTCCCCCTCAACATCCCCTTTGACCCCAAAGCGGTTGTTTATTTATTTGGCTGGCAAACTAAATGCCCTGGCCGCACATTTTATAGATGTATGCGTTCCAATTAACTCACACCGGCAGACCATGGATGCCTTTGCACAGGGGAAAATGGCCTCAAATTATGAATTTGGGTAAGTGTTTAAGTTTCACATAGCAAGTTTGTTAATTAATAATGACTCTTAAAGTAATTTAACTTGTCTAAAGAATATAGATACATCTGTTAATATGCTGTTAAATAAAAAGGAACTTTTCATTTTGAAATAAAATCCATTTATCTTGTTGGCGGATTCACTTTGTTCAGTATTTTAAGCAATGTGCAATAAGGAAAATTTCGCAAACATTTTAGTTCACTGCTTATTATTGCTATCTCATCTAATCTAGTTTTAAAAGATGATCTGTTGGACTCTCAGGGAATGCATCCTTATAAATTTGAATTTATGCCCAACAATATGAAAACATTTTTTAAAAAGTACCTAAGTATACATGGATATAGTCAATACTTAAAGCCTCAAATACTTTTGGTCTTACAAGAACAATGTCTTCTTAAAACAAAGATCCTAGAACCTTCAGTTTTCCCAAGTGCACTAATAACTAATAGCACGGCGTTATGGTGTTTGTGTGGCCAGGACCTGTCAACGTCAAAAGTTTCGCCAGAAATGTGTGCTAAAGCTCTCAGGAAGTGAATACGAAAGTGGGAGTGGAAATGGGCGGAGGTGGATGCCATCGATTTGCGGCACCTCTACACTATACACTATACACACCTGTATTCGGGCGAAGGACAGCCCTGGGCGACGCACAGGAGCACGGCGCCCTCGTCCTGCGACACCTGCACATGAGCCGTGTGCTCCACCACGCTCGGCGAAATGATGCCGCGATGCGCTGCTTCAAAGGATGATAGAGATGATGCAGATATATGCGACATTGGTTGTCGGTTATGGTCTGGGTTTTTGGGATTCGGTTTTCGGGTTTCGGCTTGTGGCTCTGGGTATGGATATACTCACAATTAATACGCAGTCGGGTGGGCGAGCTGACGACAACCTGGCGGGTGAGCCGGTGCATGCTGCGGCAGCGGAAGGACTGCGACTCATCGCTCTCCTGCAGATTGTGGATGAGCAGCTCGCCGGTGGGCAGCAGGTGAAATTTGCCATCTGGAGGACAGAAAACGAGAAAAAATAGAGATGATTTCGCTACTCTGGGAACAAGTGGTGCCAGAAACCTACTCGAAAAATCACACAAAGCATTGTTAAAATAGTGGAGAATAAGAAAGGGAAACTATATAAAAATCCGTTCTACAAAGATTTAAATGAAACTTTATTTCTCTAAATTTAAGTTTCCTTTCCCCCATAATTAACATGATCCAGATGAAAAAGTAAATTGAATCAGTTTAATTAGATATAGTACAATGAAAAACCAAAACCAGCAAAATCACCTTTATCAAATTAAACTGCAAGAATTAAAAAATCCAAAAAAAATTACATCTGAAGTTGTTACTGGAATACACTTCAAACAAAACCAAAGAGATAGTCTAAATTGACATTCCTGTTGACAATATTAATCAAGATGAATGCCCCTGTTGTGTCGCATGATTTTGATTTAAATCTTCCGCCAGACACTCTTGACCTTTCCGAATAGTTTACCCGCCACAAAAGTCACAAAAGAAAAAAACCAATTTTTAGAAAAATAGAGAAAACATTCTTTGTAATATAGACAACCCGGAGTGGCAGCTCGTTGAGGAGTGGGTTAAGGCAAGCCAAAAGCTCGTCTCAAATTGCTAAAGGACAATGTTAATTATGCACCAAAGGACCGGAGAGTGAAGCAGGTGCGGATGAAAATGGCAGTTAAGCAGGCAAACATGTGAGGCAAATACTGCAAACAAACAATGCACTTTGTTGGCTTTGGCACAGGGACAAGGATGCAGACAGAGCTTTCCTTTCGGTTTCTGGCAGAGGGAGGATATGACGAAAGGACGAGAGAGAGCCCCGGGAAACTTACCGCCTTGCAACGAGGGATAGATGTAGATAGCGGGTTCATGAACCCAGGAGACCACTCGTACCAATTCCTTGACGAACGTGGGCACCACGCAGCGCAGGATGGCGGTGCAGCCCCGGGACGCAGATAGCACCTCCACATCCACTTTGTAGGCCTGAGCCACGACTGCAGAAATAAGTATATGTATATTTTCAAAATGCTGTTTTGCCATCTTTCGCCCCGTTTCCAAGACTCTAGCCACTCACCCGCCCGCACTTGCACGTCCCGCGAGACAATGCGACCCACCGAATTGCTGGCGATGCAGCGATAGATCGTGTTGTGCACATCCTGGTGGTACGCGGCGGCGGCGAATGGCATCAGGACAAGGGTCCCGTTCCGCAGGACACGCCGCACGCCATGGATCTCGGTCACCGCCGACCCGTCCGCGTGCACCCAGTCGACCGTCGGCTGCGGACTTCCGGACGCCGAGCAGTCCAGCCAGCCGCCCGAGGAGTTCGAGAACTCCACCCGCCCGGGCGGCTCCATCACGAATCCGGGACCGCGCAGGTGGGCTTCGAATGGTTCACTGCAGGTGGTATCTAGAATGGGTACAAAAATATTAATAAGGCTTAATCAATATTACACAGATTTAAACTGGATCAAAGACTCATCTTTAAAATGGTTATCTAAAGGACTTCTTACAAGACAAAAGATCCAATACAATTTTTTATATCAAGAAGTTATTACATTTAGTTATTTCTAGTTAAAATTCTTGGTAAAGTGGCATTTCAAATTAATGAAAGAATATGAGTAACCACACATATTCCACCACTATATCTGAAATTTAAGCTTAAAAGAGGATTCAGAAATAATAATGATCAGATAAGCCAAAAAATTATTTTTATTAATTTCCTCCAAGTTTTTCTAGGATTTAATTCAAAAAAGAAAAAAGAAATTTTAAATTAATATTATGGAAAAATAACGATAATGGAAATGGAAGCATCACAAATAGATCTATTATGCCTCGACTCGAAGCATTCAATTTAATGAAAAACTCATAAAGACATAAATGCATAGAATTGGAAACATTGCGGGTTCTGGTCTAGATTTTCTGTTGAATGTATGCATTTATGAGTATAAAATCTTTTACTGGCCCATACATCATTTACAAAGCGCATAAAAATGCAGGAAAACCGTATATTAAATTTGGTGAGCTGCCATAAACAAAAGCAATAATCCCTGAGAGATATCAAAAATTCATAAAAGGCCGCTGGCCTTCTTGGGAGGGCTAAATCCCTTGAAACCTTTTTGCACTTTAATAACCATTTACATTTTTTATAAAACCCGGGCATTGTCGCATTCTGAAACCCGTTTTCGTTTCATCAGAGAGCCCCTTTCGCGAGCAAACAGATTTAGCCTTATCCCAAATTAGAATAACAATTCCATCTTTAGCTGGGGCTAGAGTTCCCAATGGCCCCCAGACCCAAATAAATACATGCGGAGTGGTTCGGGTATATATCTATATATGTATATATATTTCTCCAAATTGACATTTCGCTTCATATTCCACATGAATGCGCCTCGGCTGTCTGTCTGCCACCGGAGCGGGCATCTTTCCCTGCGGCGTTGTGCAAATCCTTGCAACTCGTTCAATCTCCAGGATTCGTCCTGCCCAGAATTCCCGAATCCCCCCGCTTTCCCTGCTTCCCGCCCCCCAAGTCATTGTGTCTGCAATTAGAGTTGTTTTTTGTTGGTTTTGTTTTTTCTCCTTTTTCCCCTTTTTGTTTTGCCTTTCTCTGTTTTGTTCTTTTTGCTTTTGTACGCTTTTTGTTGTGCCCGGCCAGGCGCTTTTTGTTTTATGCTCGACAGCATGGATTTTTATGTAACTGCTTTCTGGTTTGGTCTCCGTCTGTCTCATCGCCTCGTTCTCCGAGATGCTTCCATTCCTCTTTTCCCCGCTGATTTCATGGCTCTCCATTGCTTCTCGACCGGCTCAAATCACACGGGGAAAAATTGGAAAGATCGGTATCGAAAATACCTAAATTGGGGCTTAGTTATACTACAATAGTTGGTAAATGTCGCAAATCAAAGCGAACTTATATTTAACACTGGTATTTCAAACTAAGTTCGATTAAATTTGTTAAGATATCAAAAGTTATTATAAAGAATAATTGAAGCTTCTTTGGTTTTTGGACAATATAATTATTATATCATAACCTCCACAAAGCAATGATTACGGAAAAGATTTTTGTCTCCGAAAATATTTTTAAATAAAGTTAGCAATCATATGTTTTATTTAGGTGTCTTATAATACATTTGAATATGGTGTAAGCCAATTGGAATTTCTTAAGCACACTGGTCATCTCATTTTCCTTATATGATTTTAATAAAATCGTATACGAGTATTAAAGTTAATAAAATATTAAAACCATTAAAATAAAGGATTCCGATCTATATCCTTTCCATTTTCTTCTGTGTAAAAATAGCTCCTGGTCCAGGAGGCGGATAAAGACGAGGCCTCTGGCAGGCCATAAAATTATTGCAAGTATGTCTTGAGTATGCTTGGCACTCGTTTCTCATTTTTTCAGCTTTTCGGTGGAAAGGGTATGTTTTACGAGCCTGTGCCTTAGAGCAGGATCCCATGTGTGTACATATGTCTATGTGGTTGGGAGCATGTGAGTAGGCCTGTGTATACATCCACTTGTAGGGGTTTTATTCTTTCCTGCGAAAACAAAAAGTCCACCCTCTTCGGGTTCCTGTGCGTTTGTTCTTCCTGAACGTCCTGCATTTATGCATGTGTGGATAAGCTTTGTTCCGACTCGGACTCTTTTTTCGTTGCCTGCTCCATTTGCCATTCGGCTTATATCAAAAGACTCCAATGACAAATTCAAAAATCAAACAAGGTATTATATTCGACTTAGCGTTACAGGACTTTAAAAATTAGTTTCTAAATACAATGGCATCTATTTTAAATAAAAAATTGCAATGTAGAACTAATAATACAAAATGTTTTCAGATTTTAAAAACCTTTCATGTCGCTAAATAACCTATAAAAAAAAAGACAATATTTTATGTTAGTAATTTTTGGATGGATGTTGAATATTTATTAAGACCATTTGGATATCATATGGCAATCGACTAGAAAGTCCTACTTTCAGGTTTTTATAACTGACCTCAATAAATATAAATGTTATAATGATCGAAAACTCAATAAAAAATTGTAGATGCAAATGAAATTCTATTGCGGTAATTTGCCAATGATTTTATCTGTATATTTACTTAACAAAAAACAATTCCATTACCTCAATGTCGATAGAATTCAGTGTTCCCCAATCAATTCAGACAGCATTCTTTGGCCAATGCAAAAGCGCATTTGGACTGTCTCCATTTGCCACAAATTTCTTTTCCAAATTGTTTTCCCAGCTCGGTTTTCTGTAATACCTGCAGCAGTCATGGAACTCTGGGTCTACGTCTGCATGTGCAACTGCCTCCGACCACGGCCCCGCCCCCTTTTCCTGTACCGCCCCCGCATCCCTGCCTTCTTTGGCTCGCATTTCCGCTCGTTTTGTGTCGTACATTTCACTCCTTTCACTCCGAATGTGTTTCCCATCCACTTGTGCGAGTCTTGAGGGGTTACTTTGCCAAGCTCCTCAGACATTATTTTCCGTGTGTGTGTGTGTTCTTTATTTCTTTTTTTCCTGCTCTTCGAATTTTTTTTCTTTTTTTTCTGGGCTGTTTGGATTATGCCCTTTTGGCACTTTTCGAAATTATTTCGTTGCCTTCAGGCGGGCGGGTGTGATGCATGTTGTGTGGCTGCAGTGTGTCTACATTCGGCTGGCAATGCAGTGGTAATATTTCTAATGGCCCACGATCCAGGGACAGGCCAAGTCACCCATTAAAGCATGGCAAAAACAAAAATGTAGTCTACTTTAAGACCACAGAAAAAAATCCCGGTCCTCTGCCGGAAATGGGGGACGAACCTTGTAAGCAATCAGCTCGGAAAATACAGGAAATTCAATTTTTATGCGCAAAAACAAGCGGTGGGAAGGCGTGACCCAAACACCCAAAGATATCGACTCAATATTGCTTGGCTAAAAAATACAACAAGAATAAAAGGAAAACTTGAAAGAAGTTAAAACGTTTACAGACCAACGCGCAGCCCAACAACAACAGCCACGGACCGAATAATAATTGTAAATAACTTGATTTTGTTGCTGCTTTGGCCGGAGTTCTAGTGAGATGTGCTCCAGTTGGCTCAAAGTGCACACAGGATTCGGGTGGCAGGAGGGCCAAGGGCCAGGACGAGTCCAATAAGACGTCCAAAATCTTTTGTTAGCCGAATTGTTTGGCAAAATAAGAGCAAGAAATAAAACGGAATATATTGAGGAAACAAGGAGTGGGCGTTCGAAAATCTAAGCAATTTCCGTGGAAGTCAATATGAAAATATAATAATTAATTCATTTTACATTACTTAAAATACGGCTGGTTATTATTAGCAGACTATAAATTTAGTAAATATTTAATTACATATTAAGTAAAATTATAGTTTTTAAATATTTTTAGGTAAATCTACTCCGATTTTTAGAAATAGCATTGTACGTACATATAAAACAAAAAAAAAAGTTTTTGAGATTTGATCAGTCTTAGACTAAATTTTTTGTTGGGCATAGCTTGAAAACTACTTTTCAAAGTCTTTGAAGTTTCACAAAGTCAACAATAAATTAAACAAATATTTGATCATAGTAAGGTAATCCTAAACTATTTTAAAAAGTTTTCCTATTTTAATATTTGTGAACAAAAGTGGAATTTCAGAAGTTTCCTTAAAGCTAAATCAAATCTCCTTTTGCATCATAAAATGGAAAATAAAAAATTAAAATAACTTTCAATGAAAAATATATAGTAATAATAGAATTTTATTATAAGCAGTAAATTTAAAGCCACTAGTATAATTCTTTTTTACTAAAAGATTTCATATAAATGTAAAACCCACAATTTTATTTATTTTGTTGACGAGCTTTAAGTTAATTGATGTGATATTGCAACTCTATTTATTGTGTGAGCAGAAACTTAACAAACTTATAATGCGGTAGGTTATATCATTAATAATGCCAGCTACAGAAACTACGGTTTTCCATCCATCCGGTTTTGCGAAGTTAGATTGCCATCTGGTGAACATTTAATTTAAACTTTATCCCTTGCACTTCATTAATCCTACAACAAATTAAAGCGTTTTTCATAAACGGTTTAAAACATAATCAATCATAGCATGCTGGCAACTTTTGCCATTGGCCATAATTTTTCATAATTTTCCCATCGCAATCCAGAAGCTTTTCCCCAGCTCGCCTCTAATCGGATTTGTGGCGCTGTTGTTGCTGTTGGTGCTGCTGATTTTATATAACGTATTATATTTTATGTTTATCTGCATGGAAATGGAATAACAACACCGAAAAATGTGAGCCATCTCACACAACCCCAGAGCAAAAAGTGTGTGCGCTTAGACATTGAGCAACAATTTCATTTGCATATTTTTCATTTGCTCCCAACTCCGAGTTTCGGCGAGGGTGCGAATATGTGTGTTTGTGGGCGAGTATGGAACATGAAATATCTGTGCGGCATTTTGATAATTTTTTTTTTCTATACGGAATAGATATGTAAGCCAGTCCCCATCGAATGCCAGAACTAGGCAATGAAAATTGGAAAATATCAAATTTCCAAAAGAGGTTTTCCCCGCACACACAGTTCAACGGATATGAAAAGGTCGGTGGGTCGATCGAGTGCTCTGCTCCTGACACATTTCATTAGGCTGTCCCGCACACACATTCATATATACACTGGGGAAAATTGTTAAAGTAAAATCTTTGATTTCATAGTATGACTCCATTTTAAAACTAGGTTTTAAATATAGTTTGTAAAGAATAATTCAATTTTTTATGGTGAATGATATTTGATAATCAATTTTTATTTACCACATATTCAATTTCCAAAAAAAGATAAATTAGTGTTCGAAATATTTAAATATTTTTGCAAATTTTGAGATCTTGAAACGTTCTTAAATAAAACCTTTTTCTTATTCCTTTCCTTAAAAGTTTTTTCTCTGTGTATACACACATAACGCAGAGATGGGGTAGTCGTTTGTGTGGCATAAATTGACGCCTGGTTTTTATCATAAGGCAATTTCATATTATGTAGGGGCATTTCGGCTTTAGTTTTGCCGGCAATTTTATGGTCTCTAGTCTTGGCTGCCGCTCCATAAAGCCACCAAGTCATTTGCACTTAGTTCTGGGCGAGAGACACTCAAACGTATCATAAATTATGGCACCTCCTCACTCGTATGAATCACCATAAATTCAGGTCTCTATGCGGCACTGAAGATTCCGCTTTGAATGATAATAAAGTGAGTAATTGCCCGGGCCAAAAGATAATTCTTTTGCCGCTTTTTTCTCTTGTCTGCCTAAGCCGGCATGAATATCCCGCAAAAGCCCCCAAATCCTTTTGTTTCACTCGCAAGACTTAATAATAAGTTCCGATTCGGAGGCGTAAACCGAGATCCAAGGAGGGGAAAAAAGAACATGCCGGCAGCTGTTGGGACTTATGGCAACAAAATCACACGCACAGCAGCCGGTGGAAAAACAGAAAGCACTAAGCATACTTTGCGGCGCGTGCCGAGCGACTTAGGAAAAACCAAGAAGAGGCGCCTAAAATGCCGGCAGCCCGGCTTAAGAGTTTTCCCGGAGAAAAGTGAGGGGAAATGGTAAGTAAGGTGGCACCTACCAAGATGGAGCAGCAGGAAAATCACAAAAAAGCGGCTACTAATCCACATGTTTTCCGGCTTCTGTTTTGATTCTGATCTGAATTTGAATTTGAGTTTTGGTGGATTTGATTTTGTTGTTTTGCTGCGTTTTTAAACTGAGCTTTTTGCTTTCAGGAATTTCCGTGTGGCAGTGACTTGTACAAATTTTGATTTGGCTTTCACTTTTTGAGCGGTTTTACATTTCAGACACTTGACTCTTCATCTCCTCTCATTCTTTGGCACATTTGTATCCTTTTGATTTTCTTTTCCACTTTTGGGTGATACGGGTGATTTGATGATTTGATGTTTTGTTATGTTTTAAGGGACTGCATGGCCCGGAGCCGGCACACTCTCCTACACGAAAAAAGCACTCCCGCCAGGACACAACCGACTGCCAGCAAGGACTCGACTTGACTGCGCCGCCAAGCGACTACTTTTTGGCCAACTTAGGTGCTCTTACTCGAAACGATAGGGACACTTAGCGGCTCTCTTCGGGGCTCTCTTCGGCGGAAATTCACCACACGCGCACTCACTTTCGCACTCAGTCCCGATGCATTTTCTATCCAACTTCCGTCGTCCGCCAGAGCCGTGCGTATCCTTCGAGCCTCGAACAGCAACTGCCGGATGCGGTGGCCAGCAGCTCTTCGGTGGCTCAATCTCCATCGCCACGGCATTTTCAGTGGTGCAGTTGGCAGCACCGCCAGTTTGGTGCTCTCCACGCATGCGCACCACCGTTTGTTGTCTGTGGTTAGGCACGACGTTTTTGCGAGCGCCTTCGAACAGCTGTGTTTACACTGGACCAGTTGGGTGGGAAATGGTTATAAAAGTTGGAGGCAGTGGGGGGCAGTGGGTGGCAGTGGGTGGCAGTGGGTGACTGAGGGTGGCAGAGTCTGATAGAGAGTAACTGAGGATGGTGCAGCCACATGCGTGAGTGCCTAGCTCAATGTTTCAATTATTCGGCCAGCTCCATCTTCGTTGGCATAGATTAGGGCATCATGAACTCTGTGATGTTGATGGCTTTTTCGGATTTGGGAATGGGTTAACAATCTCATTTACTTTCAATTTATAAAGCATCCTATAAATTTGCATTCAATTAATAAAGCAATTCGATAACTTCACACCGAATCGCCCTTGTTAATTTACTCAATATTTGCTCGCATAATTTACTTGGCATTATGCAAAGCAATTTTGCATTTAGGTCTCTTCCTGCCGCAGCATAAATGTTGTCTACTTTTTTTGGACGTTCCTGCTAATGACCATCAGGGGAAATTATGGCCAACAAGGCGGGTATTTACCCGTAAAAGGAAAAAAGAGCCACAACAACATCACATTTTAGCAGCTGCCAAGAATCAAAACATTTATCCTAAAAACGTGCGTTTTAAAAGCTTTAGCACTAAGAGAAAACCATAATTACTTCATAAAATTACCACATATTTTAAAGAATATTTATCCTAAGAAATCTTTAAAAAGTAAAACACTAAAATTGTCTTTTTTAACAATATAGCAGTAACCTTTTTTTTGCAAGAGGATATGTTTTAAGGCTTGGAAATATACTTTTTACATTCTAAACCCTTCTCCTTTAATTTAAATCAAATTTATATCATAGAATTAAATAAGTAAATTATGTCTTTAGAGATAAATGTATCTTAATACATAAAACCGATTAATTTTCATATAATTCTTGAACCATATTTTAGTCCCAGTGCACTGATTTTTTGTACACATGTGGCGCTGGCCAATTTCTTGTTTTTGGGACGCGTGAATGCGTAAAAAGCGGAGAAGAGGATGCGGAAGGCTTGGTTTTGGCCCACATTAGGCGTGCCAAGGACAGTGGTCGCCGCAGCCGCAGCCACAACAAAGGCAACAAACAATAAAACATAAGCCAAAAACGTGTTTGCTGGCCAAATTTATTTCGTACCCGGTAGCATTTCCCACAGCAACAACGATGGAACACCAAACACCAGCCAACAAACAACGAGCAACAGTAACCATATTCATGAGTCCTGTATGTCCTGTATTTGAGCGTGTATATGTGTGTGTGTGCGAGTGATTGTGACTTGCATTTGTGAGCGTGGTGGTATTGGTAGTGGTATTGGTATTGGTATTGGTGCTGGTGTCGCTGCTAATGACAACGGCACCGCGTTGCGCATCAACGAACGACACCAAAAAGTCATTGACTCATTGAGTTTTGTCCCGGTGTGTGTTGGTGCATGTGTGTGTTAGCAATCGTTGCAGGCAGACCCTTTTTATACCCTCGGGGAAAACTTTATAACCATTTAGGCATCACATTCTTAACAGGATATCCATATATTTTCAGAATATTGTATTTTTAGTTAGGCAATTCAAGAATAATCAAATGTATAGTCAAAATAATGCGATGCATACAGTTGTAAGTCTGCCGTAATATTTATTGTTGATCCTGGGAATTACTTTACCTTTTATGTTATTGAGCAAAGCATTCATGTCAACATTTAAGAATAGTTTTTGACTTTGAAAAAATTCTATAAAATTCTTGATTTATTTTTGTTTTGAAATGCGTTTAATCTTTTTAATTGTTTGTTAATTACAATAAATAATCTTTTTAGTTATCAAGGGTATATTAATCTTCGATCTGTGGACTTTCTTCCCCTTCTCTTGGCCACCAAACTCTTTGACTCAAGCAGTGTGAGCTTGTTTGTTTGTTGGTTGCCTGGTTGGATGGCTGACAAACTGACAAACTGAAAAACTGAGAAACTGTCAGACTGGCAAACTGGCAAACTGACTGACTGCCAATGCGTGTCAGCTCACGTTGGCAGCGTTAACAGGAGTAAATGCAGTCACCGGGCAGCAAAAACAACACCGGCGGCGTCCAGGAAAGCGTCAAGCGTTATGGCCACTGTTTTCACTCTGGGCCACTCGCCCCACTCTGTCATCATTAGACGTGGCCAGGTGGGGCTGGTGGATTGGTAGGTTGATACATTCGTGGGTTGGTGGTTGCCCCAGCTGCCTTGCCAGTTTCGGTCACTCTCCGTCCATGCATCGTGCCAAAAAGGGGGAAATCTACCCAGCGGTGTCGTAAATTTCGGTTGGAAAAGTTACTTTCGAGACTTCTCCTTTAAAATTCTATTCTATTCAGTTCAGTTGGTCATTCGTTTCTTGGCTCACAATGCGGACCAGCATTGTTCGGATGCATTCAATGGCTTAGTTCATATCCGATGCTGGCCACTGGTCACCGTTGGCCTGTCAACCCAATTCTATAAATCTACATAACAATTATGATGCTGGTAAGTATTAAAAACAATAACAACAATGGGAGTGCACGGCAAACAAATGGTGGTTATTTAGAGAATTCCAGAAAAACGATGAAATATAAGACTCCTTAACATTTTACTATAAAAAAATAATAAATGTATTTTTAAAAGTGTTTAACAGCTGAAAATTATAGTATTTTAACTCATTTCTTTATACAATTCTTTCATTTTTTTTAGTTTAAATAACTATTATATACATTTTTTACCCAAATGGTTTCAATTAAATGAACTACAATTCCATTGTTTAAAAATCCCTAGATATTTCTGTTACTTTCTAGTTCAAAAAGAGTTTACTTTTTGGAAAAAGATTCTCACATCTTCTAGATTGTTCTTTAAATTTCGAGTGGCTGTTCGATTTCAGACTGAATTGTAGCAGTGCATATGCAAAACTATAGATTTGTCTGTGGCTATGGCTGTGATACGACTATGGGCTATTAACTATGCCGGCTGGCCATGTCCTCCGACAATTTCTAACAATGCGTTGGCAGCTGGGCAAAAAGCCGGACTTATCTGCAGTGCGCGGTGTTGTTGTTGCTGCCGCTGCTGCTGTTGCAGTTGTTTAACGTGGCATTTATGCGCCTGTTTGCTCAACGTTTTGTATGTAGGTCAACATTTGCACGCTCTATGACTGACGTCAACATGGACCGGGAATGTTGTCCTGGGCACCCCAAAAACCACCCCGCCCATTATCCCTGCCCCGCCTCCCCCTCTTGCTCTCTTGTCCGTTTCCGTTTCCCGTGTTTATGTTGTTGTTGCCACACCTACCGCCCCTTCCCCTTACTACCTATCACTGTGATTATTGTTGTTGTTATGACAAACACCCACGAAGCCTATGTAAAAGGTTGCAGTAGTAGCTGCGGCAGTAGCAGCTGACCAGGCCCAAAAGCTGCCACAACCAGCATATGCGTTATATAGGAGCAATATACATAGGTAGAATCATGAATGTGTATGCGGCCGTGGCATCACTATTGATTTTCATTTTTGCGCGTTTTACAACATGCTTTGTTGCATTTTATTTGCCCTGTCATTGACAGCAGTCGCCACATGGTGAGTGCTTTTTTCCAGCATTTTCCCAGCAAACGCGCCCATCTTGCAGCATAGCATACTTTTTTGGGCGTTGTCCACTGCATTTTTAATTGGTATACAGCTGGCCGTGCGCGAACTCATGTGAGTTGAAATGTGACGATGACGACGACGGCGGCTCTCGGCTGCACTTGAAAAACGCAATCGTCAACGCATTTTACAGGTTTTTCAATTTCAACTGCAGCCTTTTCCCTTATACATATATATATTTTTCCTTTTTTTTTGCCGCAATTCCTTTGACAACATGGCAAACGTCATTCAGCATAATTGCAGCCTTGAGGCCTGTGGCAGGCATATTTTCATATTTCCTTTTTTTTCTCCTCCTCGGCGCACCGTTGATTGTTTATTGATTTTTGCCTGGCACTTGCATTTAGCATTTTTTAATGACTTTTTTCGCCTCAACCATGTTGTTACTTCATTAAGCGACATGTTTGAGATGTTTTTTGCAAAAATGTAGCATTTTTTTTTTGTTTTTCGAAAATTTTCTTCAAGTGGTTGGAAGTACTTGAGAAAGGCAGCGGAGGGGAGGGGGTTCTGGATGGGATAAGGAGTGATTTCAATCAACTGATGATAGAAGGGGAGCCTGGGCTTGGCACAAAGGGTATCACATACTTCATTACAATATTTACCCACACTTAACCCCTCGATGGCGAAGAAAAGAGACAAAAGCAAGGCAGGCAAGTCAGGAAGCGCATTTGCATGTAACACGTGAGCTTACAAAAGCCAAGTGACATTGTTTGGGCCACGCAGAGGGTCGTGGCACATAAATTAAAGTGAGAGTGTAAGTGTGTGTGGCAAGAGAGGGTTGATGTTTGACACACACAGATACAGAGACACACACACACACAGTATGTATATAGAGTGTCACCCTACAACTCCTCAATTGCACCCTGCCCGTGTTGACAGTCAGCAAATGGGTTGAGCCATGAGATTGATATGACAAGCTTCGAAAATGACGATGGGAATGGGAACGAGAACTCGAATGGACTCCTGAATGACAATGATGAAGCCTGCGCACGCCCCAGCGCACAAACAAATTATGCAAAATGCATTTGCAGCCCAAGTCGAAGATGGCATTGTGTGTGCCAAACGTAGCACGTTAAATAATTAAAAGTTGTCGCAACAATCACTCAATATCCCAGCTTGTTGCAATTTCGATAGCAACAGATGAAGGCTGACGGAGGATTTCAAATAGAAGCATTAAATACCCAAAATGTTG